AAGATAGTAGAAAAAAAAAAAAAAAAAAATAATAATTGTTTGTTTTAAGTCTATTGTTTTTCTCTCCAACCCCCCAATTTTTTTTTTTTTTTTTTTTTTTTCCCCCCCCCCCCCCCCCCCCCCATAAACTTCTATAGTTAACGTGCGATAACGGCTCGGACTCAGTGGCCGTAGCGCCCACGGATTGCTCAAGTGGGACAGGCGCGGGGGTGACCTCGCAACAATCGAGAAGAGCTGTTTCTTCAAGGGAACGTCTTCCCATGGCAACCTACGGCTGCAAAATCCGATCCGGACGTCAAAGGCTATAGCGCTGGTCAGGAAATCGACTGCCCTGCGAAAATGACCTCGGGAATTTTGGGACTGGAATGCCAAATGCGATCTCATATTCCCCAAACAGTATATCTACTTAAGTATAGATACATTGAAGGAGATATGGTACTTAAGATCGGCCTTAACTCCTGAAGTCCATTTCTTCGGGTTCAACCAATGCCATCGGCATCGATATATCTATTCGCTCTCCTTCCAAGATTTGCTGTTTTATTGTATAGATGTACCTCGCAGTCCCCGTAGTGCGAGATCAGTCCACTTCGAGCTTGCACGAGACTTCAGGATCACTCAATTTACCCTGTTCGATAAAAGGGGGGTATTGTATTATCACTCTGACACCTGGGCACATTCTTCTAAAGTTGGAGAAGGTAGGGTGAAGTGCAAAATTGCTTGGCAACCCGGATTCCTCTCACCTCTCACCTGAAGTCGAAGGCTGTCATTGAGCAAAGTATGCCTTGAATGTTCTAAGTTGGCTTCAAGCAAATGAGTATTAGAATTTCAATGAGGGGGTCTAATATCTGAGTCTACGAAAGAAACCCCCCTATTTTCTGTGCCCGAACCCGTGTTTGTCCCTGCGATTTCTCCACTCCCGCTCCGCCACCCGCATTTAGACGACCCGCTAAAGATGAAGGCATTTTAAGGTACTTCTAAGTTCGTACTTCTGAAGTCAAGTTCAAGTGCTCGAGCGAAATTGAATCGACCTACTGTAATGATCAAAATGAAGTACTGAATGAAATCAGGAAAGCATATGTATTTCTTAAAGAGAAGTCTTGCATAGATTGTGCAGATTGTTGCTTATTTATATGGCGGGGTATCTTGTTGTGTCGTGAATGAATGTGGAGTGTTGCCTGCGTCTTGATCATGCAACATGAGAGACCAGGGTGACCTGTGTCGCGTACAAAAGCAGACGATAGTCTCTCTTGAAGGAATTTGGCCGGAAGGCCGACCAACTAGGTCCTGGTTATCGTCGAGAGACTTCGACGTGGCGTAGTCCAAGGATGAAACAGAGGCAATGCGTTGCGTCAAAATGTGTTGGATTGGCGATATGGGGCTGGGAGTCTGTCCAGCAAAGCTGGTCGTGGGTGGATGTCATTGTGACATTGCCGAAGGTGGGAGTATAGCGGTAGTTGAAAGGCCAAGGCATCAGGTGAAGCCCAAGTTGAGGCGAGCCAACTCCTCCTCAGTTGATGCATGTGACTTTTCAGCAGCTGAGTTTGGTGTTTCTGCCGGCAGCAATCGGGAGATGTGCCGCTCTAGCTGGGAAATGCGGTTGAATTCCTTCTGTTCGACGAGCACCCGAAGAGCCTCCGAGCCAATATCAAAGAAAGCGTCACGTCTCTGCTTGTTCCACGCTTGGAACTTGCTTAGTGAAAGATTGGCCACGAAGTTCAAGAATGGACGAGGGTTGGGTTGTGCTGGATGAGAAATCGCCACGGATGCTAGTAACAAGGACTGAGGAGACAAAAGAGAAACCATATCTTGGTACTGGTCATATACTGCCGCCGTGATCTGCGTATTAGTAGGCTTGTTCTCCATTGAGATGCGGTTCAAATGGGCAGCTGCAGCCAACAGCATTGGGTTTCTCGACTTGTTGGAGGGTGTGCTCTTGAAATGCATATGGCACACAAGTAGGTACTGTAATACGGCCGATTCCAAGCCCTTCCCGAAGAAGGTCTCTGCGTCCACGAAATCGACCAGGAGGTGGCTGAAAGTTTGGCGCGCAATCCCGTCCGTCATGTGGCCGTTCTGGCTGCCTAGATCTTGGTCCATGATCATCCGCAGCCACTTCATTATTGTGTCATGCATTTCTTCCACAACCATGAATTTGGTCAGCGACATTGTCGCCGGGCGGAGACGCAAGAGGGCCCGCCGGGAGGCACCATCTGATGCCCAATACCAATCAACGATCCGGGAAGCAGCTCGAGAGTTCTTCATACGATCAGGTGATTTGGAGAGCAACAGTTGATATCTGAGACAATCATTGATGATACCTGCAGTGAGGGTGCCAGCAGCCGCCATCTGCTCCAGTACCACCATGGGCTGTTCAAGAAGCTTCCGCTGACCTTCCACGCTATGCAAAGTGGTTGGCATGGGCGCACCCGACCGCGAAGGGACAATGCGGAACAAGGGATTATCCAAGATGTTCTGTACATGTAGATCTGTGGCATGGGCGGATGATTCAGGGTTGGGGAGGGGTCGCGCCTTATTGCCTGATGCGGGATATGCGCCATCTAACTGACGACGGAAGGACGAGGTGAGGGCATTGAGGAGTTGTTGAGACTCTCGAGGAGTACGCGGCAAGGGCTGATGAATATTGGGCCAGGACTTGAACTGGAAAATGGAGGTGCCCTTCATATTGGAGAGATGTATAGTAACAAGGTATATGGAGTATGGGGAAGGTGTGGTTGAATGGAAGTTCTCCCGATGAAGGCGGTGAGGGTATGAATGACGAGTAGAACCAAATCGCACTTAACATAGAGCCTTATTTTATAACAAAATTGATATTCTTCTGTATATTTTAGTAATAATCTCCTAATTCAAGATATCTTCATCTCCCTGTAAATGATTCAATTTCTCCCCCCCCCTTGAAGTACATCGTAGATCCCTTTGTTATACTGCGTACCCAATAAGCGCCACTCGCTAAAAGCCAGAGCGGCTGCCAAGACTTTCAGAGAAGCAACTCAGATCCCGTTAGCTTTTGATCCTTTCTTCAATCTTGCCCATCTGCGCATTCCCCAATTAATCTCTACGATTTCCCTCCTCTTTTCCCTTGTCTACTCTGGCCCCTGTGCCTGTGGTCTTGGTGCTGTTCCTCTTTTGCGAGGGTGCATCGTCTTTACTTTCCTCCCTTCCGGTTGCGACTCTATCGTGACCTCCTTCCTCAATCTCGTCTCCATCACACACACTTCAATCTATCAATATGTCCGACATTCAGAATCGACCCTCAGCCTCCCGGGGCAGAGTATCCGCCCGTGGTGGCCGTGGCGGCTTCAGCTCCAGAGGTGGTCGTGGGGGCAGCAGCAGATCTGTAAATGACAACTCAGACCTCTCATCCTTCGAAGAAGGCGAAATTGGACAGATGAAGAAGAAGTACTCCGACACTTTGCCGACTCTTAAGGAAATGTTCCCAGACTGGAAAGACGAAGATCTGGTCTTTGCACTTGAAGACTCGAACGGCGAGCTTTTGGAGGCAATTGAGCGCATTACTGAAGGTTCGAACTCTGCTACCTCGGTTTCTCCGGTTGATTTTCAACCATTGGAATAGCTCGGAGGACTATGGAACGCAATGCTGACTGGGTGTGTTTTTTTTTCCCGCAGGTAACGTGTCTCAGTGGGGAGAGGTCAAGAAGAAGACCACAGACCGGACTCGCCCTAAGCCCAAGGAGGCCCCGATCGCTTCGACCGAGACGACTGCAGCCTCTACCCGCGGAGCCCGTGGACGTGGAGGACTAGAGAGCCGTGGACGTGCCCGCGGAGACCGTGGTCGTGGCGGCCGCGGTGGCCGTGCAGGAGCCGTTACAAATGGAACTCGCACAGTGCCAGTTGTGGAAACTGCGGCACCTATTGCTACGCCCGCTGCTACATCTGAGTCAACCGCCCCTCAGTCAGAGGAAACTACCGCAGACCCCGCAGCTGAGGGCGATTGGGAGTCGGTTGAACACCCCAAGACTAGTGTGATTCCTGAAGGCACCAAGAAGGGGTGGGCCAGTCTTTTCGCCAAACCACCCGCTCCTCCAGTGCAGAAGAAGCCTCAGGCTCCTGCGCCCGCTCCTGTTCCTGCCCCTGCTCCTGTCTCCACCGAGAAGCCCGCCGCACCCGAGCCTGTGGCGGAACCGCCTGTCGCTGCGCCCGAACCCGTTGTGCCCGCTGCCTCCCAGAAGACTCCTGTCGCAAAGCCCACCCAACCCGTCATCCCCGCCATTCCCAACACCAGTATCAACCCTCCCAAGGGTGATCTGACCGAGACGAACCTTGAACAGATCCCCGATGTTTCCGCCCCCGCTCCTACCGCAACCGCCGCCAGCACCATTGGCAGTGGTATCGATCCTGTGGCTGCTGCTGCTGCCGCTGGTACTCCCTCCCGCTTCCCTTCCTCCGCCTACCCTCCCAGCGCCACCAAGCAAGGCCGCACCCCTGGTCTTCAGCGCCGTGTCATGGAGCAACAGCAGGCTGTGGTTATGCCCGGTAACCACGCTGTGGACCGCGCCGCGGTTCAGTTCGGTAGCATGGGTCTGAACGGTGACGCCGTGGACATTGACGAGAACCGCGAGGAGGCCGAGACTCGTGCTCAGCCCCCTCAACACTCTCCCGTTGCTCCCCGTGCCTCTCTTCCTCCTGCTACCCAGGCACCCCAATCCATTGAGGGTGGTGCCGCTGGCCGCCCCGCTCCTGGCCTTCCTCCTGTTCCTCAGGCCTCTACCGCTGATTCCTTCCCTGACTTCACCCGTTACTCTGAGCCTCAGCAGAAGCCCTTCGATCCCTTCACCCAGCAGGTCAGCCAGCCCCAGCAGCAGATTCCCGAGCCTTTCGCCAACCAGGCTCCTGTCCAGTCCGCTGCTACCACCGGCAGCGAGTACTCGCCTTTCTACGCCGCCGACCAGCAGCGTTTCCCTTACTACGGCTCCTACGGCTCTTACGGCCAAACCCAGGATGCCCCCACTGGCCCCCGCGCAGGAGCTGGATTCGGTGTTTCCGGGGCTGAGGCTCAGCCTCAGATCCCTACTACGCAGGCTCCCAGCCGCTACGGCCCAATTGACACCACCAACAGCGGCCACAACACCCCCAACCCTACTGCTCCTGGTATCTCCCAGCAGACCCCCACTGCTCAGCACATGCCTGGCCAGACTGCCCAGCAGCACGCGTATGGCTACGGTTACCCCAACTACTACAACAACCCTCACTACGCTTCTTATATGAACCAGATGACCCCCCAGCAGTACAACAACGGCCGTAACCGTCCCATGTACGACGATGCCCGTCGTTACGAGGACCACTACATGCAGCAGCAACAGCAGCACGGCCAGCAATACGGCTATGCTAGCCAGTACGGTCCCTACGGTGGCAAGGCCGGCATGTACGGCCAGCCCCACGGTGCCTTCTCATACGACCAGCACTCGTCTTCCCCCGCCAACACCGGTAGCTTCAGCCAGGCTATGCCCACTCGCGACTCCGTCTACGGCCGTACCGGCTCCGCCCAGCAGTCCGATAGCCAGTCCACCACCGGTGCCAACTCCTTCGGCGCTGGCATGTCCGACGTCTTCGGCCGCTCCCAGGGAAGCTTTGGTCAGAACCCCCCTATCGCTGGTCAACCCCCCGTGGCTGCCGACGAGACCAAGGGCTTCGAAGCCCCCAAGGCCGGCGGTCCTAGCCCCTCCCTCGCCCAGAACCGTCCTGGATCCGCTACCAACAGCGTTCCTGGACAGCCTCAGGCACAGACTGGCCTGCCCCCTCTTCAGGGCCAGCAGGGCCAGCAGGCCTTTGGTAGCTACCCCCAGCTGAACCCTCAGTACGGTGGCCTTGGTGGACTCGGTCACCAGGGTGCCACCAACCAGACCCACCAGGCTACCGGATACGGTAACTACGGAGGTGGCTTCGGTAACTACTACGGAAACACTGGACGCGGTGGCTGGGGTGGTAACTACGGCCACTAAAAAAAGAAAAGAAGAACTGAAGGGGAGACATAAATGACCCACCAAACACATATGGCGTTGCATTTACGGGTGATTTGGAATGGGGTTTGGTTTTTGTCCACATTGCAAGAGAATTCAGAGCTTGTCTTGTCAACATCCAGGACAGACAGAACCCAGAAATTTCTCTTCATCTTTCTTTCCACAACATTTGTGTAATCTCTACTCTCTTTCGAGGAGCTTGGCTGGTTTTCTTTACTTTGGGGGATTGTCTTGTTTACGTTTGTCGTCTTTATCGCCTCCCCTTCGCCGTGCCTCTCTTTTCTTTTTGCGCCATCACTGCTCCCTTGTTGACGTGGTCTCTGTACTAAATCCACCAATTCCTCTATAGGCCCGTCATGTCTTTTCTTTTTGTTCTTATTCTCCATTGTTCCAACCTAGTCGGTGTCTATTTGGGTCCGGTGTGTCATTCGGACGGATTTTGCTTGTTTCTTTCTTTCCCTTTTTTTCGTCTCTTTTTCACCCTCCGTTACTTCGTGTCTTCTTTCTACCTTGTGCTATATCGATCGATGATTATGATGGATGGCTCACTGGGTCTGGTAGAGGTAGATCCAAGCCTCAGTCTCGTTCTGGGCTAAAAGTGTCATGAAATATATGTCCTGTACGATCCAGTATGGCACCTTGCTATGAACCTCTTTGTCTACGTACTTTATCATTCACGACGCCTGTAAGGCATGTTGGGATTTGTCTGTCTTGGCAAAAAGGGTAATGATAATAACATTGGAACACCATCACCAACTTAAGTAACAAAGTAAGAATTGACAGCTGAAGAATCAAGATACCATATCATTAGATGGAAAGGCAGAGCCGCTCACCACAAGCTTATAAGCAAGGGGAGCAGGCTTCAACCTGGACTGGAAACTATATACAATCGAAATGCAATAACAAGTACAGAAGAACAAGAGTCCAGAAAGTCAACCTCTATGTGATGTAAGCAGGGGGTCCAAGACCAATTCAAATATCGAAAGCAACAGATTTGCCTTGCAAATCACTCAGTAAGTCCAAGTCCCTCACCGCCAACCTTATGGTAAGGAGGCTGAGCACCCGCAGCCTTCTGAGCATCGAAGCGCCAAATGCCACCAGTCTTATCAGTCTCGAAGGCAAGATCAGCAGTCTTAGCAAGCTGCTGAGTCTGTGGGCTATCGCCGCTCTCATCAATCCGGTTGAAGAAACGGCGTTCCCACTCGCGACCCTCTTTCTTTTCAACCCCGCGGAGTTCACGCTGCGCATTCTCAATGCGAGACTTGTACCCGGATACGGCGTCCATGTCGCCCTTCTGAATATTGCTCGCTACGTCGCTCCAGGCACGTCGGCTCTCCCAAATATCCTGCTGCTCAAGTGGAGCAAGGGTGAGTGGGGTGACGGGGTTGTCCTTGGAGGACCAGCTATCGACGGCATCCTTGGTGCGGGCGTCCTTGATAGTGAACTTGTCTGACCATTGGCCGTCGACTGTGAAGAGAGGCTTCTTCTCGCCTTCGCTTTCCTTGAACAGGCTGGCGGTGAAGGTGTTCTTCTTTCCGCTCAACCAGCCCTTGCCAGAGAAATCGATCTTGGAAATGTATCCGCTGCTGCTGACGATCTTGGCGGACTTTTCCAGCTCCACGAAGGGAGAGCCGTAGATCAGGGATTCGATGTGCAGGTTGGGCAGCGTGATCAGGTACTGCTCTTTCTCGCTGGACCCAGGTGGGGTCAGTGTGTATAGAGCGTGGCCAATTTGCTTGACGAGGATGGTGCTGGAGAATGAGGCTTTCTGGGCGTTGTATCCTTGCAACTGGAGCGGATGTCAGTCATGTTTCCAGTGCCCCGATTTCCAGTGGTTTCACTCACCTCAACACCGTTCTTCTCGTTGCGGATAGCGTAGGCAGTAGCTGGAGGGTGGTGGCTGTGCTATATTTAGCCATCTGTGTCTCGTTTGGTGTACACCCAAGTCTCACATACCTGACTTGTTCACTGATCAAGTTTGTCTCGCCGACCTCCGCGTCGCCCTCCCATTTTCCAATAAACAGCTCTCCCAGGAAGGGGTTCAGAGGCTTCTTCTCACTGCCGAGCTTCTCACTACGGCTGCAGTACTGCTGGTGAAGAGTACTCAGGAACCACTTCAGAACTAGGAGGGCACGCTTTGCGGGGTCGGCCTCCTTGGCTGGTGCGACGAAGACAGCAGGGTGCTCAGCCCAGTAGGCCGAGTATTCGGTGAGAGAGGTGGTCGACAGGATAAAAGGTGGAGCAGTCAAGGAGGATAGATCACCGTTAAAGGAGGCGATTGACTGAGAAATTTGTTAGCCTAGATCTGAGCTTGCGTAACGCGTAACGACTCACTTTCAGGAAACTTGTCCATGAGCCCTTGCTGTTAGCAGGAACGGAGCTTTGGGGAGCCATATTGAAAGCGAGTATTCAAAACAGTAGAGAAATAGCCAAATAGCCAAACTTCAGTGAAGACTAAAGATCGCAGAAGGTGGGGAGTTTCAAGTCGTTGGCGGTCAGTGGATAACGTCATGGCGTCTCAGGGGGAAAAGATCGTCGTGAACAGCCACAATCGTTTCGGGAAGTTTTCTAGACGTTCACTCAGTACGAGTAATCAGATTCTCAAAATTATCATATGCTCCGTATTGAATGTTGGAGATTTTCGATACTCGTGGTAGAGTACGTGGTAAACACGATACATACTGAGACAGCCCTAAGGTAGACAGTATTCACCATAACCTGCCATTGAACACTCTGAATCACATCGCAGGTACTGCATGCATAATTCACATCTAGCCACTTTTGCTATCTCCGTGCAAAGTACAGAGTACCCGGGCAGCATTATGTACTTCACGATGCCCAGCGCCCTACGAGCAATCGCCACCGGCCTAGTCCCCAGGCACGGATTCTTTTCCGTCCCTGGACCCTACTCGGCAGCGATACCGGTCTTCTCCCCGAATCAGAGGGCTCCAATTCCCCAGGATTGGGCATAGGCTAAAGCAGAGACAGCTAGCAATCGCTTTGGCCCTATCAAACCCTCGGGGTCCTGGTCTTTTCGCCGATCCCCAAGAAAAAGGAATTCAATCGGCGTGACTCACGTCTCTTCAATCTACGATGCACTTGGTGGATTTCTCTGCTCTTGTAATATCCTCGTTTGCATTCAATTGCATATCTTCAAATCCAATTCACGGTCATCTATAGTCCTACTTGTCCGAGCGTGACCGCGGAACAGTACCGACGCTGAAAATAAATTGGAACAAAGATCGAACTTTGAATGAAGCACACACTTCGGGGATATACTAGACCCTGAATGTCCTACTTTGAGTTTGTGAACATCAATTCATACAACTCCCACCATGCCAGCTCCCTCCAAATCCTCCAGCGAGGAAGACCGACGCCAGTCCTCGGTGGATGAGACCGAGCTCCGAAGGTCCCAATCCCACTATTCACAACGAAGCAACGGACTGGATCATGTCCGCAGCCACGTCTCCCACCACGACATGGCCGTCAACGAGGATTTCCACGAAGTCGACGCAGAACAATACCTCCGCTTCTCACCTGCACGCAAAGTCATCATCGTCGGCGTATTATCCTTTTGCTCATTCCTAGCACCAATCTCCTCGACATCCATTCTGGCCGGTGTTCCAGAAGTGGCCAAGACATACAACACAACGGGAAGTATTGTCAATGCCAGTAATGCGCTTTACATGGCTTTCATGGGCATTGCGGCTCCGTTCTGGGGCCCTTTTAGCCAGGTCTGGGGGAGACGACCAGTATGTATTCCCGCGTGAAGAATAAAACAAAAATAACTGGTCACAGGTCTTCCTTGTTAGTGCTTTTTTGTTCTTTGCCTTTTCCATTGGCACGGCACTGGCTCCCAACTTGCCTGCATACTATATCTTCCGTGTGTTGACTGCTTTCCAAGGAACTTCCTTTTTGGTCGTTGGTAGCTCAGCCCTGGGTGATGTCTATGAACCGCGTGCTCGAGCAACGGCTCTAGGATGGTTTCTGTCAGGGACCTTGATTGGACCGGCATTCGGACCATTCCTTGGTGTAAGCCATAACAAACCCCTCCTGCTTTGGATATTGGTCTCTGACATACAGCACAGGGCGTGATTGTAACATTCCGATCATGGCGAGTCATCTTCTGGCTCCAGGCTGCCCTGGGTGGCTGTGGAACATTGCTAGTCTTCTTCTTCTTCCCAGAGACCTACCCCAACCTCACAAAAAGCGATATGTCAGAAAAAACACCCTGGCAGAAAATCATCTTCCTCTGGCATCGTGTCTCACCACTACGCGTCGCAATCATGCTTGTCAAATACCCCAATTTGCTCCTCACAGGCATCGCTGCTGGATCATTGGTCTGGAATCAGTACTCTCTCCTAACGCCCATTCGATACGTTCTCAACCCCCGCTTCAATCTAACCACCCCTATTCAATCGGGCCTGTTCTACATCGCCCCAGGCTGCGGATACCTAGTTGGAACATTCATGGGCGGCCGATGGGCCGACCACACGGTGAAAAAATGGATCCGAAAGCGCGGTGGAGTCAGGGTCCCAGAAGACAGACTTAAGTCCTGTCTTCTATTTCTGGGTGGTGTCATCCCAGGCTGTATTCTGATATATGGCTGGACTATTGAGAAGGCAGTTGGGGGGATTCCAGTTCCTGTACTGGCTATGTTCTTCCAAGGTGTTGCTCAGCTGTTCTGCTTCCCCAGTCTCAACACTTATAGTCTAGATGTGATGCAGTCGAGTGGTCGGAGTGCAGAGGTTGTTGCTGGAAGTTACATGCTTCGGTACTTCTTTGGTGCTTTGGGCTCTGGGCTTGTTCTTCCTGCTATTGAGGCTATGGGTGTGGGGTGGTTCAGTACGATCAGTGCGTTTTTCTTGATTTTATCTGGCCTCGGTGTCTGGTTGACCACTGTCTTTGGGGACCAATGGCGGGACAAGGTCGAAAAGAAAGAATTGCAAAAGGCCGAGAAGAAAGCCAGTGCGCCACAGCAAGGTGAAAAGAGTGAGGCTTGAGACTCTATTGAATTGATCCCATGACCTATGGGTTCGCATGGGTGGATTTTAATGATGATGTGTTTGATGAGCCTACCACGTTGGGATAATACTAAAAGAGAGACGAAGCAGCGAGATAACATTTGGAAGTCTGCATGCATCAGTGAATAATAATAAAAGAATGAATTGAGTGGTCCAACTGAGTCCCAAACTTGAGCAAGATATTGCCCTGTAGAGACCATGCTGTCGGGCTCGCTTGGTCTTACCAGGACCGGTACCCAGGGGAAGAGCTGAAAGTTCCTATTCGCTACCCTGGGCTCGAGCACTAGTGCTTGCCACTGTCGCAACATCATTGCCAACAGGCTGTATTCCTTTGGCAAGATCGTTTGCGTCCAATCCACTCTCCGTTGATACCCGATCCATCTTGCGCTGCTCAGTAAACTTCCTGCAATCCTCACGACCCTTCTTGATATCCACAAAATAGATGGCAATCATGGCCCCGAAGCAAATCGAAAACAAGAATGGGAATCCCATCCAGTTATTACGAGTGTTGTTGATGATTGCCTGGATAACATTGGGGCCAATGATTGATGACTGAGCGGTTAGCAGAAAACAACGGAATACGAAGCAGGATTAGATGAGCCTTACTGCACGGTTGGTGATTCCGAATAGAGCAAAGAACATGTTATCATAGCCCCGAGGCATGAGCTCGCTGATCATTGTTTGGGCGTACTAGCCAGAGCTGAGACGTTATATTGCAAGTGAGAAACATGGATCGACTTACTGCGTAGTATGGGGCTTGAAAGAGGCCAAAAATGACATTGTAGAAATAGAATTCCCACTGCATTCCCGTTAGCGATGAACGGTTGGTTGTCGCAGAAACATGATACGTACTCGGTTATGGTACCCAATATGTTTGGTCCACAGTCCCAGCATACCCCAGAAAGGAATCAAAACGCTGAAGAAATTGGTGAATAGGAACATGGTCTTTGTTTTGAACTTGAAGTAGCGTTGAATGTACCAAAACCCAAATGTGGATGTGATAGAACAGGCAGCCTGTGTAATGCCGAGGTATGTGATTTGCAAAAAGGAAAAGGAGACCGAGTCGTTCTGGATGATAGTCACGAGTGTACCTAATAGAGTTAGCACTTACACGGTGACAAGATACGTGCCAGGAACTGGAGAAGTTCACCCACCGGTTGTATTTAGGCCATCGGCAAGGAGAAAGTAAGCAAAAAAGTACAGGAAGGTCTGGGGAAGAGACCTGATTTCCCGAATTGCAAGCCATATCTGCTTGAATCCAATGGTTGTATAGCTGGAGCCCTTGGGTATTTTGGGGCCTGGCCTCTTTTGCTGGAAAATGAACCACCAGATGCCGAGAATCACCCAATCTATAAGGTGATTAGTCCAAACCGGTGCAGTCCATACTCAAGTACGACTTCAGATCTTCAAGCTCACATGAATTGGTTAGGCAAAGGGCCAAGTTGTTTGAGAAGCTGTTCTCTTCCATGGGCAGCAGAACACTAAGGTTGAGCACAAGCGTAAGAAGATATCCGATATTGCTGTGAGCCGTTGAGATGTTACTGGAATAGTCAGCGAGCGAATAAAAAGGTACAGTCCAATGAAGTGTTACCTGATATGATTTCTCTCCAACGACTCAATGGCGTCATATTCTTCCTGGTCAATTTTACCCTCTCTCAGATCTTCCTCTCGTGCCTTGCGTACGTGCGGCGTGTACCGTGCAAGTCGAGGAAAGACAGCCGCATAAAATACCAGGATAGCACCGTAGGCGATATACGCCACCACATACATCGCCATTGCCGCCGGCCACTGATTCGGATTTCGGATCGACAACATACCATACTGCAGCGCCCAACATACCACCGTTAATGATAAGAGGAGCCATCTTCCGAATGTGCCATAATCAGCCGCACTACCTAGCCACACAAAGATGACAGTCATGAACGTGAAGCAGAGGCCATTGGCGATAAGGACAACTGAGGAGACGGTTCGTGTGCCCCCTGCCCAGGGCACCACACATGCGGATGAGTCAGTACACGCTTTTGGTGGGCTTGTGTCGGGTTGGTGACCGGCGCCGTTCAGTGCCCACTGAAAGCTGTTGAAGACGGATGTCAGTGGAGGCGTCTTGTATACGGGTCTTGGGGCTGCTTACAGGGCTTGGCTGTACGATCCCGGGCCCACACCGTTGTCCCCTGATAGATCAACTTGTTAGAGTCTCTGCATTCGGGAAGACCGTGGGACCTTCTAAAGTTTTGAGGGATGTTCCCCTACCGTTGTAGTAGAGATAATATGACCACAGTTCCCTCCTAGTGGTGGTTGGCTGCTCGTATGCATCCTCGTCCACTCCAAAGAGACGTTCATATTCCTCTAAGCTTGAATGAAGCTGAGGGACCGTGGCATTCTTGGCGTTTCCGGTGTTCTGAGTATCTGCCATGGTGCATAGAAGATATATTCCCGTAAGGTGTGAAGGGAAGAAAGGACCGTTACCCCGCTATGTGTTAAGCGGAGAGCACTTGACTGTCTGAGTGCAGTTTCCCGTTCATAAGGACCTTACCTCCAGGGCTGTTCTCTTCCTATCCAGGACTCTCACACACACTCTCAGCGCGTCTACAGTTCGTCGAAGTGCATTAAAGTGGACCCCGCGGGGACATCGACTCCCGCTCTTTTCAACGTCACTTTATCACTCATCCCTGCCATGACTTCAATACAAAAACAAGTCGGCCAGGTAAGATTGAGCCCCTGGGGAATGTAGGGCTTTATTAACAGTCATAGCTCTTCGCAGTCGGCTTTTATGGTCTCTCCCCAAGCCCCGAGATCAAGACTTTAATTCACGACTACCACCTCGGAGGGATCGTACTGTTCTCACGCAACTTTGAAAATGCAGAACAGCTTCAGGTATGATACAGGAATTCCGAGGGCGCCCAGGAATGCCCATCTAACATTCTTCATAGGCCTTGACACATGATCTACAGCAGGAGGCTAAGTTAGCGGGACACCAGCGACCGCTGCTTATTGGGATCGATCAAGAGAATGGATTCGTGACTCGAATTTCTCCCCCGGCCGCTGCTCAAGTCCCAGGGCCCATGGCCCTTGGAGCTACGCACGACCCAGAATGCGCCTACAGTGCGGGGAAAGCCACAGGCGAAACGTTGAGTTTCTTCGGAATCAACATGAACTATGCCCCCGTCTGCGACATTAATTCGGAGCCGTTGAATCCGGTTATTGGTGTACGCAGCCCGGGAGATGATCCCGAATTCGTGGGTCGCTTTGCCAGCGCGACAGCGCGGGGACTGCGGGAAACGAACATCGTTCCCAGCGTGAAGCATTTCCCTGGTCATGGCGATACTGCGGTTGACTCCCATTATGGGCTTCCTGTCATCCCGAAAACAAGGGATCAATTAGAGCGGTGCGAGTTGATACCTTTCCGACGAGCGGTCGCTGAGGGGATTGAGACGGTCATGACTGCTCATATCTCGTTGCCGTGTATTGATCTGACGCGTCCCGCGACGCTTTCTGCCAAAGCGTTGAATATCCTGCGCAAGGATATGGCGTATGATGGCATGGTGATTACAGATTGTCTGGAGATGGATGGTATCAGGTCCACATTTGGCACTGAAGAGGGGTCGGTACTGGCCTTGCAAGCTGGTAGCGATAGTCTGATGATCTGTCACACATTTGAGGTGCAGTTAGCTTCGATCAAGCGGGTCTGCGAAGCCGTAAAATCTGGGGAGATCGATCAGTCACGATTGGAAGATGCTTGTCGCCATGTCTCTGCCGTCAAGGACAAGTTTTTAACATGGGAATCAGCCCTGCGACAATCAGACCTGACACACCTCAGCTCACTCAACAACGGGATTGCTGAGAAAACGATGGATATATACTCTCGGTCGACGACTCTGGTCCGCGACAAGAACGACATCCTCCCACTATCTAAGACTTCGATCATCATCTTCCTTTTCCCCGGCGACAAGATTCCCGCCGGTGGCGCCGTTGACGGCGAAGGTATGGGTAGACAGGGATCATTCCACTCCAGGAGGTACCTTGACGTCCTCCGTCAGCACAACAATTCCATTGCGGAAATCAGATATGGCACCGCTGGTCTAACTGCGGAACAATGGCAGGTCATTGACGTCGCAGATGTTGTCATCTTCACTTCGCTCAATGCCCGAGAATCCGCATACCAAGAAACCCTCGGACTCGAGCTTGCGGAGCGTGTTCGGTCGTTGGTTCACATTGCTGCATGCAATCCTTACGACTTCCTCGATGCTCCCAGTGTTAAAACATACATTACCACTTATGAGCCGACCATAGAGGCTTTTTCGGTGGCTGCCGATATCATGTTCGGGACAATGATTCCTACCGGTGCCCTTCCAGTCGGACCTAATGCATTGACCAAGACTTCTGCGGTAGTGACACCCTTCGAAGCAGAAAAAGATCTCGAAGGAATCATCCAAGTCTGGAACGCTGCTCTACAAGGCTACATAATTCCCAGCGAAAGCTTGCAACCCCTGATTGTGCGTCCAAACGGCCACCACTTCGTCGCTCGGATTGACTCCACCGTAGTAGGCTTTTGCTTAGCATACATCAACGCCGACGGCGATCCAAGCACCGTTCACATTGCAGTTCTCGCCGTGCTACCCAGCTACCAACGGCAAGGTGTCGGAATAGCCCTTCTGGAAGAAACGCGTGCACACTTCCGGTCGAAATATGGGTTCAATAGTGTGAAATTGGGCAGCTCATTCCCTCGCTTCTGGCCTGGTATTCCACAAGATCTCCCAGACACAGTACAACACTTTTTCATCCACCGAGGCTTCCGACTGAGTCCTCCAACCGCTCGATCGGTCGATCTATATCAAGACATCCAGAACTTCCAATCGCCAGAAAAGTACACCACTCGCGCCAAGGATCGTGGGTTCCACTTCGCGCCACTCAAGGCAAAAGATTATGAAGATTGTCTAGTTGGCCAACGACGCAATTTCTCGGATAAAGCGGTAAGTCTTCGTTGCAACCATATTTCCACAGACTAACTGTTTACAGGGCTGGGTGGAAGCATATGTCAAATTACACCCCGATCAATACCCAGACAGTATCATGACAGCATTCAATTCCGAGGGAGAACAAGTAGGCTGGACATTGATGTTGGGACCATCAAAGCTTCTCAACGAGACATGGGCATTCCCTCAAGCCTGTGGGCCCAAAACGGGACTGATTGGAGCCGTCGGGATCGACGAGCCTTACCGCAAGTCTGGTATTGGATTAGCGATGATCTGTCATGCCGTGGAAAACATGAAGAAAAGAGGCATCGAAGGAGTTTTCGTTGATTGGGTTGCTTTGGACGGCTGGTACGAGCAAGTGGGCTTCAAGACATGGCGGAGCTATCGACCAGGTGAGCTTTGAAATTTGCAATTTGCACTTTTTGAGATTACAGCTCGAGCTCAAGCTCGAGCTTGGAGCTTGCAGCTATCCACATTGGACGATCGCAAGCCACAATGTATTGACACAGCCCCGTGTTGGGCAGTTTTGAATCTCCACTTCCAAGGTTTGATCTTGAAAATGGCGCCCCCTTTCTTGAGTCCTTGTGATGGGAAATTGAGTCGCCAAGTGAGACTTGGACAAGACTATCTATGTTGGGCCGCAATGCCGCGAGTCGCGGATGCGAGGGTAATCACGTTGCTATGAAGATTTTTTTTTTCAATGATCCCACAAGGGGTAATGAGTCTGTAGATTTGTCGTCCTGTATCGTATGTCTAGTGGTCCAAAAAAAAGTAAAAAAATCGCTCAAGAACGCCACCATTTAAATCTAAAATGCACCAAAGATCCCACGCTGAAAAAAAAAAAGAATCGCTGAAAACCGACTTAAGAAAAATAACAAAAAATCACACAAAAATGCAAACAAACATGTCTGTAGATGTTCCAAGCAAATGCAAATAGGATCAGAAGCTGAACAAACCAGTCCTCTTCTTGCCATAAGGATAAACCACCAAAGCAGCAATAAACAAACCAACCGTAATACCAATAGCCACCTGGATCATACCAAAGCCCAAACTAGCCACAGAAGTTTCCGAAAGCGCACTAGTAGAAGAACTGGTCCCATTCTTTTCAAGATTCTGTCGAACCTCATCGGCATATTTAACACCTGCAATCAAAGATCCACTGGAAGCAAGGCCAGAAGGAACCAGGACAAAGATACCGGGTAGAATAGCCGTTGCTGCATGACCATGCCACAGGCGACTATACAAATTGCCCAGAACACCAATTGTAAAAGCGCCGACAGTGTTTGCGACTTCGGACTGGGAGCCCAGTTTGGTTGTGCTGAAGTAATTGGCTATATAGCCAGACACAGCAATGAAGACCATTACTGGCATTTGCTTCCATTTTCCGTGGTTGACGATGGCGAGGAAGATGGCGTAGATGGCTACGAAGGGGAATTGGCGGAGGTATGTGGAGCCGTAGACGTCCAGGCCTGTGCAGGTTGTTTGGGATGTGGCATTTGCGTCCATGAGGCCGTAGATGGTTGTTCCGACTGTTATGCCGTAGCCGAGGAAGAGGGAGTAGATGATTGCGTAGACCATTCTGATTGAGCCAGCGATCATTTGGTGGGATTGGAGTTCTAGACTGCTGCAGAGGACCATGAAGCCTGGGAGGATGAGGGCGATGGAGGATTGGGCCATTGCAGAGAAACAGAAAAGTTCTTCGGATTCGCCATTGCGCATCACTTTTATGCTGCCTAGTGCGCGGGCTAGGAATGAGGTTAGGACTGCGGCTGTCACTTCGAAGACGTTGGAGTACAGGGTTGAGCGGGGGGCGAGGACGTGTTGCATTAGGCCGACTATGCAGCCTAGACAGAAGATTATGGGCATGTCGATTGGGCGGGCTTGGAATGCGAATGGTCCGACTGTTGAGCTGGCTAGTCCGTACATCAGGACTAGAACCCATTTGTTGAAACGGGGCTTGCGCTGCATGATCTCATCGAGTTCATGGGTTGCCTCTTCAACGCCTATAAGGTCATGCACGACGTTCTTGTAGACGTTGTGCGTGTCTGCCAATCGGCCAAGATCAACACCCTGCACCATTCGCACGAGCTTGACTTCCGCAGTGCGGGTTGTCGGGTCATCAAATGACATGATCATACATCCAGGCAGATACAAGAACTGCCCGGAGACCTCCAGCACCCGCGCCGTCATTTGCATGTACTCCTCGAGACGATGGGTCGGCGCTCCATACCGCATCAGCGCGCGACACAACTGCATGATATACCGCTGGCGCGCAATGATTTCGGCAATGTGCACAGTGACCCGGATCTCATCTTCAAGGCGAGTCTTGCGCTTGTTCTTCTTGCGCTTGCTCGGCAGGCCTGCTGCGGCGTCCACTGCGCCCGGCAAACTGGCACTGCTGAGGTTCATAGAGGCATTGACAAGCGACGCCGTAGAATGGTGGTTGGGCTTCTTGTACCATTTGAGCTTTTCCTTGCGCGGCGTAGCAGAGCCAGAGGTCGGTGCAGATGGAGTGATAAGGGGTGACAGGGAGCCCTTCCTGGGCGTGTTGGTTCCCGAAGACACCTGAGTCTCGCTGTCCGAGTCATCAGTGATGACACTGGAGGCACGCGATGAGCTTCCTGTCTGCGTAGCCTGGAGCTTCAGCAACTGTGACAGAATGCCACTACCTCCACTCAGACCGCTCGAGCGTCTGCGCTGCGCGAAACCCTTAATCAAGCCTTCGGGGGTAGTCTGACCAGAGCGCTGGTAGGCACTCTGAGGCTTCCGCTTGCGCAACTGGTCCTGGACCATGGTCATGCTTCGGACGAGGCGATGAGCCTCGGCGCTGGCCGGGGGCTCGATCAGATCCTCCCCGTTTTCGAGGGCGCGGGCCCGGTCGGCATCATGTTTTGCGCGACGGGCTTGTAGTTCCTCCAGGGGGATGCCGCTGTCAAAATCGTCTGGAATGTACGATGCATTCAGGGCCTCGCCTTCATCGGGTGGGCGACCGAGGCGTTCAGTCAATCGGGCTGTTTTCTCATGCAGCATGTGACCAGCGGCCCTGAATCGCTCCCTGGCAGAGGTTGTCCGGTCCATTGACGGGGCGAAGTCCTGTTTTTCGGTTTCCCCGTATTCTTCTGGCGTGCGCATGTTGGATAGACCGGAGCCTTGGCGGGAATGTGCGGGGGCCGGCGGGGTGATGGTGCCGGTCAGCGGGACATCGACATCGGCGGGTGGCAGCAATGGACGGGCTGAGGGGTCTTCGGCCAGCTCATTTCGACGCAGGCTTAGTGAACGAAATCGCACGCGGTGGGAAGGTCGCATGCGGCTGTTCCGCTCGGGCTCTGGCAGGCCAGGGTCCAGGACAGGCTCTGGACCAGGCTCGAGACCCTCCAGGCCGATATCATATTGGTGGGCGTCTGCTGTGGCTTCACGTTCGAGGCTCTGTCGATCGGCTGTCACGATGATTGGTAGGGGATATTCTGTATATTCTTCATTGGGACTGGGATGCGGGTTGGTAATGCCCGACATGAAAGCGGTGCGGAGAATATTAACCGAGCTTATGCAAGGCACAACAACGAGTGTGGGAAAAGAAAGATGAAAAGAATAGAAGGAGAGAACGAGATTCTAAAGCTAAGAGGTGAAAAATAACAAAAAGGCTAGAACCATTCGATTCAAGCGGAGACTTTGGAAAAAACCCACCAGAAAAAAAGGCAGAGAAAGCGAGTTAAAATAGCTGGTCTAGATCTACTACACATAAGTCCATGATTTCATCCTGCATTTATATAAACTGTTCTCTAGAGCAACTACGAAGATCTAACAGTATTCGTCACTCTGCACTCTGATCTCTGATCTCTGATTCTCCTCGCATGTACTCGTAGGACTATCACGGAGAATATCCCAGTACTTTGTGCAGAAGTGGGTCTATAGGGTGGCGATCGTGTTGACAGCGTATGGTTCGCTGCTTTGCTTTGTTCCAAGGAAATTCTCGACTTTCTGATTCTTTCTCATTTCTGTTCTTTTTCTTTTGTTTATTGACTTTATCACTTTCATCATCATGTATCATACATATGCACACTCTCACATATCATCACATCCCGAAACCCCTTGGGCCGTACTCAGGCCGAGAAGCCGATCCCGACTTAGCGCAGCCCCTGTATAGTGGAGTGTTGATACGGGCATAATGTGATAAGAGTGACAAGGGGGAAGCACATCAGTGGATAACCGTGTCAAAGCGAACAGACCAACGCCAGATTTATACATAGAAAACCAGACCCACTGGATGATGCACATTACGAATCGCCGAGAGCTCCCACGCCACGGTGGAGCCCATGGGCTAGAATCCGGATGACTAGCATGACTAGCACAGAATGGAGCTAAATGGCGCAACCCTGAAGGCACGGACGTGTATGGGTGTGTATAGGGTTTGGTTCTAATCGATTTTTGTACAGACTCCGTCCGCGTACAGTGTTGCAACTACTCTGACCGCTCCTTTCGAGGAACAGTCCAGCCATTCAAGATGCCACATCCGGCATTGAGATACCCGGCGTATCCCAGCCATGCCGCGTAGGGGACGAGGCACCAGAATGCGGTCCGATCGGCCGTCCACCAATTGACCATTAAGGCACCCACGTTGCCGGCCAAGAGGGTCAGATCGCCCAGTGCCAGGGCTGGGCGACCCAGACCGAAGAAGAGGGGCATCCAGAGGAAATTGAGGGCCAGTTGCGTGGTGTAGAGGGTCTGGCCGGCGACATTGGCATCCCGAACCGCCAGGGAGAACGACTGCGACGCGGTGGTGGTGGCGTGGTGCGATGCGTAGCCCATCAATCCATAGAGGACGGTCCATGCCGGCCCGAACAGCCACCCGGGGGGACTGAAGGGCGGCTGCTGGAGCTGTTGGTAGGTTCCGCGGGTTTGCCGGCCTGCAAAGGTCAGTGATAAGTTCTGGCATCGTCACTCTCTCTCTTACGATTGGTCAACAGGGCCACAGCGGTCCCTGCTGTGATTGGAGTCGCAACCGCCAGATAGGGGTTGGTGAGAATCACATGGGGCAGAGCGAGAGACCAAGGCATTCTGAAACGATGGGTTTTGTTTTTCTTTTTTTGGGGTGGAAAGAGAAGGTGAAGGGAATCTGTTTGAGATCGATCGATTCGCCCCTACGTCATCTATTCCTTAGGCCGCCACGTTTTGCCCGGCAGAATTTATTACCGCGTTTTTTTCTTTTTCTTGTTTTGCTTCTCTTCTTTGTCGATACATGACTCGTACAGAATGTACAGAAAACTCGTATACAGAGTACGAGAGTATACGCATGGAAACATATCTGCAGTGCAAAAGTGATATGCCCCAAAGTGGGCCTGAAGACACCAAAACATTTGGCATGAGATCGCCAGGTCTGTGCAACAACAATTCAGTCAAGGCTTATCTTGGACGGCGAGTATCAAGGGTCCCCCGGTCTTGCAGGTCAAATGAAAAAGGGCGTCAAGTTCTTTCCTGGGCTATAAATTGTGGAGTGGACACGGCAATCGCGGTTGGGTGAATTTCAAAGGAAACGAATCGATTCCAGCTTCTACACTTAGTACCCCACCGCAACTACTCGTACGAGATGCCCCTGCGACTATTGTGTCTCCATGGCTGGGGAACGAATCAAAAGGCAAGCCACCAACTTTCCCAGTGGGAACACAAACTCATTTCCCAGCAGATTCTACAGTCGCAATTGAGTACTGCCTCTGTTTCTTGCCATGGCGAGACAAACTCTAATCCAAACAGGTGGACTGATGCACGAGCTGCAAAGGGACAACACCGCAACCTTCACGTTCCTTGAAGGGGACATTGACTCGGATCCTGGTCCTGGCATTGCCGGCTACTATGACGGCCCGTACTACAGCTATTACCGATTTCCGCGCACCTTTGCCCTAGAGGATAATGACGACTCAGACATCCTGGAGGCGTACGAACAGCTCAATGAAACTGTTGCTTTGGAAGGTCCGTTCGATGGAATTCTAGGCTTCTCCCATGGCGGGACCTTGGCCGCTGGTTTCATCATCCACCATGCGAAAATGTATCCCGCGCAACCCGCCTTGTTCAGATGTGCTATCTTCATCAATTCCCTGCCCCCCTTCCGCATGGACCCTGGTAAGCGTCCCATTGTAGAGGAGGGGTTGGAGGGATACATCTCAATCCCAAGTGTGCATATCGCCGGTGCCCAAGACCCACTCTTTGATTATTCTCTCGCCCTGCATCGCATATGTACGGCCCACCATGCTACATTTGCAGTTCACGGAAAGGGTCATGATGTGCCCAGTGATCAAAAGGACGTCGTCATTATTGCCACTGCTATTCGCAAGTTGTTCAGTCAGATCTGGTGAAACATGGTATCTGGGAAAAGGGACTTGCTCAAGTGAAAGAGTGCTCAAGTGGGTGTGCGACTGTGGTTTGTAAAATCCCTCGGCTTTTCCTTTTTTCAAAGTTCTACCCGAGAAGAAAAGGGGTGTTGTAGGCAGATGTAGTGCAACCTGCAGGGTTGTAGGATTTTCTACCTACTCCGTACCTATATATCATGAACGCAACAAAAGTAGTTTCAGAACGAGACACTGTATAAGTCCAGGGTTTCACCGCTGAGGGTTGCACCCGGACACTAACCTCGCTGCGAGTGAGGTGAAACCTTCCAAGTCCCGAGACGGTTGCACCTTACACGGTGGAATTGATCTAGAAAAGGGCCTGAGAATGGAATTCTTTATTTCCAAGGTTTGAAATTTGCGAGGCATCAAGCATACTGTGTTAATTGAGGGGAAAAAAGAAAAAACTAAAACCACAATGTCGATTCCCAGCTCCAAAAGAGGTCCTGAAGATGATTTTGCAGGCTTAACAGCTCAATCATGTATGGATACCCCGATAGCCATTGTGGGAATGGGTTTTCGGGGTCCAGCTGAGGCCAGCAATGTGAACAGGCTATGGGAGATGATTTTGGCGGGAAGGGAGGGATGGTCTCCTATCCCAGCCAAGAGATGGAACAACGAGGCTTTCTATCATCCTCATGATGCCCGTCATGGATCTGTGAGTTGAGTGTGAGCGAACGTTGGCGAATTCGTATAGGCTAATGGCGAAACGGTGTAGATCAATGTGCAAGGTGGTCATTTTCTCGAAGAGGACATATCAGCATTTGATGCGCCCTTTTTCAATATGACCGGCGATGAGGCGGCGGTAGGTCGGTGGTGATATCTTGCAGAAATCCAACTAATTGAAATAGGCGATGGATCCCCAGCAGAGGCTGTTGTTGGAAGTGACATATGAAGGTCTCGAGAATGGTAGGTGCCATTTCCTCCCTCTTCACCCCTCCATCACTCATGAGGCGCAGCGGGAATTTCTCTCAACACAATTGCGGGAACAGAAACAGCCTGCTTCGTGGGATCTTTTTCGGCAGATTATACTGATCTGCTTCTCCGGGATCCTGAATGTGTGCCGATGTATCAGTGCACAAATGCCGGGCAATCCCGCGCGATGACAGCAAACCGGCTGTCCTATTTCTTCGACCTAAAAGGTCCAAGTGTCACAGTTGACACGGCTTGCTCTGGCAGTCTGGTCGCACTGCATTTAGCATGCCAGAGCCTCCAGACCGGCGACGCCTCAACTGCAATCGCAGCCGGCGTCAACCTAATCCTCAGCCACGAGTTTATGTCCACTATGAGCATGATGAGGTCAGTTCCAGCCATTCTCAGCTACTCTCTGTGATCAAGCTAACCTAAGAATAGGTTCCTCTCGCCTGACGGAAGATGCCACACTTTCGACGAAAAGGCAAACGGGTACGCTCGCGGAGAAGCGGCGGGCTGTCTCATTCTTAAACCCCTAGCCAAGGCATTACACGACGGCAACACGATCCGAGCCGTGATACGAGGAACCGGGTCCAACCAGGATGGTCGCACTGCCGGAATTGCATTGCCGAATCGGGTCGCACAGGAAAACTTGATTCGAAGCGTTTATCAACGCACTGGATTGGACCCGGCGGAAACGGACTTTGTGGAGGCACACGGCACTGGAACACAGGCTGGTGACCCTCTTGAGACAAAGGCTATTTCGGAAGTCTTTTGTGCTCGACGTTCTGTCGATAACCCTGTGCGCATCGGCTCTATTAAGACTAATGTTGGGCATTTGGAAGGGGCGAGTGGTGTTGCTGGTGTGATTAAAGCTGTGCTTATGTTGGAGAATCGGATGTTCTTGCCGAACCGAAATTTCGAAAAGATCAATCCTCGAATACCTCTGGACGAATGGAAACTTAAGGTAAGGATGGCTGTCTGGGGTGGATGACTCAAACTAACGCTTGAAGATCCAACTATCCCCGGAGTATTGGCAGACAAAAGGTCCTCGGAGGGTATCTGTGAATAGCTTCGGCTATGGAGGAAGCAATGCTCATGCGATCCTCGAAGAGACTGAGAGTTGCCTTTCTGGTCTCGGTCTCGAAATCAAGAGGTCGTCTTCCACGGTGTGCAATGGCCCCAGAGACAGGCCACTCTCGATCTCGTCACATCAAACTTCCCGAATATATGTTCTCTCTGGGTTTGATGAAGCCTCATGTGCCCGCCAGGTGCACAATTTGCGCAGTTATATCCTTCACAAAAACAGCCAACCCATCAGAGATAGTTTCCTGGACAATCTGGCTTTCACAGTGAATGAGCGACGCACACTCTTTCCGTGGAAGATCGCCGTGGTTGGAAATGATGTGGAGAATCTAAACACGTCGCTCTCGCAACGAGTCAAGGCCAGGAGTGCCGTCCGAAAACCGAGGCTTGGTTTCGTTTTCACCGGGCAAGGTGCGCAGTGGGCAGGAATGGGTCGAGGATTGATCCCCGCCTACCCTGTCTTCAAGGATTCGATCTTAAGGATCGATAGAGCTTTGATGGAAATTGGGTGTGGCTTTGGTGTCCTGGGTTGGTTAAATATTACCAGAAGATGTACATGGGCTGACACATTGAGACAGAGGAACTTCAGAAGGCACCTGAAGATTCAAACTTGAATCATCCAAGCCTGAGCCAGACTATCTGCACAGCATTGCAAATTGCTCTCGTCGATTTGCTTGCATCGTGGGGAATATATCCCGCTTCGGTGACTGGGCATTCTAGCGGGGAAATTCCCGCTGCTTATGCTGCCGGTGCATTGAGCATGAAGGATGCAATGACGGTGGCCTTGAACCGTGGTCTTTCGGCAACTCAGCTCTTGGACCAGCCAGTCAAGGGTACTATGATGGCAGTGGGACTTTCGGTCGAAGAAGTCCAACGCTACTTGGATGCCATCCCTCCCGGCCAGCTGGTTGTAGGATGTATCAACAGTCCGTCAAGTGTGACTATCTCGGGCGATGCACCGGCAGTTGAAGGACTTGAGAAGGTTCTGAAAGACCACTCCATATTCACAAAGCGCCTTGAAGTTGGTGTTGCGTACCACTCCCCTCATATGAAGAGGGTGGCTGAGCAATATCGCAGTTCGATAAACCATATTCAGGCTCTTGATACGGCCGATGTTAAGAACAAAACTAACCCAGTAGTTCCAAGATTCTTTTCTTCGGTTTCTGGAACGCAAATACACCCCAGTGAATTAAAATGTCACTATTGGGTCTCAAACCTGACGGGACAAGTCAATTTCGCTAGCTCCTTGAGAGCATTGTGCTTTGAGACCCTTAGTCAACGGCTACCTCGTGTCGAATCAACCAAAATCAAGAGATCCAAGCCTGCACAGAAACCTTCTGTGGACATACTACTTGAGATAGGCCCACATTCAGGTCTTGCCGGGCCCATCAAACAGATACTCCGAGCTGACACCAAGCTGAGCTCTGCTGACATAGTCTACGTCAACATGTTGACTCGCAATACGAACGCACTAACTACTGCACTGAATGCAGCTGCAACGGTGGCATCATTAAACTATCCAGTGAACTTCAAATCAATCAACAGACCGCATCACCCATTTGATAAAACGATACCAGAGCTGCTTGTTGATCTTCCACCGTATTCCTGGGATCATACCAGGACATATTGGGCCGAGCCCAGACTAAGCAAGATATATCGCAATCGACCAACACCAAGGATGGATCTGATCGGTGCACCAGATAACATAGCATGTCCATTTGAGCCTCACTGGAGGAATCATCTCCGTACCTCGGAGCTGCCTTGGCTTCTGGATCACAAGATCCAAGGAAGTATCATCTTCCCAGCGGCGGGCTACTTGACCATGGTGATTGAAGCCGTCAAACAAATGGCGACCCCTGAAGATGACTTTGCTTCCTACATTTTACAAAATGTCGAAATCAAGTCGGCACTGGTGCTCAACGAAATATCTGCCATCGAGGTTATGACGTCACTTTCAAAGCCCCTGCATAGTCAAAGTCATCTTTATGACTTTCACATCTATTCAATTTCAGATGACAATAGATGGACTGAACACTGCTCTGGAATTGTGGGGAGACAGAAAAGCCTCGGTGTCTCAAAAGAAGGGTCTGAAGACGCCGACGGATATGTCATGGTTCCCCTTGGTGCAGAGGTTCACGGAATATCGGTGGTTGACATCGGGACCTTTTATGACAAGCTTCACAGCTCTGGACTTGAATACGGCCGATGTTTCAGGAATCTCACAGAAGCACGTGTTACCCAAGATGGAGCCTGCTTTGCGGATATCACAGTCCCTGATACCAGATCTGTGATGCCAGCATCATTTCAACATGACCTCTTGATTCACCCCTGTACTCTGGATACTATATTCCATACTATCATTGCTGCTCTTCCATCGGGAATGGGAGTTGAAGAGGGACCCGTCATACCGATTTCAATCGAGGAAATGGTTGTGTCTTCTCGTCTGAACTGTTTGGCTGGGGAGTTGATGAGCATTTGCACACATGTGCGCCCAGTATCGGGAGGCAATTTCACTGCGTGTATTGCAGTCGTGGACTACGACAAGAGATTCGAGATGGAGCCCAGTATCTCAATACGCGGTCTACGGTGCGCACGACTGGGCCGCCAGCAAAGTGTGTCAACTGGAGAGGGTACCAGCACGATCTATCACATTGACTGGAAACCAGATTACAGCTTCCTCTGTCCCGGAAATCCATCCGCTCTATTGGCCATGGGTGAGCTAGAAGAAAAGCCAGTGGATCTCAACGAGCATGAGTATCATGCTGCCGAGTATATACGGGCTGCATTTGAACAAATTGGGGCAGACGAAGCGATGGATCTTGACATCTCGCATCGCAGACTATGGTGCTATCTTCAAGACGTGCTCGAGAGATACGATAAAGAAGAGTCGCCAATGGCTCTACACTTGGAGAGTCCTGGTCCTGCTCAAATCGGACACCTTCTACATACAATTGGCACCAATCTTGTCTCTATCATTCGAAATCAAATCGAATACTCTACCGTTATCGAGAACGAAACCTTATTACTTGAATATTGGGACATGTTTGCAGCGGACGAGGCATACCAAGCCGCAGCAAATTACGTCGGACTTATCGGTCACAAGAATCCAGCCATATCGATCCTTGAATTTGGAGTTGGTACTGGTCAGATCGCTGAGATATTTTTGAAACGTCTCATCCGACCCGATGGATCATCCTGCTGTGCGAAATATACATTCGCCTATGAAAGCGCGTTGACCCTTGAACAGACCTCTAAGCAACTAAAGCAGTGGCAGGACTTGGTAGAGTGTAAGCTCCTGGACCTCCGCGCAGACTTCTCCAGTCAAGGGGTTCAGAAAGGCTCGTTTGATGTCATCATCCTGCCACACGGTCTATGTACCGCCCGTTGTGAACAGGATGCCCTTTCCAGGATTAATGATCTTTTGACACCCTCTGGTTGTTTGGTCGCAATCAATCCATTTGATCCAAAGGAAAGTGTTCTGAAGAGCGTTTTGTTCGGCGCTTTGCATTGTCTGTCGGCAGATGAATTCTGTCTGGGTCAAAGTGGATGGACAGAGGGTCAATGGACTGAGATACTAAACGATGCTAAATTCAGCACCGTGGATATATTTGCAGAGCAAGATTCGTACAAATGCCATCAATTCATTGTGGCTAAAAAGCAAAGTGCAGACCTCTTGACTGCGAGAAGTGCAAATGTCGCGATCATTGACGAGGACGGGTCCAGCGATCTTGCAGCAGAACTTGTCAATCATCTCAAGAAAAGATGTTCGAAGGTGGTGATATCTAACATCGGGGATCTAGATCCGGAGGGTCAAATTTGTTTGGTTCTGGACACGGCAAAATCATCACTTCTCGCGAACCCGGATAAACTGACACTGAGAAAGATCCAGGCAATCTTCACGCACAGCTCAGGAGTAATCTGGGTCACAAAAGGGGGTATCATTGAGCCCGAGAACCCGGATGCCGGGTTAGTTTATGGATTTGCAAGAACAGCACGCGCAGAATCAGGCGTGAAGCCGATCATCACCTTGGACCTGGACTCCTGCAATCCACTCCATGGTGTACAGAGCGCAGAACTTATCTCGCGGCTGCTGGCCACACGATTCTTTTACAAAAGTTCTGATCTCGACACAGAATATGTGGAAAGAAACGGAGTTCTATTGATTCCACGAGTCGTCAAAGACGTGAAAACGACACTGGCTATGGAAAAAGTTGATCAGACCGAGAGCGTACATACCCAGATCTTCCATAATTCAGAGCAACCTTTAAGACTTTCCGGAAAGAACAATTCCTCCACCTTTGTTCCTGATCACGACATCCACGAACTTCCTGTGAACTATATCAGAATCGAGGTTCATGCTTTTGGCCTCAGTCGAGGGGATATTTTGCAAGATATGGAGTATTGGGAGCAGGATGATACTTTTGGCATAGGGTGCAGTGGGGTTGTCTATGAGGTCGGAAGCGAAGTTCGAGGTTTCAAAAAAGGCGATCGCGTGGCATGTCTTGGAGCTGGAACTGCAAGGACTTTCTATCACGACCTAGCTACGAAATTCCAAAGAATTCGTGGTGACATGGCATTCCAGTTTGCCGCATCTTTGCCACTGGCATATACAGTTGCACTGTACGCAGTGACTCACTTGGCTCACGTCGAGCCAAGTGAAATCGTTCTAGTGGATGATGCCGGTAGTTACTTTGGGCAAGCTATTGTTGATATATGCCTGTTCAAGCATACCCGGCTGTTCGCAGTCGCTCGGAGCAGCCACGAGAAAACTATTTTGGCTTCCAAGTATGGCATCCCAGAAGAACGGATAGTCCAGAAAGGGGAAGATGATACTCTGAAGGGCATCCTGCGATTGACAGACGGCAAAAAGGCCAGTGCTGTCTTCGCTTTTGATGCCTCGAATGGGAGCTTCCGGAATTGCACGGCGCCATTTGGACGATTCGTCCAGCTTCGAACCGAATCTCACCAACCACATTGCTGGACAGAGACTCAGAATATCACGACCTCCACTCTTAACATTTTTGATTTTCAAAAAGAGAGGAAAGACCTGGTCGATAAAATTTGGTTGGATGTGGCGCGGCTGTTTTATGATCGACGACTCAACGGGCCTGCATCGATTCAGGTGTACCCTGTTTCATCCGTTGGTGAGGCAATCGATGCCACCTCCACTGACCAGCAAGTCCTAGTTTCTGCAAAAGCAAGTGATACTGTTAAGGTAAGAATACATATCCCTGACGAGGGCAGAAACCCGAGCTCACGAATCTCAGGTCACTCTACCCAAAAAGCCACATCAGCTATTCCAGGAAAATGCCTCTTACCTATTAGTCGGCGGACTCGGCGGAATTGGACAAGAAACCGCTCTTTGGATCGCACACAACGGGGCAAAGAGCATTATTTTCCTTAGCCGCAGTGGTCTCTCGAACGAGAAATCCAAAGCTACGGTGAAGGAATTGATGGAGTGTGGTGTTCAAGTCACTATCCGAGCGTGTGATATATCCGATGAGTCTAGCGTGAGCCACGTGCTTGGCGAACTATCAAAATGCGCACCTCCAATACGAGGACTGATCCAGACAGCCATGGTGCTTAAAGATGTTCATATTGAGAATATGCAGCCAGATGAGTATTACGATGTTATGAGCCCCAAATATCATGGCACCTGGAATTTACATCGAAATCTCCCCTCGGACCTCGATTTCTTTGTGATGCTTTCCTCCATTAGTGGGGTTATCGGCAACGCCACACAAGCTGCATATGCTGCAGGTTGTGCTTTCCAGGATTCCTTTGCAGCCTACAGACAAAGACTAGGCCTTGCAGCGGTGTCGCTAGATCTCGGAGTGATCAGCGACGCAGGATATCTAGCTGAGAATAAAGAATTGGCCAAAAAGATGAAACGGCAAGGATTCCAAGGAATGAACACCAAAACACTCATGGGTTTGATTCAGGTCGCAATATCGCAGCCCCCCAACGAAAGGGCACAAATAATCACAGGACTTGGTCGTTGGAAAGAAGGCGAAACACTGGGTAATTTCGACGAGTCCATTTTCTCGCATTTCCGACACCAATTCGGTGGTCTTGGCGAATCCTCTTCGCAGACTTCCTCGGAACTCCTCAAAGCGGCACTAATTTCCGCCAAGACGACCGACCAAGCGACCGGAGTCATATGTGAAGCGATTAGTCAAAAGCTTGCCTCGCATCTTTCCATACCAGTTGAAAATATTGATTCAGCAAACCGAGTTTCGGACTATGGAGTTGACTCTCATGTTGCTATTGAGCTGCGGGATTGGATTTCCAGATCCATGGCATGCACGATTCCCATTTTGGAAATATTGGCGAAATCTTTGCTGGATTTATCTTTCAGGGTCGCCAGTGAGATTTTCCATAGCCATGAGGAGTAAATGAAATGAATGCTCAAGTGCTCAATTGGGGATATCGAAAGTTGCTCTCCAACCTTGAAAGTTTTTAGACCGGCGCCAGTTTGTGTGACAACTGTACGGAGTTCTCCGTAGAATGCTCTAAAGTTGTACTTGAGTACTTAGTCTTGCACGCCCGAAAGCTTTGGAGGTAGTATAGCGTTGCAAACGAGGTGTTTTGTCAAGTCAGGCGTGACCAATAGACACCGCATCTGCCCTGCTACACAATACTGACTCTATATGTTGGTCCGGTAGTGGCTTATGATTATGCAGAGACTCCAGGACTTTAGAAGATCATCGCAGGATTCATTTAGTAATAGTCCAGGTGTTGTCCCAAACGGCATGTCCGATTAAAGCTCTAGAGTCACCAGACACGGAGTGATGAGTCAACCACAGTGGGGGCCTCCTGATTAACTATGCTCTGTGTGGAATGCCTGATTTAAACATTGCCGATTAAAAATATCGACAAGATCTCGACCACATGGCTTTTAGGCAGTCCATGTTTCGAGTGGCCCCGGTGGGGTCCAAATGTCTGCCAGTTCCGCTTACATCAGCGGATGTTCCCGCTCAGACCCCGACCCCCGATTGGCTCCTCGGAAGCACGCCACGTCTTGGCACATGGATGGGCCGAAGTTTGTTTTTCCACCTTTGAACCGTTGGCTTTCAAGCGCAGTGTTATTGGTACTTTGTAAACCCCATTTGGATAGTTGAGCTCAGGATAACCAAAAGCACACTTTATAATAATGTCAGATTACTCCGTATCAGGGCCCATGTTTCAAATAGCAAGGACTAGCTGAGAAGCACTGCAGGGTGCTAGTCCATAGGCCAGATGAGACCCACCTTTGCACATGTATCCGATGAGTCAGCGGAACCGGGGCTCTCAAACTAACGCCGACTCTAACAAAAATAGTGGCTCGGCCACCTTGTTTGTCCGAAATCCTTTTCTCAAACACGAAGATCTGGAGCTGGTTGAGTCAATGGAAGCCGTTCGTCGTGTTAGTCTCCATATTATGCCCGGGGAGTCACCAATGGCAGCCCACCATTCATATCGGACTCGGACGTTCGGCCAGCGCGTCAATCCCGTGGATCCACAATAGTCTACTGTATGGCATCCCTGAGAATTTGCAGTCTCATAAAAAGATCAAAGCTCGCACTTTAAGATGGTCTGCTTCCCTAGTTATCACCCTCTTTTTCCTTCAGTCCTTCCCCTTCCCATTCATCATCATGGAAGGTTCGGAAAAGTCCTCCGGGGCTGAAGAACGCCAATATGATACCGAAAGCGCCATGACCATCATGGGCGACGAAACACCCCGCAACGGAACTCCCGCCAAAGCTAATGATTGGAGCATGCTGTCCAAGCTTCAGGGTGACAATGAACGGGCCCTCGCCTCAGGGTTCAAGAGACAAGAGCTGGGTGTCAGTTGGAAAGATCTTTCCGTACAGGTCATCAGCTCCGAGGCCGCGGTCAACGAGACCGTGCTCTCGCAGTTCAATATTCCCACTAAAATCAAAGAAGGTCGACAGAAGCCTCCTCTACGCACCATTCTCAACAAAAGTCATGGCTGCGTCAAACCCGGTGAGATGCTGCTTGTCCTGGGCCGCCCAGGAGCCGGTTGCACTACCTTGTTGAAGATGCTTGCGAACAGACGAGGAGGATATAAGTCGGTGGAAGGTGATGTTCGCTTTGGCTCCATGCAGCCAAAGGAGGCCGAAGCCTACCGAGGCCAGATCGTCATGAACACCGAGGAGGAGATCTTTTTCCCAAGTTTGACGGTTGGTCAAACCATGGATTTCGCCACTCGCCTCAAGGTTCCCTTTAACCTCCCCGACGGCATGACAGCCGCCGAGTACCAAGCAGAGTCCAAGAAATTCCTCCTGGAATCAGTCGGAATCTCCCACACCGAAAACACCAAGGTTGGCAACGAGTATGTTCGTGGAGTCAGTGGTGGTGAACGCAAACGTGTCTCTATCATCGAGACCATGGCCACCCGAGGCTCAGTCTTCTGCTGGGATCAGTCAACACGAGGTCTGGACGCCTCCACTGCCCTTGAATGGGCCAAGGCCATTCGCGCTATGACCGACACCCTCAACCTCGCAACTGTTGTTACCCTCTACCAAGCTGGTAACGGAATCTACGATCTTTTCGACAAGGTTCTCGTCCTCGATGAAGGAGAGCAGATATACTACGGTCCCAGAGAGCAGGCTAGGCCCTTCATGGAGGAAATGGGCTTCAACTGTCTCGAGGGCTCTAACGTTGCCGATTATCTCACTGGTACCACCGTTCCCACTGAGCGCAAAATCCGCGAAGGCTATGAAAGTCGCTTCCCTCGCAACGCCGAAGCCCTCAGAATTGAATACGAGAAGTCGCCCATCCACGCTGAGATGATAGCAGAGTACTCTTATGCCGATTCCGACGTCGCCCGCGCACGCACCGAGGAGTTCAAACAAGGTGTGGCCTTTGAGACTTCCAAGAATCTACCAAAGAACAGCCCCTTCACTGTCGGATTTGTCGATCAAGTGAAGATTTGTGTGCAGCGTCAATATCAGATTCTCTGGGGTGACAAAGCTACATTCATCATTAAGCAGCTGGCCACACTGGCCCAGGCTTTGATCGCTGGATCTCTCTTCTATAGTGCACCCGACAATTCGGGTGGCCTGTTCGTGAAATCTGGTGCCCTTTTCTTCTCCCTTCTTTACCAGAGCTTGTTGGCCATGAGTGAAGTAACCGAATCCTTCTCTGGCAGACCTGTTCTGGTCAAGCATAAAGGATTCGCTTACTTCCACCCCGCCGCCTTCTGCCTTGCCCAAATCGCTGCAGATATCCCTGTTCTGCTCTTCCAGATTTCCATCTTTGGTCTAATTGTTTACTTCATGGTGGGCCTCACCATGTCCGCCTCAGCATTCTTTTCTTACTGGATCATCATTTTCACTACTACAATGGTAAGACACCTTATACTTCGTCCACTCCGTTTGAATCACGAACTAACCGCATTCAGGCAATGACTGCACTCTTCCGTGCTGTCGGTGCTGTCTTTTCCACATTCGATGGCGCATCGAAGGTTTCCGGATTCTTGATCATGGTCACTGTTTTGTACAGTGGTTATATGATCCCCAAGCCAACCATGCACCCCTGGTTTGGATGGATTTTCTGGATCGATCCGATCGCTTATGGATTTGAGGCTTTGCTGAGCATCGAATTCCACGGGAAAGACGTCATTCCCTGCGTCGGCAACAACCTGATTCCGACTGGTCCTGGATACGAGAACGTCCAGGCGCACCAGTCCTGCGCCGGTGTGAAGGGTGCTATCCAAGGCCAGAACTTTGTCACTGGTGACAACTACTTATCCGCCCTTTCATATAGCCATTCTCACCTGTGGCGTAACCTCGGCATCAACTGGGCCTGGTGGGTGTTGTTCGTCGTTCTCACCGTCGTTGCTACTAGTAGGTGGAAGTCTCCTTCCGAGGCTGGCAACACCCTGGTCATTCCCCGAGAGTACCTTCACAGACATCTCAAGAACCAACCCAAAGACGAAGAAGGCCAGGTTTCTGAGAAGAGGGTTACTGAGGGTAAGAAAGAGGAGCCTGAGAATCTCGACAACCAGCTGGTTCGCAACACCTCGGTCTTTACTTGGAAAGATCTGTCCTACACCGTTTCCACCCCCACCGGCGACCGATTGCTTCTCGATAATGTCCAAGGATGGGTCAAACCTGGTATGCTGGGTGCTCTCATGGGTTCATCCGGTGCTGGTAAGACCACCCTTCTTGATGTTCTCGCCCAACGCAAAACCGAAGGAACCATCAATGGTTCAATCATGGTTGACGGTCGCCCACTCCCCGTCTCATTCCAGCGTTCGGCCGGCTATGTCGAGCAGCTCGACATCCACGAACGTATGGCGACTGTCCGTGAATCATTGGAATTTTCTGCATTGCTCCGCCAGCCTGCTACTACCCCTCGCGAGGAAAAGCTTGCTTACGTTGACGTTATCATTGACTTGCTGGAACTTCACGACCTGGCAGATACTATGATCGGAAGTGTTGGAGCCGGATTGAGCGTTGAACAACGCAAGCGTGTCACCATCGGTGTCGAACTGGTTTCTAAGCCCAGTATCCTTATCTTCCTGGACGAGCCTACCAGTGGTCTTGATGGCCAAAGTGCTTACAACACTGTTCGTTTCTTGCGCAGACTCGCGGATGCAGGCCAGGCTGTCCTGGTGACTGTCCATCAGCCATCAGCGCAGCTGTTTGCCGAATTCGATCAACTTCTTCTGCTTGCTAAGGGTGGTAAGACTGTTTACTTCGGTCCTATTGGACAGAACTCTTCTGAGATCAAGACTTACTTCGCGCGTCACGGAGCGCCCTGCCCTCCCGAGACTAACCCTGCCGAGCATATGATTGACGTCGTTTCTGGCCAGCTTAGCCAGGGTAAGGACTGGAGCAAACTTTGGTTGGAGTCCCCCGAGCACAGCGCGATGCGCAAGGAGCTCGATGAGATCATCTCGACTGCCGCGGCCAAACCCGAATCTACCCACGACGATGGTCGCGAGTTTGCATGCACCTTGTGGGAGCAAACTATGCTTGTCGGGAAGCGCACTTCCACCGCTCTATACCGAAACTCGGACTACATTAACAACAAGTTCGCTCTCCACATCTCATCCGGTCTGTTCGTTGGCTTCAGTTTCTGGATGATTGGAGAGTCAGTCGCCGATCTTCAAAGTGTTCTATTCTTCATCTTCAATGCTATCTTCGTCGCCCCCGGTGTGATTGCCCAGCTGCAGCCTACTTTCTTGGAGCGCCGAGACTTGTTCGAAGCCCGTGAGAAGAAGGCCAAGATGTACTCGTGGAAAGCATTTACCATTGCTCTGGTCGTCTCCGAGTTCCCTTACTTGGTTGTCTGTGCCGCCCTCTTCTTCAATTGCTGGTACTGGACCGCTGGTATGGCTGTTGATTCCAGCAAGAGTGGCAGCATGTTCTTTGTCTTCTTCCTCTACGAGTTCCTGTACACTGGAATTGGTGAGTTTTCCCCTTTCTTTCTCCTGAATTACGCTAACATCTACCAGGTAAATTTGTCGCTTCTTACGCACCCAATGCTGCCATGGCTGCCATGATTAACCCCCTGATCCTCGGTGTATGTCACTCTTTCCCTTCTGGCCAAAAACATGTTAACTAACGCTCTTCTAGACAATGATCTCCTTCTGCGGTGTCTTGGTTCCCTATGCCCAGATTGTCAGCTTCTGGCGCTACTGGATCTACTGGCTCAACCCCTTCAACTACCTGATGGGTAGTATGCTGGTATTCGGCCTATTCGACCGCAACGTCGAATGCACAGACCAAGAGTACGCCCTGTTCAGCCCGCCCAGCGGATCAACCTGCATCGAATATCTGGGCGACTACATGCAGACCATCGGCGCTCGCATGAACCTCGTCAACCCCGAAGCAACCTCCGACTGCCGTGTGTGTCAGTACACCCGCGGATCCGACTACCTGGTGACAGTCAACCTCAACGACTATTACTATGGCTGGAGAGACACTGGAATTGTGGCTCTCTTTGTGATCAGCTCGTACGGGCTGGTCTTTGCTCTCATGAAGCTGCGCACTAAGGCCTCCAAGAAGGCTGAGTAAGCCTCTTCCATCTTCGGGTTGTTTCATCTCCCCTCTCTTCATACACTAGATCTTCTTTCATCGCTTTGTGACCCATTGTTTTTTCTTTGCGGTGTATATTTACTGCATGTCAATACATGAAAACGGGGCAAAACTATACATAGACTTCAGACCTGCATATTCGCTACTCAAATATCATTTTAATTGTGAACATAATACTTAAGTACTTGTGTTATCTCTGGTTTCCAAGGTTCCAGCCTCTATACTTAAGTAGAATCCAAATCAACATCTACAGATGTGCTTGTTGTTGCTGTTCGTCCTTTGAACTCCTTCAATACTTCTTTCACATAAATATCCATGGATTCTTTTTTTTTTTTTTTTTTTTTTTTTTTTTTTTTTTTTTTTTTTTTTTTTCTTTTTTTTTTTTTTTTGTTTTTTTTTTTTGTTTATTTTTTCTTTTTGTTTTTTTTTTTTTTTTTTTCATTTATTTTTCTATTTTTTTTTTTTTTTTTTTTTTTTTGCACAATTTGTACATTGAGTCCGCCCAAGCATACCGCGTATTTCGTGGATAATTGCTGAGCGCAGATAACCATAAAAGGTCGTTGATGCGATTGCATAATTTGTTTTCTTGGACTGACAGTAGAGAGTATGCAAAAGATCCAGTAAACGTTCAACCGATTCGGTCATCCATTTGGGACCGCAAGGGGCTACTGAAAAATATTCTTCTTCCAAATACGGGATTGACAATGATGACGCTCTATGTTGCAGGCATCTCGATGACACGCGGAAAGTAAACAACATAAAGGAATCAAACTAAATTTTCGGCCATATCGCCGAGGTTATGGTAGTGAGAGACCGAGCCGTGCAAGATAGGAGTAACGCCGATCAAGGTCCGTTTGATAAGCCACACGGAGGAAGTGCGAGACCCAAGACTGCCAAATTCTAATACTTGAACTACTTTTCGCACCAAAGAGGAGACGCGAAAGAAAGATGGGAGGACACCAAGGGATTGGCATGTCGACTTGAAATGCAAGGAGCCGAGTCCAAAGGTACACAATGTCTCCCGTCAATTCCGCGGAGTTGCATGATCAACAGAAAGAATGCACAATCTCGGGATTCAGTTCCCAGATAAATCATGCCAGCGCAGTGGAGCAAACACTCAGCAAACTGCACCACGGACTTTGTCCGAGAAATAAAGCCTGAAGCACAGATGACGAGGAAGCACCCCGAGAGCCCGATGTTGGCGGCCGAATAAGCGCTTCAAGACACTCGGGACACGACTCCACAGCTTTAAACTTAAGACCTCTTTCAGCCGGTTTGCCTCCGTGGGGTGGTCCGGATGCTTCTCTTTGAGCCTATCAGGCCGCGGTAAGGGGGTCATGACACAATTCTCGTGATTCTCCGCATTTGCTTCCCCGCAAAATGATTGGCGCAGGCCCACTCATGGTCCCCCCACGTTTTTTTCCCCAGAATTCACGGGGTAAATGCGATCCGCGACTTTGCTACTCTGTGACTCGAGAAGGAGAGACTTGTGCCGCATCAGAACTAGTCTCCTCGTAACCGGACCTGGTCCATGCTGATCCCCGCTCGACATAAATGATGGACGGCCCCACGAGTCGACACTTTTCGTCTTTTAGTTGTGTCTGCCTTTGGACATACGACAGTCAATATGACAGACTCAAAGAATATCATCAGCGATGCAGACTTGGGGGAGAAAGTTGACATGACGCATGAGGAAGTCGTGCACATGGCACAGTTGACCGACGAGGAGAAAGTTATTGAAAAAAAACTACGCAAGCGCATCGACGCTTTGATCATGCCATTGGCTATCCTCGTCTATTTGATGAATTATATTGATCGGTGAGTTGCAGCAAGACATCGTGATCCACAAGAAAATGCTAATCTTGCAAAAGCAACAACTATGCTGCGGCAAAACTTCAGGGTCTGGAAGAGGATCTCAACTTGGACGACACAAAATACCAGACCGGTCTGTCCGTGCTGTTTGTGGGATACATTCTCATGCAAGTGCCTTCCAATATGCTTCTCAACTATATGGGTCGACCATCCTGGTACATCGGCTTCTTCGTCTGCGCTTGGGGACTGGTGTCTGCAGTGACCAGCCAAGTTTCGACCTACGGAGGAATTGTGGCATGCAGATTCATCCTTGGTCTGGTCGAAGCACCTTTCTTCTGCGCTATCCTATTTTACCTGTCCAAGTGGTACACCAAGCAAGAGCTGGCTCTGCGCATGAGTATCTTCTACTCTGGTTCGCTCCTGTCGGGCGCTTTTGGAAACCTCATCGCGGCAGGTATTCTCAATGGACTGAAGGGGCACCGCGGTCTCACTGCTTGGCAGTGGCTTTATATTATCGAAGGTTCAATTACTTGTGCCATCGGTCTGGCGATTTGCTTCATTTTGCCCGACTTCCCTGAGACTTGGAAGCTTCTATCCCCGGAGATGCGACACGTAGCTCAACGACGTCTTGCCATCGAGGCTGGTGAAGCTGATGTGGATGAGGACGGTGGCAAGAGCCAGCTGAAGGGTCTGAAGTTGGCGATGACTGACATTAAGACCTATGCGTTCGCCATCGCCTACATGTGTATTACAGGCGCGGCTGGTTTCCAGAACTTCTTCCCGTCGCTGGTGAAGAACAGCCTCGACTATAACGAGACCATCTCGCTCGTTCTCGTGGCGCCTCCGTATCTTTTCATGGTCATTTATTCTCTTTGCCATTCCTTGATGTCTGACAGGTTGGAGAAGCGATTCTGGTTCTTCGTGTACCCGATCCCCGTCACCATTGTTGGATTCATCATCTATATGACCACAACCTCTTTCGGGCCGAGATACTTCTCGTTCTTCTTGATGGTCTTTGTCTTCGCACAAAACGGAACTCTGTATTCCTGGCTTGCCAGTTCAATTCCCCGCCCGCCCGCCAAGCGTGCTGTCGGTAAGTGATCACATCAATTCTATCTCATGATCCTATAGACTGAGCTGACCGGTATAGCATTTGCATTCTTCAACTCTCTCGGTAACAGTGCCTCTATCTGGACACCCTACACCTATCTCGAGAAAGAGGCACACAATGGTTATCGCACCGCTATGGCCGTCTGCATTGCGCTTCAGGCAATCGGAGGACTGATGGCTGTGTTCTTGTATTTCAATCTGCGGATGCTCAATAAGCGCCAGGAGCGTTTGGAGAATGAGGAAGTGCAGCTCAGTGAGAAGGACATTCGCCGGTTGCAAGCCACCGCTGATGTGGAAGGTATCGACATTGCTGCTGCTAGACGCTTGCAGAAGGGATTCCGCTACACCTTGTAGTTTTATTGTGTGGAATATCAGGATCTTCAACTTTTTCAACAAACACTGTTCCAAATTTCGTACTCAGTAGTCCATGTAGACGTATAAGGGTAACAGTGGTAATTTTCACAATACCTTCAGCAGACTCACGATGCCAGAACCTCGGAAGACGGCACCTCTGTGCCATTGCGCACCGTAAGACCCTTTCAATCATGACATTTACATACTCCTGTCCAATCAGAGAATCCCGCATCAACCCATTGTCAGCTGACTCCGCATGAGGTCATATTTAAGAGCCACCGCCGCCGTTAACTCTGTTCTCATTATTTTCTTAAGAAGTTAAGAATTCTTGTTAATTTCGGACTACCATCCATCCTCTCTGCATCAAGATCATCATATACTACACATATTCCAAGGTTACGTGTCACTATCAAGAGTGGCATCACTGATCGACATTACCCACTCCCCCCACCATGTCACTGTCACGACCTGTTCTTCGTGTAACTACCAATCCATCCCTCCTACGCTGTTTCTCTGCTGCGCCCTCCATCATGTCTGCCGGTGATCTTGGATCCACAAAGCCCCGAGGCTTCATGGCCGAGTATGTATCAAAATGATGACGTCATGCATATCTGACCCGTCGACAGGAAGGACTCATTTACGAAACGCGAGGCCGCACACGAGGGGATTTATATCAGACAGCTTGAAATGGAGAAGTGAGTGATGATATATAATCCATTGGGCGAATGGTTCTAACCGGACACTAGGGTCGAGCGCCTCCGAGCTAAGCTGAAGGAGCAACGGAAGCATATGGACGAACTGGACAAGCACCTGTAGGATTTCTCCACTTGCATGCGTTCAATGTCATTTTTTCTCATTCTGACATGTCACAGGGATGAATTTGCCAAGAGTCAAGGCGGCGAACACAACTAACGCGGAGTATCCCGGGTTCTTGAATCATACGATGTCGCTGGATATTTGCCATTTCTAAAATGACTCGAAATCGTTGTGGTTCATATTTTGTGACATTACACCCGAAATTATTGAATTATGTCAATCTTCAATCTGGAGTCACGATGAAATGAAAAACTGTTACAACTTTTGCAACCTCTCCTGGTCCTTGTCTTCGCCTTTTTAGATCTTTGCGTGCCATCGCCATCGGTAACTGAGACACGCCCATCTTGCCATAGTGAATAATCCCAAAGCGACTATCAGGACACCACCGAGATAGGCTACCATGGCTTTTTTGCCGACTTTATCCAGCATCTCTCCGCCGGTGGGGATACAAATCAGGGTCCTGGCATCTAGTCAGCGGAGAACCATATCAAACTCGGAGATCACTTACGCAATGCTGACAATCGAGTAGGTTAGTCCGAATCGTCCGCCTACCTCGCTGGCTTTGGAGATTTGGCCGATACAGGCTGGTGCCAGACTCAGGAATGAGCCTGAGGCCAGTCCGAAGATGCTGGAGAACATGTACAGCCCTGGCAGGGTGTTTCCAAAAGGCAGCCAGATCACGAATACTGCAAATACGCCCAGAACTATCAGAGCAGTCTGGGTGTTGATTCTGCCGTAGCGATCGGCCACGCCTCCAGCGACTAGTCGGCCGATCGTGGAGCATCTGTGATACGTCAGTTGCAGTCTCATGGGTTCTAGGTCGGATTTTTAAGCACACATGCTCAGAACGGCGAGAAGATAAACACTATCGTTGTTTGAGAACCCTTGCATTACCACGTATGTCGGGTAGAGACCCAGGCCAGCGAAGACATTGAGTTCAAGTCCTATCTTGTCGTCAGCGATAACTCCTCCATGTTGCGCAAGTGGTAAAGACTCACCAAACATTCCAAGTGTCAACCAAGTGAATCTCGCATCCTTGAATGCTCTCAAATTGATTGTCGATTTGCTTCTTCCTTTCGGGAGACGGGCCTTAACCAGAACAATTCCGACGGTGCACATCATCAGAATCACCAACGCCAACAACCGAATAGTCCATTTATATCCAAACCGGGTAAAGCCACCCCTCAGCATAAACGGAAAGACAGCACCGCCCAATCCTCCGCCTGCCATCGAAATCCCAAGCGCAAGACCTGCCTTCCGATCGAACCATTGCGGCACACTGGCCAAAGCAACGGTACTCAAGAATGCAGTCCCAGTTCCACCAAGCACACCCAGGGTCAGTACAAAGTGCCAATAGAGATAACTTTCCGCCAAGAGAAGAAGTCCGGCGATATAGCACGCCGTCCCGAACATGAGAATATATCTAGGTCCATATCGGTCGAACATGGGACCCACCTGCACAGAGATGCTCAGCCCGAAGAATGTGAACAGTCCCGGAATCCATCCCACAGCACTGGGTGAGTAGTTCGACAATTGGTGCGTCGTCAGGTAACTTTGCAGAATTCCCGTCGTGTTCATTACACCAAATGTGCTCATGAGAAGGAAGAACGAGCCCACCACCACACTCCACGAGCGTAGTCCTCCATCTGGAAATGTGTCCTCGATACTATGACCCGTCAGATGAGTGGTGAGGGTAGACAATTCCGCGGGCGCTTCGACGACCGAGAAAGCCGAGCGGGGTGCCTCTTCATCGAAGTTCGCATTTGGGTAATCGGACACGCTGGTCGCGGCCGATTGCCATGGTCCTTGCTCTTGTACAGATGTACCGGCCGACTTTTGCATATCGATTTCAAGTGAGAGTGTTGAAGAATCTTTGTGTGGAAAATCCCCTTCAGACCCTTTTCATATCGTCGGGTGAGTCATGATAATCATTGGCTTGCATTAGCTTTTGATAGTGGGGGAGTGGAGGGTGTCGGATGAGCTCCCCGACTCTGATAAATAACATGGGGAATCCTGGTGCAGGACAACACTTGACCATGGCTGGTCAGAGGTGTTCGAGGCGGATCGATTGTCCAATTCTGGTACTCGTATGGCATTTTAGTAGGCTGCTTTAGTCGATATCACCTGCGAGGAAAACCTTCGTATCGGCCGATGATCGTCGGGGCCCATCCCGACCCGAGATCTTCCAGGGCTTTAGCACACGCCCTATGGTGTACGGAGTACATTTTAAGTGTTTTATAGTAAATTTCATCTTCGGCATATTTCTCTGCCTGCAGATCAAAGTACCTAATTATACAGTAGTTTTAATAGTCGATGTTTCATCGCAGATCAGTGGCATGACGCGCCTCGCCACCCGGCCGATGCACCTCCGCAGCGAAAGCACCCGATCTCTCAATTTCCTTCGAATCTTCGATCTCAAAATTGAGTGGCATGATTGTATACCAGCTGACGTCGAAATGACTGTAATCATTATCGTGCTAGACCGCTCATCTAGATCAATTCCATATATATATACTTACTCTTCTTCAATACCCCAGACTCAATTCTCCCAAGATACATATCTACTCCACTTAAACATGTCCACAACACAATGTACCAGACTCCTCACACGGAACATCCCCCAAGTGAGGAGGCGACGCCAATTACAAAACCCACACGTCACTCTAGTTGGCTCACCATCCAACCCCACCATCGACTCCGAACGTCTCCCCTACAGGCTCTACGAGCTGTCCCTCAAAAAGATCCGCAAAGAGGCACACGCTGCCGAACCAGACCTGCGACACGTCATCGCTGGCATCTCAATGCAGAAAAGTGTTTCCACCGCTGTCCACGATGATCTCCTTCACCAGGTTGATATACTGGAGAGTAGGAGGCCTCGCCTTCCTCTCCTCCCTGGTGCTGATGAAGCTTGGGAACATGAGGAGGTTGTCTCGGAGAGTCCTCGTTCGCCTTGGGATATGGAGGCTCTTGATCAGGCCTTGTATGAGATGGAACGGGCTAGTAAAAAGGGGGAGGTTGCAAGGACAGTTTGTTTTCAATTGATTAGTGAGATGTGATTTCTGGACTTCAGGAAAAGTGTGCGTTATGATTGAAAGTGATACCAATGAATGTTATGATTTTGTTATTTTTCTAAAGTTATTGACTTCCAAGGTTGGTATGAATATCCCGTCACAACTTGACCTGGGCATGCCAGCTTTCTATGTAATCTATGGATCCACTAGTGTAGTGGGGGAACAGCCTACATGCAATTCAGCTCCCAGGGAGGATAAATAGGGTCGCGTAGCGTAGTCTCGTGAATATAATGCACTCCCATTCCTACGATGCCGCTATTTTTACAGAATAGAGGTTGATTCTGCTGCCTGTCCCCGCTGTGGTGTTGGCTCACTGCTCCTATCGTCATCCTGTCTGCTCTGCCAGACTGCATGCGCACTTCCCTCTTTACTATCTAGTATCGGTAATAGAGACAGGTAGGATATATGAGAAGAGAGACCACAGAGCAAAGGTATCTTTATCCATGAGGAAGGGAAAGAGAAGAGAGAGAAGATATGGGGGAGAAATATAGAAGGAGAATCACGTGTCCGCAAAGTAGTCACGTGAGCTGAATTCTACTAAAAATCGGGTGACCCGTAGGTACCTAGGTCCACGGGTACCTAGGTTTTATGTCTCGCCCGCTGACCATCAAGCAGATCCGACGTCCATCGATGACAAATTCCTGAAGTCGACCTCGAGGAGGCTTTCGCAGCCCTCGCTTTCTAACTTCTAGACCAGCTACTTCAGCGCCCTCGGTCAGCAGCAAAACCACCAAATCCTTGGTCGACGTGCGATTCCTGCTTCCCGCTTGAAGGAGCTCATCTGTGATTGGAAGCTGAGAGAATTCCAAGAACCTGTCGCAAGTCCAGTAATTGCATCTCTCTATAATGATAGCCCCTGGTTCTTCGTTTGAAATTGAGTTCACCAGGTAATCCATGATTTTTTTAACGAAGTCGTCCAAGTCGCGGTCTGGTTGTAATAAATCTGGATAGGATTGTAGAAGACCGGATGTGGAATCGGGATCGTCGAGTTTGCCGAGGCGCAAAGCATTCTTGAACCTGACTCGCGCTGCTTGGTCAGTTCTCTGCCAAAATTCATCCCAAAGATGCGAGAATTCAATATCCGGTCGGTGTTTCAGAAGCAGATCCACTTTATGCAGAAGAGTATGCGAAAGAGCAAGTAGAATCACGTCCTTTGTGATTGCCGTTGATTCACAGCAACGAAGAAGTCTTTCCAGTGTTGCCAGAGGCTTTATCGATAAAACAGCCCGCCTGATTACCCGTTCGGTGATTTGCAAGGCTTCGTGGTGGATATCAAGAATGAGATTCATGGCGTCATTTTCTTCTGCAGCTAGCAGGAGGACCTTCTCTGTCATGCTAAATTCCGGATTCCACGCCAGGAGGAACTCTAGGGCCGGGACAGACCCAGAGAGCTGTTCTACCAGCCATTGATCGGGACCAATCAGTTTTCGATCAATGAGAATCTGCAAGATTGGCATTGTGATTTCTGGCATATCCGCAATCAGCTCGATCATATCTTCGAGTGGTAAATCACAGGAGCGTTGATCGAGAAGCCACGACATCATGGCAGGATTGGAACATGCCCCTAAGAAGGCTTCATCTGGTATGGTATTGCCAGATGAGACTTTTTTCAAGACTTTGAGTATCTCCAAGCCACTTGAGGGATTATTTGCAGCTGTCGAGAAGACCTCGTCTGTGGCTGGAAGAGGGCGGCCGTGGATCTGGGCGAGAAGCTTGATGAGCATCGGTCCTTCGGTCCAATTTGAGGCTGCTGCGCACATCACAGGCTTGGTGATTGGTATTGTCATATTGTTGTTGATCAATAAATGAATGATATCCATTGCCTCATTCTGTTCGCCCGCGCAAATCAAAGCTGCGAGATCGTCGGATAGAGTAATGCCAGGTGATTGCCGAATCAAAGCCAACTTTATTAAGAACAGTCGATGGTTCTGATTGAAAAGTATGTCTCTCAAGACCTCGTCATTCAGTCCGGGCGTTGGGCTGAGTTGCTCCCACAGAAATCGCAAAGCCTCTGGGGTGCACTTGGGGTTACTCTGTGCTGCCATGATCACATCCATATCGACCGCCGTATCTGGGTGACGCCAAGAAAGAAGAGACTTCATCATATCTACCCCATGGGCAAAGCGAAAGGATGTAGTCAACGTCTCTGTGGATAGTCGAATATCACGGTGACTTCCCAATACGAACTCCAACAATTCCCAATCGCCTATGGCAGCAAATGCTGAGACAGTGGTACGGTTGATGGAAAGTTTACTCGTCAGGTCCTGCAGAGCTTCAACGTTGGTTTGGTGGTATACACCTCCAGGGTCGGATGGGGATGTAGTGATTGTCTTTCTTGCAAGCAAGATATCCATCATGTCTTCGAATTCCGTCATATGGAACATGGAAGTCACCAGATCGTAAAAGGTGCTATCGGTGCTCACTGGAGATGTCTTTGGTCGCCAGCCCAAGAACACAGTGAGTATATGCTGCACCATGACCTCTGAATTCCGCAATGTATGAACAATCATTTGCTGTTTGATGATATCGCCAGGCTCTTTCAAACGGCCACACAGATCACCCTTTTCTCTCAAAACTTCAAGGATGTCGATAAGATTGTATTTCTCGCCAGTATTGTGGCGAAGCTCTGCCAAGATAAATTTGGTGGTCTCTTCGCACACGGAATAATTTGTTTTCAGTAATCGTCCCAAAACATCCACATGACCATATTCGGCGGCATCCATGAATGCATTTGATCGGTCGGAAATGTCATTTTTCTGGAAGCGCACAGAAGGATCTTCGCCCCGCGTAAGCAAAGCGTCCACGACGTGGAACAAACCTAGCCTCGACGCTCGATGGATGGGTGGGCCGAATTCCTGCCGCGCCATTACCCACGGAGAGACACGATCGCGATACTCAGCTATCCGGGTCCAATTTAGGTAGTGGTTGTCGTCAATGAATATAGTCACAATATCATTTAGCAGGTCTCCAGGAATCCGATCACCCACAGCAATGAAGTGAAAATGGAAATACCGGGCCGCATACACCAGAAAATGCTGTTCCATCGCCGCTGCTTGAGTGAGTATTCTCTCTTGAGTCAAGATCCTTGACACTGCTTTTTCGGCGAGATATAAGTGACCAACAATCTCTGAAAATTGGTAATAGAGAGGTCCATCTTCAGGTACAACCAGGAATTCCCGGACCGAGAAATGGGCGAGTCGAACTTTGCCTTCAAATTCATTGACAAGCGACGTGCTGCATATTTCGATCACATGGCTGGGCCTGTTTAGATCAAACGCATCGGCGATTGTTTTCGGGTCCAGAGGCACTGGCGAAAAACAAAGAAACATCAAAATGCCACGAGCCAATGGTTTATCAGCTGCCCCGGCGTTCTCAAGAATTCTTTGATAGGTCTGCTCCAGGGTTTGGGGAATTGTCCGAAGGGCTTGTTTTATTGCTTCATCGGTGCGGCATTGCTTAAGTCGTTCTATTTGCAAATCAGCCCAACGGAAGCGTCGTCTATTAAGCATGAATTAGCTTCATAGATGATCGGGAAGATTAGTAGCTTACCGCTCCTTCACACGCAACAATTCCACAACGATTGAGCGTTTGATTTCCGTTTTCAGGTCACTTAGACTTGAGTCGGCAATGGAGGCGTGCACAAAAGTTTCCACATCTTCAGCCAGTTTGGCTTCTAGATCAATCACAGGAAATTTCTCCAGCTTTCGCTCAATATCGGTTTCGCGTCTGCTTGTCGCAATAATGTGAACTTTATCCTTGTATCGCTCATGAATGTCTAGGAGCAGCTTCAAAAGCGACAGTCTCTCACTTGATGACGGGGTGTCGGGACACTCGTCCATCGCATCCAAAATCAGGAATACTTCTCCAGATGTATGAGAGAGCACATCGTGAAAAATATCAAGTACGCTATTCCAACTGGGCTGGCTTCCCTTGGTGTGGTGTGTCTTCCAAGCTTTGGTGAGAGACGATGACAGTGGTGGCCTACTCAATTGGCGAATGAACGATCGGACCAGACTTTCCACACTGTGTGTCTCGTCTCGATCGAATTGAAAGAACCAGTATGCCATAATTCTGGATGAGCTGGCCTCGCAGTACTCTTCGATGTCTTGCACGACAGTGGAACAGAGAACAGACTTGCCACACCCGACAACTCCTGGTAGCCATAGAATGTTCCCAGGTGTATGTTTCCAATCTTCATACTGCTTTGTATGCAGAAGCCAGCTGCCAGTTTCGCCGCTTCGGCGTTTTTGTAGCCTTCTCTTAAGATCGGAATAAACCGCGGATGATATCCACACCAACTGTTTGTCTTCCTCGGCGCTCAGCGCTCGGGACTGCATGTCTTTTGAGATATCAAGGAGGTCATCAATGCGAGCAAGTTGAGCCGCAGCAAGTTCCCGGGCCAAAATGGTCTGAGTGGCATTGGCCCACTTTTCCACCGTCGAGCTTTCCTCTTGCACAGCTTGCTTGAGCTTTTGTAGCTGCTGCTCTGCAATGGATGTGAAACTTTCAAACGCTCGTCTCACAACATTTTCCTTCTCTGCCTTTTTCACTTCGGCTGTATATTCAAGAATTGCCTTGTATACACGAACCAACGTATGATCGAGATTATCATTTTGGCCTGCATGGCTTTCCTCAATCCAGGTGTGATAGGCGAGCGTATCAGCAAGATATTCAGGTGCTTCGAAAATGGCATTCCGACGCTCGATGCTGTTGGTGGCTACCTATTGCTTGCATCAGTATTCAAATCACCAGCGAAAAGAAATGGGGGAACTACAGTCAGTCCAACGGAAACGACGCCCCATGCTATGGATGCTAGACGCCAGTTAGAAATCATTTCGCCGCAGAAGACTGGGCAACGCACCATATCCCGTTGGATCGCATGCTGCGCCCGCTTTGATCATGTTTTGAAACTGCATCGCTGCCCCGAGAATCCTTTCTGCCAAATCGCGAATTTTGACCTCGTCACCATTTGCGCGGTGGAATTTGAGACCACTCTTCTTCCAATTGGTGTATGATTCACGAGTTGTACTGATGACTTCGTTGGTGGCATCGAGAGACGACGCTCCATCGACGCATAGGTAGGTCTGATGTTTCGCATCAAGCTTTTCAAAGGCTTCTTTCCAAAGGTCGCGTTTGTCGGGCTTGTCCTCGACTGCGCTCGAAGGGGTGGAGGTGACACTTGCTACCCCACTCAGAGCCCCTGTTTGGGGAACTTCGACAGGGCGTGCGGGTTTGGCCTCATCATCGCTAGCATCTGTTCTGCTGCAACAAAACTTGGAGCGAAATTTGCCCATTGCGTGTTAGGCAAAGCCCGAGACAGATATTTCAGTATCAAAGCGCAATATCGAGGGGCGAAATTGATCCCATCATCACAAGCAGGGGAGTGGATAACCCGGGTGCTGTTCAGTGTGCGATTCTCCGCTTTTACTGGACGAACGTGTTCAGCTGAGTCGTGAATACGTGCCTTTGCGCAGGAGTAGAGCGGCTTGGCAATGACTCCGTAGGAACGCATGCTGCTGAAGTGAAACATTTGATACTATATCATTATCCAGTACTCCGTATGCTCACTTGAAAGAGTTGGTACTCCATTGTATGTACAACGCTGAAGGCTGGATCGAGATATTCCGGATCTTTGCCAATCCAAAATACAAAGGAGTGATGCAGCAGAAGTACGGAAATGCAATGTTTGATGCACGAGGACTCCGCAGTGGAGCAAACCAGGCAAATCAGGCAAACAGAGCAAACAAGGGGCATTTCTCACATCTTCATTTTCTACGTTTGAGATCAATGGATATCATGGTTCAGCCAAAAGCGATATACAATCTAGTACATACTCGTACGGGAGTATATCCAAGTCCCAACTTTGCAAAACGTTCCAATCTTGGGTACAACGTTGCCGAGGTCCTATTATCCAATGACAGACTCCACATGCAGCCCCAGTCATGATGGTGGGCACTGATCCCCCCACCAGTGCTGCTCTCGCCAATGATGAAGTTGCACATGGGGAGCTAACAACGACTAGCTGGGACCAACGGCCTCTGGGAAACGATGCGCCCCACTATTGCGCTGGCAGATCTCGGACTCCCCCTCGGAAATCTCACTCGCCTAAATCCTGTCGTGCCGTTGGCCCAACATGACCCTTCCTTTCTCCCCATAGCTTCGTTTGCCGCGCCATGGTCGGTGATACGCGACAGTTCCTCGATTCCCGAGCCAGGAAGGCTCCGAACCGCCAGTCACGGTCCTGCAAAGTCTGTCGGCTCCGCAAAGTCAAGGTCCGTTTCAGTGCTCAGATCGCCTTCGGCACGCTCCCGCCAACGTTATCCATCTCATGCGTCCCACTGCTCATGCGTCATTCACGAGCTAACGGCCACAGTGCGATCGTGTCAAGCCCTGCCACGCCTGCTGTGCCCACGGCTACCCCTCCAAATGTGTTTATGATACCGTCCCCGATGACGAAGCTCGCCCGATCAGTCAGGCTGAAGAGATCCGCAATCTGCGATCGGAGATCCGAGACCTCCGTTCCCGAATAGATGAGAGAGAGAATGGTATGCATCCCTGGACCCGCTCGCTAGATCGTGGCAAACGAATGTGGAGATGTAACGGTGGCTGATACAATTTGTGCAGGGGATGGGGTCCAAGATCTCCAACGGCTGGATCGGCTCGAGAGCTTGTTTGAGTCGCTTCGCTCCGCACCTATACAAACTGTGGATGACTTAGTTCGCGATATCCGATCCGCACACGTCGGCCTCAAGAAGGACCTGGTCCCTGTGGGGCCATGGGAAGGAACAGAGGGTACGTTCTGCTTCATCTGTGTCGAAATGGTTACTGACATGCTCAGCATATGAATCATATCCTTCGCCCAATTCGGCTGTCCTGCCGACTAGAACTCGGCTGTTACTCAACTCGCCTGTGGAGGACTTCAATACTATACCGGGCGAGGATGACGATAGCTTGGAGATCATGTCGGTGGGCAGTGGCAGTGGCTCTGACTCTTCTGGGACGATATCCATTATGAGCATGCAGCGCCCCGCAGTGGATATTTTCGTCGAGAGATTCGTAGATGCGTTTAGCCCCGAAGTCGACGTGAAGTCAGGACGGGCGGGTGCATTGCGAGCTGCTGCTGGAATTCGCATGTTCTCACCACTTATTACGGACGCTTTCGAGGCTGTATCAGTGGCATTCTTCGGTCGTTCTGTTCAGAACAAGGAGATCGAAGCGTCTGGGTTCCGTCTGTATCCACGTGTGTTGCGAGGATTACAAGACGCATTGGTGGACCCGGAAAAGTGTAATGCGGAGTCAACACTGGTGACCGTGATTCTCTTACTCGCTTTCGAGGTGGGTGCTATATGCTTGGTTCTACTAGTTGTCAATACTGATTTCAGCAGAGTGTCGAACGCACCACACAAAGTGGTGTTTCAGCCCACGTACGAGGAGCAGTGCGGTTGATCGAGCATCGAGGACCGGAAAACCATATGTACGGAGTGGAGCATCTTTTATTCACAGAGCTCCGACCATACTGGGTAAGCTGGCAGGCCTTCCACAATCGCGAGTACAAACGCTAATTTGTCAGATCGGCGGTGCCTTGGCTGCTCGACAGCCCTCATTCCTGGCTCGTGAAGAGTGGAAAACCATTCCTTGGTCGGCCGGTACGACCAAGAAGGATTTCCTCCACCACCTGCTCGATCTTGCAGCGGAAGTCCCTGGTTACCTTGCACTCTCCGATGCCTTCAAGGACGCTCAAAAGAACTCTGTTATGGGTGCACAAGAGATGGCTGTCAAACAATCTACCATCTGGAACGGTATTGGGGAGCTCACGAACAAATTCTACCAATGGTACGAGGATTGGGTGGTGACATACCCCGATGGACCACCACAAGAAGTCGAACAAACGGGCGACCAAGGGTTCCCTATTTTCCAACGCCGCAACCTCCGCACTGGGGCTACTTTCACCCCGCCTCGCTTTGAGTATCCGAACCTACTCATGGCACAAACAATGTGTCTATATTATTCCTTCCGGCTTGTTCTCTCTTCTGTTGACACCCGGCCACACGATCGCGTCTCGCCTATGGAGCAGTATGACCTCGGTTGCGGAATCTGCCGTTCACTAGAATTCTATATCCTCACTGCACCGGGCAACATGATTAACCGTCTTGCATTCCCTACTCGAGTGGCTTGGGAGGCATTCCCCGACGGAGGCCCCGAGCGCCAGTTTATGATCGAAGTGCTGCATTTGGTTGAAAAGCGACATGCCCTGGGGCTCTGGGGCAGTGCTATGCCCGAACTATCGACGCGAGAATCCTCACCACTAAATTCGGGTAGTCCGTAAAGTGGATGCGCAGCATTGAAGTTGAATTTAGCGAATTTAGATATACAAATCTCAATTTTTGGGCGACGATTTGGAAGAGGAAAACAATCCACTCCACATGTTCAGCTCGGAGAATTTCACCGATAGAGATCAATTTTCTCTGGGATTTGGATTAAATTGAAACCCAGCAGCACAGCGGAAATTGATGTATCCAGAAGCAATCTGTCAGATGTCCATCCATTGGCTGAGATGGAGCGATCGGCGATGGATCTTAACCCAAGAGGACCAGGATCTTACCGTGGCCCACTATACTGACCACTCACAGGCCCGATGAATCGATCAACAATCGATAGTTCGGAGCTGATGGGGAGCTGATGGAGAAAAAGAAAAAAACAGGGAGGTGCCTGAAGAATTATGCGATGAGATTCTCGTATAAGATCTTTGGTACCGACCGTTTTCCGCAGCTGTCAATTTCACAGCCCTAGAAAGCATACGGAATATCATGCCTTCATTTACCCGTTTGGCTCTCTCGGCCCTGGCAGCCACTGCCGCCGTCGCTACCGGCATCAATGACTACTCGTGCAAGAGCGACTCCAACCCTGTCATCTTCCTGCACGGTCTGGGTGCCACCTACTATGAAGACCTGAACTTCATGCAGTACTGGCTGCAGTCCAAGGGCTACTGCACATACGCCCAGACCTACGGCGCTTACGATGGATTCCCACTCGTCGGTGGCCTGAAGGCCATCAACGTGAGTGCCCCTGAGATCGCCTCCTACATCAAGGAGGTCACTCAGAAGACCGGCAAGGCCAAGGTCGACCTGGTCGGACACTCAGAGGGCGCCTTCCAGGCCCTCTACGTCCCCAAGTTCGAGGGTGTCTCCCACCTCGTCGACAAGATCGCCGCCATTGCCCCACCCACCCATGCCACTGCTTTCGCGCACATCTATGATATCGCTTACCTCTTCGGTAACTCCTCGCGCAATGCTGTTAGCGAGGTCCTCCACCTCGTCGGTTGCCCTGCTTGCGATGACGTTGGTCCTGATGGTGCTGCCGTCAAGCGTCTCAATGACGGTACCCCCATTGCTCAGCCCGGCAACAAGATCACTATCATCGCTTCTAAGTACGATGAGCTGGTCACCCCTCCTAAGACTTCTTTCATTGATGAAGATGGTGTCAACAACACCTGGATCCAGGATACCTGCCCTCTTGACCCGGTCGGTCACATTGGTGAGGCATACGATTTGAATGTGTGGCACCTTGTTCGGAACGTGTTGGATGATACCCCTGATCGCAAGTTTGTCTGCTTGCTTGGATCCCCTGGCAAATAAGCTCTGCTTATATTACGGAGACATATATTCTCGACATTCCTGTATATTAATACAAAATTATTTAATAATCCATACTAATTTCCATACTCAATGTTCCCATGGGCATGTTCTTTCGATTTCACGATGTATCGTTCCCTTTTTCTCTGGTTCGGAATAAGTTTGATGTTGACTTCAGGAACAATGTCCCGCATAGTTTGTACTCCACACCGACGGTCACACAAATCAGGGTCCTTGTAGATTATGTTCTGCAAATCAAATCTCAGTTTCTTACTTTCAAGGTTCAAGCCTCCTGCATAGCCAACGCTTAGGATATGATGAGTTCCAATTACCGAGTCTGGACACAGCATCAAGCGGGAAAAAACCTGCAACAGTGGGGATGTCGTTTCAGGCCCACAGCGTTTGTTGGAAATGTCTAGCAATAATTTAATAGGCAATCATTTCTGCGTAATTATCGAGTTCTCGTGGTTGTAGCAACCGGGAAGACACACTGCTCATACTTGGATCATACCTGCCGTCCGAGAACCCAAGGTTCAGTGTTGGACGATTGGATGTCGTTTGCAAACAAACAACATTGGATGGAAAATTTTACCTGACATTCCTGTCTTTCCCTTGACTTCCAAGGTTGGGCACTTCACTTTCTAAAGTTGCTTCTACGCTTTGGCCTCTTATCACCTTATCGTGAAGAAAACATGGAAGCGAAAATCAAGACTGAACCTCACTTCACTCCAATTCGTGAGCAATGGGACTCATTGAAAACAATGTTTCCCAAACCCGAGATGAGTGAGACTAGTACTCAAGACGATGACTTGGAGGCTCAGATCCGCGAGGCCCAAGCCCAACTCGCCCAGCTGAAGAAGCAACGCGAGCTCATCGAGATCCAGCAGAAGGTGGCCGAGGAGACAAGGGAGCTTGAACTAGCTCGGAGAAGGCTGTCAGCTACAGCTAATTCGAGTTCCCCTCTCACGACCGCTTCCAAAGCAGACATACGACCCAAGCCCCAAGGCCCAGGTCAAGGGCCTCCAAAGAAGCAATGCGTTACCCGTGGATCTCTACCACCGACCGGACCTGCAAGTCAAACTCCTACACGCCGTTCCTCCGATCCTTCATCGCCCCAGACTCAGAAGCCTGGCCACCCCAATACCCAACTGAAGTTCCTTTCGCCAAAACAACCTGCTAAAACTCCAGTGAAGCCTTCGCCCAACCAGGTCTCTATCACGACGCCTCAAAACCAACAACAGGCTTCGGCCAATGATTCCATACCCTACGGCTCCAGTCCCAACCTCGACCAGCTACGCGCCCTCGCTGCTGCCACCCGCACCCCCTCCAAGCCTCCAACCCCTCAACCATTGGGTAACAACACACCTTCGCAGCCCGCCTCCACCGGCAAACCCCCAAACCCACCCAACCTACCCGTCTACCACGGCCGAGCACTGGGGGAATTCAAGCACTTCACAACCTGCATCGAGCGCCACTTCGACAAATTCCCAGAGTGGTTTACAACCGAAGAGCGCAAAGTAGCACGAGCCCAGAATGGCGTCTCCCTCAACCTAGAAGACGGCTGGAAGCACCATCTACGCACCACCGCAACCCAAAACACATACGCCAATTTCTGCACATTCCTCATCGAGCAGCTCCAAAATGGAGTGCCCGCGGAGTTCGCCAAGTCCCGGTATTACGGATGTTACCAGCGGTCTTCGCAGTCTATTTCGGATTTCTCAAATTGGATTATGCAGTGGCCGGCACATTTCCAGAATCACGATTCGGAGCGTGATCGCATGCGCCATCTTTTTGAGCACGCCCTGAATAAAGTGCAGAAGGCCTGTGAGAAGACACACTTGGATTTCGAGCATTATCACGACTTTGTAGGATACCTGCAGAGTGTGGAGGACAGACTGGAACGTGGCCCACTCAGTCGAGAGAGGGAGAATCCTCGGAAGCGACCAAGGGATTGAATGCGATCATCTCTGTAAAGTACAGCGGTTGATTATTAGCATTTCATCATATCTTCACAGGTCTACGGGCTCATGCATACAGTGACATATCTTACAATCTGAACAGTCTTCCAAATTCCAAAAATGACATGACATTTATGACAATCCACTACACTAATATTCAAAGCATACTCACAATCCCAGTCTCCCTTGCAATAGCCTCCTCCACCTGCTCCCTACTAGCCGCCACAGCATGACTATCCGCCCCAATCCTCTCCCCCCGATTAGGATGATCCCCCCACAAAGCCCGATACTCCTCCACATCAAAATACAGCGCCTTATTCTCATGAAAGCCCGCCAATATGGTCGCATCAGGCTCGCCCCTACAACAGGAACACCCCAGACTGTCGTCGAAAACGGGTGTCGCAATCGTCCCGTCCGCAAGACCCTTTTTCAAAATATCGTAGGTGGCCCCGTAGATTTCGAAGAAGACATCGTCCATCGATTGGTGGATTAGTCGGATTTGAAGCGGGGCGTGCTCGCTGTGGCATCTGTAGCCTAGGTTTAGCCAGATCCGACCCAGATCGTTGAGGTCGCCTGGGCCTTCGTGGTTGGGGTGGGTCACCCAGTAGCCGTATTTGGGGAGGAAGGTGGATGTTAGGTCGGGGGCTAGGTTGGCGATCTTTTGGATGGCTTCTGGTAGGGGGAGGGTGGTGAGGGAGGTGATCTCTTCTTGGAGGGTCATTTTGGTGTTTTATAGGCACTGGCTGAGATGGATTATTCTGGGAGTTATTTGAGGGGACTTTCGCTTTAAATGCTCTGTAGGCGTTACACGAGGCTCTTGACAACTGGGCTAACAGGCATTTCTTTGTTATTTTATGTTGGTATTATTATTTTTGCTATTTGCTATTTACTCTACTTGCCATTTACTATTTAGTATTTACTATTCCAGCCTGCTGCAGGTAAACTCGTGACCAACGCACAAGCCTAAGAAACTTGATATGTTCCAAATGCAATACCCAGTGAGCAGTCGAGCATTGCTCAGCATATCTAAGGTTATCTTTGCTTTTTCCTAACAAATCAGACTGTGTAGAGACCATGAGCTATCGACTAAACTAACAGTAAGGGAGACGGCTGAACCCCCCACTTAATGGCCCAACCCATGGATCCGATGTTTTGGCACTTTCTCTTCTTCATCTACAAGTAGTTCAGGGCTACTCGTACTCTGTACAGAGTACAAATGGAGAAACACATCCCCAAATCCTGCTGGGCACTAGCCCTACTTGCAGTGATATTTCTGACGTGGCCCCAGTCCCATGTCCTGACGCAGACACAGACGGAAACGCCCCTAACCTGGGACCAGATCGACCCATCCCCAACACTAAAGTACCACAACTGCGGCGATGAATTTCAATGTGCCCGTCTCAAAGTCCCAATGGACTATAACCGGACAAAAGGGGGCCGCACCTTTGCCCTCGCTGTCGTGCGTTTACCCGCCAAAGTCCCCGTCACAGATCCCCGGTACGGAGGGGCTGTATTAATTAATCCTGGTATGTTGGCAGCTCATGTACTCGTATACTTATAGAAAGACCCACGCTGACGGAACAGGGGGGCCGGGTGGTCCGGGGACGATGCAAGCCTTTGTATCCGGGCGCAATCTGCAACTGATAGTTGATGCGGATCATCCCGAGGGGAAGTATTTTGATATTATAGGTTTTGATCCTAGGGGTGTGGGATCCACCACGCCTCCAGTAATGTGTTTTCCGGACCCGGTGTCCCAGCGGAACTGGGAGTTGCAGGTTTCTGTCGAGGGGATGTTGGGGAGTGGGGCTGATGCGCTGTTGCGGAATTGGCAGCGGACTGAGGCGTTGAATTCGGGGTGTTCGGTATTTGATATGTCGAGTCCAGGGACGGATGAGCAGATGATGAGCTTTTTGAATACAAGGCTTGTGGCGGAGGATGTTGTGACGATTATTGAGCGCCATGGGGAATGGCGCGACAAGGAAGCGCGGAAGATCGCGCGAAGTGATTGTTCTATGGAGATGGAGGCTGTTTTGGAGCGTACGAGGTGGCGGCGTGGGGAGGAGAAGCTTCTTTACTGGGGTCGGTCTTATGGCACGCTGCTAGGCACGACTTTTGCGTCCCTGTACCCTGGTCGAGTGAAGCGGGCTGTTCTCGATGGAGTCGTTGATATGATCAAGTACTATCAGGGCGTTGGAACGAATGCGATCACCGATGCAGATGCCATTTTTGAGCGTTTTGGTCAGTACTGTCACGAGGCTGGCCCGACCGGATGTCCCTTCTATATAGATGGCGGCGCAGATGCTATCAAAGCCGCTTATTGGGAGCTGGAGCAGCAGATTCTCAACGTTTCCATCCCTGTCATGGCATCTGCAAATCGCGGACCCGAAGTCGTGACCTGGACGGATATCAAGGCCATCCAGCGTGTGGCCATTTACCAACCCTTGTTAGCGTTCCCTGTGCTAGCCGATCGGATGAGCGAGTTGGCCAAAGGGAATGCAGTCCGGATGGCTGATTTTAAGCACGGTAGCCACTTTGGCGCTTGTCCGTCGAACAAGTGTTCCCGTGCTGGACCGTGGTCCCTGGAGTGTGCGACTTCACAGGATAACATGCTGTATGCGATGTCTGGCATTATGTGCTCGGATGCCGAGTTCATGACCACCCTCAACAAACGGCAGTTCCAGGCTGGCTGGGATAGCCTCAAATCCGACAGTGCTGCCTTGGGTGATTACTGGGCGCAATTGCATCTCAGCTGCGTGGGATGGAAGGCGAAGGCCAAGTATCCATTTACGGGTATGTGTCTCCCTGGACTGGGATTCTTTAAACTGACCCATTCAGGTCCATGGGGTACTACGACTGCCCATCCTATGTTGTTTGTATCAAATACGCTTGATCCAGTCACGCCCTTACACAGGTATGCATTCCTCTACGCTAGACTCCGAGGACTGCCAGGGCCATCGACGCTAAATATCTCAGTGCTAAACACATGTCTTCCCTTTTCCCCGGGTCTGGACTGCTTCAACAGGAATCAGAAGGAGTAAGTGAGCCCTCACGTCTTCGTCGTGTCTTATACTGACCCTTACAGCACACCACCCTCGCAGCCCCATCGGTCTGTGTAGCCAAGGCCATTCGTCATTACTTCCAGACAGGCACTCTTCCAAGTGAAGGTACACTCTGCCAAGCGGACCTGAAGCCTCTTGTTGGTGCTCCCAATCAAGCTGTAGCTGTCAGTCAAAGCCTCAATCCGAGCGACCGTAGGTTATTCGAGGCGTTGATGGCAGAGGTACGACAAGGGCCTGTGTTCCCTTAGCCTGCAGATGTGATTGGGCAATCTTGACGACTTATGCATTCACGACTAAGCCTCGATATCCAGTACTTCAGTATAGATATTTCGTTCTCAATTTATAGATTTCGGTTCTAAGCAAATAGCGGTGGCTATGTTCGGATAACTCCAACCTCGGCCTCTCAGTGACTGGCTATTGATAATCAACCCCGCATCACTTCTCACTGATCTGCGACTAGTTATTCATCTCACCCTGCTGTTCTCAGTGTCTTCCAAACTAACATTTGAATCCTGCACAATGGCTCCTCCAACTGCTACCGAGACTGTCACCCACACCGCTAAACCCCAATCCCAAGCAGCGGGTGCGGAAAAAGCAGCCATCAAGATGCAAATGCCCAGCATGCCCGTATTCGAAGACAAACTCGAAGAAAGAGACTATCTCAAAGGCCGACTGGCAGCGGCATTCAGAATCTTCGGCGACAAGGGATACGACGAGGGTACAGACACCATCTAGTTAGCCAAGGCACTGCTAACAATCAAACAGGTGTAGCAGGCCATATAACCGTCCGAGACCCAGTGGATCCAACAACATTCTGGGTGAATCCATTCGGTACCGCATTCAAATTAATGAAAGCCTCGGACTTGATCCAGGTCGACCATAGCGGGAAGGTGATAGCCGGAGGTCCGAATCGCATGCTCAACGCTGCGGCTTTCATGATCCATTCGGCTATTCATGCTGCGCGCCCGGACGTTAACTGCGCAGCGCATAGTCATAGTCTTCATGGGCGGGCTTTCTGCTCACTGGGTCGACCGCTCGATATCATTTCCCAGGATTCATGTGCTTTCCACAATGTGAGTCTTTTTCTCCCAGATTTTATCGATCATGACTGATGGGGTTAGGATCTGGCGCTTTACAACTCCTTCAAGGGCGTTGTGCTGGCCGAGGAAGAAGGGCAGAATATTGCCTCGGCGTTGGGGAATAAGAAGGCGGCACTTTTGCAGAATCATGGATTATTGACTGTTGGAGGCACGATTGAGGAGACTGTTTTTTGGTTCGTGAGTTTGGAGAAATGCTGCTATGCACAGCTTCTTGCCGATGCCGCTGCTGCTGGACGCGGTGGGCAGACGGTCAAGATTGATGAGGCCGATGCCGCATTCACTTACAAGACGGTGGGGACACCCAAGGCTGGCTGGTTTAGTGCGAAGCCTTTGTTTGATGTTATTCATGCGGAGACTCAGGGCTCCTATTTAGAATGAGATGTCTAAATAAAGTCGGCTCGGAATAACCCCAGTCTTCTCACCCTAAATGTATCAGTATAGTGATGCGAGTACGAGTAGTAGGCTGGAATGCGAAACAGCCTTATGATCCTTTTCTCCACCATTCGGAGCTTTTTCTCCACTTTATATTGCAGCGATATTGCTGCCAAACCCAGGTCTTCCGTAGTGCCGGCGAGGGCTCACTAGACCCTGTCAGGGGCGCAGGTGGCATATTGCGGAGAAACAGTTGGTTCTAGCCTCGAGAAGCGATGAAAAAAGCACCAATGAAATAGGGTGATCCTTTGAGGTCGGTCAGTTCACTATTTCACCCGCCGTTAGGGTGGTTTTAAGGTGAAACCACTAGCCTTGGAGTCTTCGGGAGAAGCTCCGTATCCAGTCAATCGGACCCATCGAATAGCTGGGCACATATCCTGCAAGCTATAAAAGGGTCCTTCTTCCATGGTTTGATCGTTCAGCAGCTCGCTACTTGGTTCAGACTCCCTTCACTCCACACCTAAATATGCGTTTCATGCCCTTCCTTGCCGCCGTTGGCGTTGCCAGCGCAGGTCTCTTTGAGACCCTCGAGAAGAGAGAAGATACCTGGGGTGGAAGTGTCTCCCTTGGTCCCTCCAAGTCCACCATCATCAATGCAGTCACTACATTGATCCCCGGAGCTGCTCCCCCTACCCAGAACGGAGTCCTCTTCCTTTGGCCTGGCGTGAGTGATTGTCTTCACCTCCTGCTTTCCCCCATACTAACTTACCCAGATGTCCAACGGAACCGGCGACCTGGTCCAAACCACCCTCGAGAGCTGGCCCGACAACTCCTGGTGCGGAGCCACCTCCGGCCAGTGGTGTGTGCGCGCCAGTCTCTTCGGCAGCTTCGGCCAGCTTGATGGCAACAGTGCTGCCGTCAGCGGAACTGACCAGGTCCGCATCGAATACAACCTGGAGTCTGACGGGCAGACCTGGAAGCAGTAGGTTTCACGACAATATCATGATACACATTGACTAACGGGCACAGGACTGTCACCAACGGCCAGAGTGGTGATCTCCTCTCTTCTTTCTCTCACGCTTCCGGCCCTTACATGCGCGGGTATGTTTCTTGCTGTTGAATTTGGTGAATCATTCTAACATGTTCTAGATACGGTACTGGCACTGAGTGCAACGATGGCTGCTCTGGCACTATTGCTGCCCAGAAGTACAAGAACACTGTCATCACTCTTGCTGAGGCTGATACTACTTTCGGATCCACCATTTCCAAGGCTGCTGGTGCCACTTACAGTGGATTGACCTCTAGCCAGGGTGGTAAGGTCTGGACCATTGCTGAGATCAATGTTCCTGCCATGGTCTAAGAGGATACCGGTGACCTGTCGAATTAAGTGTATGATAGTGCGGAGAAAGTGTATGCAGTAGGCCATTTTCGTAGCTAAAAAGCAATTCCAAAGCGACCAGCAGCGGTCTTTCCATCTTCCATAACGTCAATGGTTTTTTGAACATCCCCAATATCAAGCACAACAGCCGCGTGGGCACCTCTGGTCTTGGTATAATGCTCCTTTCTCCACTTAACCGAGGAGAAATTTGCACCCGCTGATTTTATTGTCATTTGTTTTAATCTAGTTGTGCTAGCTTGATACAGGCGTTGAAAATACAGTAGAATTCTGAGTACTAGCTCTCAAACAAGGTTCATTCACTCCGAAATCCCTCCTAGCTCTTCTCTTCTTGTAGCATCAGGTCCCCATGATCGCCAGATGCCTGAAGCTGAACCACCAATTCTTCAGCTTTTCTTTCCATAAAACTAGCGGGCATACAATCATTGTCAACTTTGTGTAGTCCGTGATAGAAAAATGCCAGTACAGACGATTTCCATAAACTCCTGCCACTCTTTCTGTTTTCAAGAATCACTAGCGTAATAAAAATGGTCCCCGAGACCACTAGTATGATCGGAAGGATCAACCAGAGCCACTGAGCCTCCACGAACACCTCGATGGCAAATGTGATGCCGTGCACATCCGAGCCATTGATCCGCAATGCTTCCTTGTTCATATGTTTGGTAACGTTAGACATGATAAGGTCAAGACCGACTGAGCCAATACGAAGGGTATTAGGATCGCCAAAAGGAGGTCCAGATTCGAGAGAGCCGTCGGACCGCCGAATATAGTCCTTAGACACAGATCCCTCAAATACGTTCTCGGGTATTGATACCTTATAGGAAATACCACAAAAGGCAAACTCAACTGGACTTAACTCAACATCCATCTCGGTAGGATCCGAATTTTCAAATATTATAGTATCCGACGGGCCAGATGTCGGTTTCCAACAGAGCGTTTTTTCCCACGGGGCCGAGGGAGTAGGACGGCTTCTCCAAAATAATTCGCCGTAATCGAGGACTGAGGTAATCATATCTGGGGTGCCATTTTCAACAGATATTTCATTTTCGAGAAGACAAAGCTCAAGGCTACACTCCGTTGCCTTTTCAACTTTAATTCCACTAATGAAATCCGAGTGGAGATAATCCTCATTATAACCTGTTTCAACATATGCAACGACCACCAGCGGATTGCCTGGCCATGTAAACGGTCGGCTCCCGGTATAACCCAATCTCGAGGACATGTCATTAGGGTCCCAGGCCGAAAATATGTTGCAAGAAACTCCGCTCGTTTTATATGACGACTCGGATAATGATGAAAAATAGAATGTTTGGGTGAATTGGGTCGGATTTCCTTGTGGAGGGGTAAGGTGACATGTCACATTAATCAATTGACTTGTTTCATTGATTTCTTGAATGGGATGGGAAATATTCCCTGTGTTTTCACATTCGAGGTTCATAGAGTTCGTGATATCAGAACACTGGCTACACATTCCACTGGAACGGAACTTTGACCAGGTGCAATTCCCTGACGGGCAACTAGGGCTCAGCATGGTATCATCAGACCATAACCCCGAGGTGTAGACAAAGTCATATTCCATATCGGGAGCAAAGAATTCTAACCTCTTCGCTGTTGGATTACCATTAGGCATAGCAACCAACCGAGTGGGATAACTAATGATCTGTTGAATGAACGGATCAAAAGCAAGTAGGAGTATAATGACTGCTGCACCGAAAGAAGCGAGTGATCGTCTCGTTTTCTGAAAAAAAGGTCGCAATTGAACCAAGGGGTCCTCGGCTGGCACTATCAAGTGTTTGTATATCGAGAAGTTTGTGGGGGTTTTCGTAGAACCAAGACCATTTCAGCTGACCCATAGTCTCTCCTATGACAAAGATCAATGATGATTTGCAGCCCGTTGCCAACATAGAGATAATGGCGTTCAACGATAAACCATGTTGAAGTTCGGGTCGGCTCTTTTGGTTGAAGGAATAGAGAATGCTGCATATTGCAATGAAGCATGCGATGCTAAATACCGTGGCAAATATCTCGGGAAACCATGTGTCCAGGCAAAGGGATCTCCAGCTCCGATTTCGCGTCGTGGTGTCCTTTTTTAGACTGGTATAACGGGAAGCCATTGATGAAGAGTCTCTGGTGATGAGGTTGCCGATAGGGTCGATCGGTTCAGGATTGAAAGAGGGGGTTGAAGAAATTTGATGGAACTAAAGAAAGTCCAACCAGCACGAGGGTGTTGAGCCTAGGGGGCGAGAGAGAAGAAGCGGACAGAACCGATTGTATTGACTCTCTTTCTGGAGAAAGAGAGAAAGAGAGGGAGGAAAGAAGAAGAAGAGAGAAGCGGGGAGCGGATCTATCTACAAACGGGGGTTGGGACGAACTCCCTACACAACAGAGTCGTGGAAGCTGAGTTTTCCCGGTGTTGTTCGGGTGCTATCTTGGTGGCTGCCCTGCATGCCACTAAAACAAACTGGTATAGTGATCAGTATCGAAGATGGGGCGGGCGCGCAGCAAACACAGTTTAGCAGCTTTTACACCCAATGATCTATCAGCATAGCCTAACCGGGCGGCCTATGCGGTGATCGCGCCGGCCCGCAGTATGCCCAGCTCTCTTACCCCATCTAGTCTAACGCACCTACCCTCATCGACCCCGGTCGCATGTAAAGCGGTCCACGAATGTCTCACCCGGGCTACACACACCGAACTATGTACTTGGTAGTGACCGCGTATAATGTGATCTCACACGCCGATGAGTTAGTAATAGTTGTGATCAGCAGCAAATTCTCCCTGCTGTATGTTTTTGGGGGTTTTTCCGGGGTGTTCACCTTGTGCTCGGCGCGAGTGAGTCAGATCTCAGTTCACGTGAGCTATCTATAGTTGGTTGCTGCCAAGGTGCTAGTGGAGTAGATTTTCGAAGGAGCTTTTCCAATTGGTCCCCTGGGAATGTGCGGGTCGAGATACCTACGAACCCCTCGATATTGATGTTATGTATTCTACACGCGGATATGAAATTTTATGTATAAAACCAATATCAATCACCTAAACAAATTCGCTTCCCACTTTAACATTGAAAAACATTCAAAATGTTTGACCTGGCTGATCGCAGCAGAAATTTGAGAGACCATGAAATCTCGGGTTTCTAGTACATGGCATCCTATTCTCGCCTATTTCGCATGGGAACCAGATGCCCAAGAATTGACAATTAAGATCGCGGGGTCTGCCCTCCGTATGCATATCTACCACTATCTTAAACTGTAACTGCTTCACCAGTGCCCAGGTGGCAATGGCCACGATAAAGGAGGTATGGATGACAACGAACAAACGAAATGAAGGAATAGGGCACTCGCATTTCATGATAATGATTTTGCCTAGAATACCAATGTGCTGATATTGAGGAAGACTTTGATTTCACAGAAGCCCGACTCCTTACGTGGAACCATTGGCTCAGCACAGACTGTGACACAAATCTGCACGCTAATCTTAATGATACCGATACTCGTGCCGTCTGTATTGGGGTGGGTTCAAGCACGTCACCTACTGCCATCATGACCCCTAGTAGTACTACCGCTGCTGCTCCGTCGGTAGCCCCAACACAAACTGGGTACATTTATGGGTGCCAGGAGTTCTTCACCGTCGAGTCGGGAGATGATTGTACGACAATGAAAACTGAGTTTGGAGTTACTCTTGCCCAACTCTATGAGTGGAATCCAAGGAGTAAGATCCCATCCATCAACCCCCCCCCCCCCTCCCCTAGAGACAATCCAAGCTAATTCCGAACTATAGTTGGAGAACCATGTACGAACCTTTGGCTAGGATATGCCTACTGCGTCAAGGTTCCCACGGCCACGGCGAGTAGCTCAGCTGGTGCGCCTAAACAGACTGGCATCGCGTCCAATTGCAACAAATATTACATGGTCGTTTCTGGAGACTAGTGCGCGGCGGTCGAGGGTGCGTTCGGAATAACATTCGCGCAGCTGTACGAGTGGAATCCAGTGGTTGGGTCAGATTGTCAGTATTTGGATGTTGGCCATATCATATGTTGGCGTTCCATAGACCTGCACCAAGACCAGCATAGTAGGGAAAGAAAAGATTAGTCACAGCAGAGGTAAACCTTTGAAGAATGATCAGTAATATACATTATTCTTATCCAGAAAATACATCGCTCGGGTGTTGAGACCGGTCTCCACTCAAAAGTGAAAACCAATGGCCGGTGGCCGTCGGTACTCAACGCTCCAATCCCCGTCATCAGTCATGCGTGAGGAGGCTCTAGTCTGCGCCTCACCATATTGAACCTTCATCCAGCCAACCTCGTCCAACTTACAGCCATATACTGGCTCGTTTCCATCGTCTGGCCCCCCTCCTGCAGCCAACTCTTCGGGGTCCCACTCTGGGGGCCATCTCCCATTGATCAGAATCACAAATCCAGTAGTATTATACTCTTCCAAGTCCTCGGACGGTATATCCAGCACAGACTGTAACGCCTCCTCGTCAACCATGATACATAATCGATATCGGGCCGAGTACGCCCACTCTGCACGTTTGTATGGCACCCCTTACTCCGTCTCACAAGCCATCCTCGCCCACTCCTTAAAATCGTTCCGTATTTGATCAGGAGTAGCCCCATCAAAACGGTGCACGTCTTCTGTTACAACAGGCCGAAAAGAATCTAACATGTCGAGCCCATCGTCTTTTTCTAGTTCTGTGCGGACACTGCCCATAAACCGATCGAGTAATTTCGCCCAGTCCGCGTCGCTCTTGTAGGTGGTTCGGTACATAGTGATACCCCAGTAACGGAACCCGTCTATCTCCAAATTTCTCTCGATGAGGTCAGCCTTGTTGTCGCACATTCGACGCCATGGGGTTTTCTTAGAGTCTTCGATGACCATGGTTGCTGATGTGGACGAAAATGGTCGAGGTAGTGATTTTTCCCTGACCCGGGGAATTCGTTGAGTCCTTGGCTTAGTGCCCCGATATAGTATTTTCTCTAAACGTGAGGCGAAGACGGCTTGTCCAGTGCAGCATGTTGACAAAGATGCAATGCTAGAGAGTGTTCTCGTAGGGGTGCTGGACAGGTATGTTGAGCTTCTGAGGAAAACTCGGGAGGAGAATGAGAACGACATTGAATCATCAGTAGCTTGTCGAGGAAATTAAAGAATGAAATTCAGATACAGAACCCAGGAAATCGCGATTCACATCCACGCTTGTGTACTAGCCACTTATGTATTGTGATACTTGGCGCGTTTGATGTGTCGGAACGCTGTCGGATTTTGCCATCGACATGATGACCTGGCTTTGGAGCCTTACTGCTTGAGAGCCATGTAAACAAACATGTGCAACTGAGCGTCAACTGCGCTACAAGGACTGCGAATATGCAAGCATCACGCGTTTGTAATTTACTGGTTGTATAAAAATTCCAAGCCGAAGGAACAGAGCTGGTGTCATAAAATCCAATCGAGTTTCGTGTATAATCTCGACCAAAGACATGCATATATACAAAACATCATCTAACATTACCCACGATAATCAAGTACAACATCCAACCTCACAGGCCCAGGAGAAGCCGCACCCCCAATACCATCCTTATGCTTCTCCGCCTCAGTATAAGCATCCACCACCCGTTTCGCACCAGGCGTAATCACAGAACACCCCTTCCCATCAGCCTGACAAATCGACATCCCCTGCACATGCTGCTTCGCAATCTGAGCCTGAATAGCAGAAACATCCCACCCAGACCAACCATTATTTTCACCGTCCCCAAATGAGAATTCGCCCCATGTAGATGAGTATCCGCCATATTTATCTTTCGGCAGATGATCGCCTGGCGCAGCACCCCATGCCCCCTCTGAGTCTTCGTCAAAGGCAACGTATCTTGTTTCTCCAGGTGGGAGAGTGAATGTCACGGCTGAGTGTCCGTACCATCCATCCAGTTTCCCATCTGGTCCGATCTTGTTCCACACAACGACTGTCCAGGGCTTGTCGTTTGAGCCGCTGAATTTTACAACGTATTTGAACCGGTGGGCCTCGAAGTTATCGATCATTATTATGTTGCTACCCCATGGCTTGCCAGTGTTGCCATGATAGTGAATTTCATTGCCCTTGCCGGGTGTTCGGCCGCCGAACCCTTTCAGCGAGAAATCGCCTTTTGGTGGCGTGGCTGTCCAATCGACCGGGCTTGGGGGATGTGGTTTGGGCTTTTGGCCGGGGATGAGTTGGTTGACAACGGGGATGTCGGGCAGGACTTGGCCGGGCAAGTCGAGGACTGCATTGACAGGACTGTTGTTTTGTGGTGCTGGCTTTGGTGGTGCTGGTTTGGGTGGTTCCTTCCCTGCTACTTTCTCTTCTGAGGAATCCTGCGGAAGCGTGTCTGCTAGCGAGATCTTGTCTGTTGGGGGTCTGGGTGGTGGGTTTGGTAGTGCTGTGGGACGATCTTCTGGGTATACAGTGACTACCACTGTGTCTGTCGCCGTCTTGTGGATTGTTTTTGTGATGAAGGTCGTAGATGTGGGCTCCGGTTCGGGGAGATGAGGCTTTATACTGGTCGGTTCTGTGTTTGACCCAAATGGATTCCACAGTGGCTGGGGGTATTCATGCTCGGGGTTGAACTTTTGCGTTGGCTCAGGCTTCGCATTGATAGTTTCCAGCGTTGTCGAGACGGTACTGGTTGGCGCACATTTTCCGTAAATGGTTGTCGTTGTCGTGAGCGTGGTGGACACCACCACATCCTCGGGTATGTTTTGCACATTGTCTTGGGCCAAATCCCTTGAATCTAGCTTCGGTCCATGATGCATCAAGTGATGACGGTGGCGATGAGCATGGTAATGATGCACGCTGGCAAACACATCTGTAATCAGACCTGCAGCCAGGAGCGATATCGAAATCCAGCGCATTGCAAGCTTTGCGACCGGAGGTGGGCTTTCTGATATAATATCAATTCAATTGACGTGTTGAAGGAACGTCAGTGTAGTATAGGTCAAAAAATAATCGAAAGTATGCGTTCAGTTAATCGCATGCATGTTGTCGTTGGTGTCGAAATTGTCGTCGGAATCATCAAACACGCGATGGGCGGACGCGACTTTCTTAAATATGACCCTTTGGACAGCATGTTCTGGACTTGATTTCTGGAATGTCTCCCACGCTTGGCTTAAGGGTTCGCGAGGAGCTGTAGTAGCCCTGAATTCCCGGACTCCTTCGCCAAGACCATTGACTATGACCCTTTTTTTCTGGGAAATTTGAACAGATCATTAAATTCAAGCTTGGAAAGTTCGTTAAGCTGGTTTTTAATTAATAATTAATAATTTGAAAATGGGTTTCACGGTGGTCAGACTGCTGGGTAGATGTTCAGGTAGAGTGCCGGCGAAGCCCCTCGCGTCGCATTCCGGCCCTGAATCACCTACGTTCCTTGTCAACTTTGTCACTCCCCGCATGAATGGGGCCTGGCTAGACCTTTTCTCTAAGATCTTTCGTGTGGTAAAGAGTCGCGTGGTTAGAATACTGGATTTAATGTTCTACGCGCCAGCTTGACCCCAGGGTGGTTCTAAAGTTCAGCGAGACCCTGCCAGTTGACAAATTTGGGACATCCATCTTCAATGCAATGTTCTTGAGAGTGTTGAAAGTGTTGGATAGCCGGGGTCGGGTGACCGTCTGCGTGCTCTACTCATCTGCTTGGTGGGCGAACCCTGTTATGGGATGAGAGGGCTTGTTTGATAGAGTAGATAGGCTTCTTTCTCTCTCTCCTTTCTTTTCCCATCCTTTTTGATGAGAGAATATCATCTACATCATAATTCTTCTTTCTGTAGACGTATTCTCTATCAAAAATCAAACATTGAACAAAAATGTTTTGATTGTTGAAACCAAGACATCAAATGCTGAAGTCGAAACAAGGCAAATTGAAAAATATATATAAAAACATTCAACGGCATTTTTGAAATTAGATCTATAGAGTTTGAACAACTAATGATTTTATATGCTCTGCTTGCATTTGAGTATTGGTGACCAAGATTCTTGAAGTCTAGGGAAGTTTTACTCAAAGCTTGGCCTCGGTTTTTCATTTGTGTTTTGTGTTCTCAAGGTCGCCGTTGCAATCTGTTTCCAGCTGCACGTTCGACTTTCATCCGGGACGCTCATTGACTTTTTCTTTAACTTTAGAACTGTATCTTTGTTGAATTCCTATCACACAGGCACAATAGTAATAACAATGGATATTATATGAATAGTTTAAGTAATTATGTGTTCAAGTCCAGAAGATGACAAAACCAAATTAGAAGAGAGCCATAGAGTCAAGGAAACAAGTATAAGCCCGGAAATATATTCTTCGTCGTCTTTCAGACCATTTATTCCCGAGGTCATATGCGAAATCCTCGCCGGATTTCCGCTTCACCCCTGGAAATCAGAAGAAGCAGGAGCCCGAGACTTGAGTCTGAGGAGGTCCAACATCGACCAATCCACCGCTCACTCTAGTAACACTGTGGTCAATACCATTGAAGACACAAGTCACACCAGGGGTGGTTGATTCAATGTGCGAGATGCTCAAGGGGTTGGCTAATTACGTCAGTAAGTGGCTTCCAGACAGATACCAGAGTTGACCTACTAATTTGAACCCATTCGCCATCGGTAGGGAATCCCTGGCCGAATTTGGCATCGGCAGCACCAATGAAGTTAACCCACGCCAGACCTCTGGCAGGATGGTCGTTTACAAGGACACAAGATCCAGTCAGCTGAGTCTGGGGTGGGCCAACATCGACAGTCTGAGCCCCGGTGACAGTAGTGACACTATCATCGATACCATCGAAGGTGCACTGAACTCCGTCTACGCTGGATGAGATGTGGGAAATGCTCAACGGGTTGCCTAGGAATGTTAGTTAGATCATAGAGTCTCGGATAAGTGTCCAAGAGTATATGGGTGCATACTGATTGAGACGACAGATCCGTCGGATGGGAAGCTCCAGGTGAATTGAGCATCAGCAGCGCCGATGAAGGTGATGTCGACGTTGTCACGCTTCACTGGGATCGCGCTGGCAATTGCGGCAACCGCGAAAACACTGACAAAAGTACAGGCCTTCATGTTGACAGGGGATTGAAATTCTTGTAGTAAAGATGTGATAGTGAATTGTGTGGTAAGATAGATCAACTCATATCACCGGGAGAACCAGGCCGTTTAAATAGTTTTCTTTCGCAACAGTCCCCGAGTAGACTGTAGGCCTAAATTTGGATTACGAGGTTCTGCCAGCACCGAGAGTGGCGCAATGATGTCTTCCATTTTGGACATAAATCATGCTTCGGGTCTCTACAAGGAGGTTTAGAGAAACATCAACAGAGTACTTGGGAGTATACTTTGGGTCGTATGTCAGCTGTCAGCAGTGCCCATGGCTGAGAGTCGGGTGGCGGGGATGTTGTCCAATTGTAAATTCATTCGTATTCCTTTTCCAGATGCGTTGTTCTCACTTCTCCTCACTGGTCCCGTTCCACAGCTCGGGGTTCCATGGTCACTGTCGGGACTAAATATAGCCTCGCTTTACTCCGAAGTTCTCAAAAGTTCCCTGATCGGTCGAATGCGATATATGACGCACTAGATGGGAACATGAATCAGGCATCCAAGGTTGAGGGTGTTGATATAAGACATTGCCGAGTGTTGGTCTTGAAATACGAGCCTCCTGGACCCTCATTTGGCGGGGAATTGACCCCGAACCCCACGTTTTCGGATGTCTTCGTCCGCACCAATCGCGATGACAATTCTCAGGTGATCTATACGGGTATCTCGGGATTATTCACAGGGCTGTGGGGAATTGTCAGAAATAGAAAAACAGGTTAATCTACTATGGAGGCATGGCAATTTGCTGGAGTATTTCGTTTCAACTAGACTTCACGTCAGATAATCATTTTGTCGGACTTCATGTTAAGATTGAGACTGATTCATTCGGATGAGTTTCTACCACAGCCTAATATCCAATGTAGCACTCGTTGCACCCGAAAACCCAGGTGCCCGAGAACTCTGTACGCCTGAGGGATAAGCCGGCAGAAACCTGCGCCATTTCTACTTCATCATTCCTACATACGAGAACGCAATTTAAGATATCTTCAGGATAGAGAAGTTTTTTTTTTTTTTTTTTTTTTTTTTTTGAAAAAAGGTAAAAAAGGAAAACAACGCATTGTCAGGCGTAACCATGGAGAGGACCATTGCTGTGGTTCATTAAGTGTTGTATCAAGGTAAACTGGAAGCTATTAGCATAAAACAGGAAAGTAGATCAGCATGGGCCATTGATTTACTGTATGTTTTCGGAGGATCTTCGAGGCAGAAAATCATTTGTCCGTTAATTCGTCTCAAAAGAATGGGACGAAGTGGAAGTGAAAGGGAGAGTGAAATGGAAAGGGAGGGTAAACCCCCAAGGACCGATTTCCTGCTGTGGAAGACTCCAGCACTCTCACCTCAACTTCCACTTCTCACCATCAACTGCGCTGTTTATCCCACAACTCAAAATGGTGGATCGTGTGCGCAAACCACGGAGACCGGACATCCGAAGGAGTAATTATGATTGCTGGGGTCCACTCGGCATCAAATCCACACAATCACGGCCTCAAGAAGCGGTCATAATGCTGATCAAACGCGTCTATGCCCCCCTCGTCAACGATTATCTCGTCACAAGGGACGACGTGGAGGATGCCTCTGGCATCCTCCAATCGCAATTCTACAGGAACAAGTTCAGAGAAGGATGCAGGGAAAGACTCGGAGAGCTGCCTGCAGTCGTCAGAAACCACCAGCCAGACCGTGAAAAGCTCGTCGGTTTTGTCTACGATGTCCTCAGGTGTTTGGTCAGGAATGACATCGAATGGATAAACCACATGGACGTCCCGCGAGGTTCTAACAAGATCTCCAAGGAGGATAGTATGGCCTATGCCGCTCACCGAAGACAGGCCGTGAAGAACAAGGAAGTCACAAAGAGCTCATCTCCCAGTGGTCATGTTCTTCGAGGCTCGCGACGGACCTCCCTCACTCCCCGGAGCTCTCTCCCTCTCCGAGTCTCTCCTCGCAGCTCTGTCCCTCTCCGTGTCTCTCCTCGCACCCCAAAGCTATCTTTGGATGATCCGGCTCGTGTTCCCTCAAGTGGCTCTCGTCTCGCCCTGCGTGCTCCTGCCTCTACTCCCCGTCGTCGCCAGCTCACCCTCCGTGTCTCTCCCCGTGTGTCTCTGCCTGCTCCTCTTCCTGCTCCTTCTGTTGCTCCATCTGAACAGCCTCGATCCACAAGGCCAAGGAACAAGGCCCAGCCCGATACACCCAGCGGGTCGGAACTTGGACCTCGATTGAAGGACCTAATGAGGCAACAGTCACATCCACACCACCCAACTGCTTCTTCTGTCGACCGCAATACCCTTTCCTTTGTGCCTGCCACGAGATCCAAAGACACAACGGCAAGAGCGACAGTCCAGTCAGATGCGCACATCCAGCCAGTGCCGGAACCTCAGCCAGAGGAGATCGAGCAAGAGGCTCCGCGCCCACCACGACCCCCTCGCCCTGTCAAAAGAACCCCACAGTGGGACGCGGAGTACCGAAAGCGCCTGATACCGCTACGATTCCATAACAGGGGTAGCGAATATGACTTGCTGGATCAGGACTGGGTGATGGATTCAGATCCTTTCGATGAGAACTATGGCTTGCGGGATCCAGCCTTGGGTTCCATCTTCGGTCCACCCGAGGAGCCTAAATATGCTAAACATTCCTGGGAGAAACATCCATAGGGAGCCTATGCACGAGGTGGGCAGCTCCAGAATTCGTCTTGCGTCGGGGGTGTTGCTAGTGCAGCTATGGTTGCGTCAAACGCTGTGGGCATCGCGCAACTCATCTGCCCCAAAGGACACAATGGAATTCCAGTGCATTATTGGCGTTGGAGAATTTGTTGCTCACTGGTTCAGCCCCTTCACCCCTGACCGAAATCGCCTGGTCTCACAGCAGCTTAACACACTTACCACGGCTCCGTCGACGAATATTATTCCCAGATCGAAAAATATGTTTGTTAGTCTTCAGAGTGAATGCATCGAGATTCAAAAGGCGGGCTAGGCCTTGTTTAGCATGTTTTAATTTTACAGTTGCCCCGCAAATGTTTCCCTGCGATCAGGTGACGGGCCCACCTTTCTCTATGTATTTTTTGAAGGTAGAAAGTCACTGTTTTCAGGATTAGGCAAGTGAGGAACATCGGAAAAACTTTAAAAAAGGGCCAGGGTGGTGTAAACTCCAAAGACAAAGATATTTGATTTGGAATACTCTATGTATTGGTAGTTGAGGTATCTCTGTATGAGTACTTATGTACAGAATCTAAGCTTCGTCGTAGTGTATCGCCACAGCAGGGTAGATCAAGCTCTTGAACGATTTGATCGTAGGGGGTGGAACGATGTTCGAATGACTCCTGAATCCATGATATTGTACGACGAATATCATCGTCACCAAGTATTGGAATTCGTCCACGTCGCTTCTTAGGGGTCGCAACCCCTGCGTTGATAGTTCTGAACACCTGTTTGTAGGTACAATAACCAATATCTTGCTGCATTTGTTTGGTGATCTCTTTGATAGAATGACGACCTCCTTGGTGGAGCGTAAGGATTTTGGTTCGATCATCGCGGGTAAGCTGCTTCCGCTGGGGGGTTTGGGGTCGTTCAATAGCCTCAGACATGGTCAAAAACGGCAAAAACGTCAAATTTGGGTCGAATTGGGGGTCGACGAATGGGGGATCGAATGGGGGTCTGAACCCGTGGTTCGAATGGTTGTAGTAGAATTGGGGAGATCTGTATGTAAAGCTTGGTATGGTTGTAATAAAATGCTACGTCAGCAGCTATATATAGTAGGCGGTAGGATGTGCCCCTGGACCCATATTTCCCTTACATCCCTCACCGCCCTGAAACACTGGGCATGGGTGGTGCGGCAAGTCTTGGCAGTACTTGAGTAACGAGGATTGGCTGGATATGTGACAGGATCCACCTGTGATAGATATACAAAGCCTGGTTGGCCGAGTGGAAAAGGCGCTGCGGGGGTCGAAGCCAGCCTGGTTCTGAACCGTGTGCTGGCCTCCCCTCCGGAGACCCTGGTTCGAATCCAGGATCGGGCACTCTTTTTTTTCTTTTTCCAATTTTGATGTCTTGAAAGCCTGGTATTTCAGGAGCCAAGGCCACAAGGCCAAAAAGCCAACAGTTCGTGCAAATCCAGTCTTTTTTCTCTGTTCTCCATATCATTCTTCTCTCAACTCGCACTGAACCCCGATCCTACAGCTTCTCCAACTCAACCTCCACAGTCGCCAATAAAATCTCCACACCACGCTTATCAGAATGATATACGCTAATCCCATCAGGGAAAAACTTGCGCCCGGAGGGTTTCCAGCAGCCAATGAGAAGGCTATAAACAGCGCGATAGCATTGCCCGACTGGGAACCTACATGAGTTAGAGGGACGGGGAAGCATAAATGCACCTCTATGCCCCAGGAAAAATCCAACCAAAATGGCCACCCTCCACCCCCTTGACCCAATTACCCCCGGGGAGATCCAGTTAGCGGTCTCCGTCCTGGAGTCTGCCTTCCCAGGCGTGAAGCTCCGTTACAAGCGTATCGATCTGCAGGAACCCGCCAAGCATGAGGTGGTCCCGTACCTTGAGGCCGAACGCCGGGGAGAAGTCCGCCCACGCAAACCGGCGCGTTTGTTGATGGCCCTATTCCACAGATTGGACAACGGTTCTTTCTTCAAAGCACTCATCAACGCCGATACAAAGTCTATCGTGTCCGCGAAGGAACTCCCCAAAGACGTTCAGGGACCTGTGGACGTGGACGAAATGCTGGAGATTGAGGAGCTCTGTCTCAGTCACCCAGCTGTGAAGGCCGAGATTGAAAAATTGAAGCTCCCGGCTGGTCACACCGTCTGCATGGACCCTTGGATCTATGGTACAGAGGATGCCAAGGAAACCCGCCGGTTGTTCCAGTGCTACATGTACATCGTGGCCACTGATCACCCCCAGAACAACCAATATTCTCTGCCATGCAAATTCTCTCCAGTGTTCGATGGCATCTCTCGCAAGCTTATTCGTATGGATTATCTGCCTGGTGGTGCAGACACCCAGAGCACTGAGACGCAACCCTGGAAGCCCGTGCCCACCATCCAGTATGCCCACGATTTGTTGGACGAACCTCTACGCACCGACTTGAAGCCTTACATTGTTCAGCAACCGGAAGGTGCATCTTTCAATGTCATTGGCAATGCTGTCTCATGGCAGAAGTGGCGCTTCAGGGTTGGCTTCAACAACCGGGAAGGCCTTGTACTTCATAATGTGACTTACGATGGTCGTAACACCTTCTACCGCCTATCATTCTCTGAGATGACGGTTCCCTACGCTGGTATGTCTCTCGACCTGTTTAAAGTATCTTGTCTAACAAGTCTTAGATCCCCGTGCCCCTTACCACCGCAAGCAAGCCTTTGATGTTGGTGATGTTGGCTTCGGTATCACAGCCAACCAGTTGAGCCTTGGCTGCGACTGCCTCGGTCATATTAAGTATTTCGACGGCTACCGTACAGACGCACAGGGTGCACCGATCCAATTGAAGAACGTCATCTGTATGCACGAGCAGGATAATGGCTTGCAGCACAAGCACACCAACTACCGTAGTGGGGAGGCAACGGTTGTTCGCAACCGTCAACTTGTGGTCCAGATGATTTGCACAGTCGCCAACTACGAGTATATCTTCGCGTTCATTCTCGACCAAGCAGCCAACATTGAGCTCGAGGTGCGCGCAACTGGTATTCTCTCTACCGTTCCTTTCGATAATGAGAATGGCCAAACCGTCCCGTGGGGCACTAACGTTGGACCTGGTGTCATGGCCCCATACCACCAGCACATGTTCTCTCTCCGTATCGACCCAGCCCTCGACGGATTCAAGAATACAGTCTACTACGAAGATAGTGTTCCTATGCCCGAAGACGACAACAACCCATGGCTTGTTGGATATACAACAGAGCAAAATGTGATGAAATCCAGCGGAAGTGCTTTCACAAGCGTTGATCGCAACCGCGTTTTCAAGATCCGCAACGACTCCATCATCAACCCTATCACCCACCACCCCATCGCATACAAGTTGCAAACCTCGCCAAGTCAGATGATCCTAGCGAACCCCAAGTCATTCTCTAATAAGCGCGCTCGCTTTGCCACTCGTCCCATTTGGGTCACGAAGTATCAAGATGACGAGCTCTTCGCCGCGGGCGAGTTCACAAACCAGAGCAAGGAGTCGGATGGTGTCGAAGTCTGGGCTGCTCGCAATGACACAGTCGAGAACGAGGACCTGGTTCTCTGGCACAGTAAGTGAACTCTTCTTTTTTTTTCGATGGTAGCTAACGTTTTCCCAGCATTCGGTCTTACCCATAACCCACGCATTGAGGATTTCCCCGTCATGCCCATGGAGCGTGTCAGCGTCATGCTCAAGCCGGATGGATTCTTCACTAAGAACCCCGCACTGGATGTACCAGCGTCTAGCCAGTCTTTCAATAAGTCGACTCAACACCCTGAGCCATCCTGCTGCGCAGCACCTCAGGAGCGCGGGCAGGTGAAGCTGTAAATAACGCGAAATGAACAACATCGATATGAGTAGCCTCGAACGAGTTCTGGGTGATCCCTTTTAGCCATGTGGATATGACAGAAATATGATATGACATTTTCATTCTAATCGGATACAAACCTTGGAGAAATGCTTCTGCTGCTCCAAATATCTGTACGCCTCCTTTGCCTCCAGAAAGTCAAAAACCTCCTCATCAACAACAGGTTTGATACCCTTGTCTTCAATAAACCGATTCATATCATGGAACTGGTCACGGGTACCAAGAAGAATCCCCCGCGCCGTGCAAACATTAATCAAGCAATCCAAGATTGTAGGAACAGCAGCCTGATCCTCTGCGTGACCTAGCAGCCCAGTTACCGCAATAAGACCGTTCGTGCGCACTGCCTTGAACGATTGCGGGAGCGTCGATAAACCACCGACATCAACAACAATATCAACACCCCTTCCATGCGTGAGACTCTTAGCAACATCGCCCCAATCCCGACTTGTGCGATACTTAATCACATGGTGAGCACCGAGCGATCTCAACTGCTCAGCTTTGGCTTCTGTGCTAGTCGTCGCGATGACGGTCGAGCCAGCCGCGATGGCAAACTAATTCCATCACATTAGTATCTCCCTCCCTTCACCGAATACAAAACATACCTGCAATGCAGCAATAGAAACACCGCCCGTACCCTGTACGAGAACAGTCGTTCCCTCCCCGGGTACAAGCCCGTCCAGTCCAAACAGGGCATTCCACGCCGTGAGCCCAGAACAAGTCAAGGTACAAGCCTCAAGGAAGCTCAGAGATGGCGGCATTGGCACAAGAGCCGATTCATGGAACATGGCATGTTTGCGCAGAGTTCCGTCATAGTGCTGTCCAAGGCCGGAATTGATATCTGTGAAAGTCGGCGCCGAGGACGAAGACAGTCCTGAAACGAGATGTGTGCAGACGCGATCGCCTGCTTTGAATGATTTTACTTGGGATCCGACTGCTGTTACTGTTCCGGATCCGTCGGAACAGGGCGTTACGCCTGGTTTGAAGAATGGGAGTTGGGGCTCGCCCTGAGGTTGTTAGTATCTGGTGTTCTGGTTTTGGGCGGTTTTGGGCTTACTTTTGCGATTACAATGTCTCTATAGTTCAATGAGGCGGCGTGTATCTTGACGAGAACTTCATCGTCTTTCAGAGTGGAGACTGGGTTGTCGGCTAGTTGCAGGCTTTCGATGCCTTGTTGATCATTCAAGACCCAGGCAGGAGTTTGTGTCACCATTGTTGCAAATATTTGACCACTTATGGGAGAGAGTTCGGTAGAATAGAGAATTCAAAAAATCCTAACTGTTTCCACTGAACACAAAGTGCCCCAAGTTTCGACTTTCAACCCGAGTCAGTTAACGTCACAGGCTGAATCCACACTGAGTCAGTTTTCGAGTCAGGTTCTCCATACAATTCTCAACTCCAATTCTATAGATAAGTCATGTAGGTAAAAGTACATTATCATTGGCCGAATTCAGTTAGACTCAACGGTTTCTCTAATTGGCGTACATAGTATTACAAAAAGTCGGCGCCCAGCTCTATAGAACGAAAGGTAACACAAGCCTTTATAATGCGCACTCTGATGGTTTCTTTCTTAGCACCACCGCTATGATCGGCATTTGTTTATCTTTTTCAGCTACAGCAAGCTCAAATTCATACTATTGGGAGGTGCCCATGGGTGAAATGCCAAAAAAGTGAAATGGATATTCCGTGTCACGTGATCGGCTACCCGAGAAGAGCCGAGGGAATCCGGGTCGCCGATTGGCCAGTGAAACAGTTAGCGGCCATCGACCATGTTGGACTGCTTCATCACTGGCGATCTACTGGGTATAGTAAATGAAGTACTGTTATTGGAAATTTTACATCATACTTCACTGAACAGGTCACTTGAGTGATAAGGTTGTCTCCATTGGTGACTTGCCAGACTTTATGAATCTGAAAGCTCCGAGGGTTTGATAAAAATGCTCGTCACACCAGGTATTCGTCTTCAGCATCAAATCGGCCATGCCTCCACGGGTCTTGAAGGCCACCTCACATGTTAGGCAAGAGTTTCGGGGTGGTGTTACCCATTAAGAGTCCCGTGGTCGTATCGTCTCACAAGGTTGTCTCTCCATCTGATCTTGTGATCGATGTCAATATCCGCAATGGAGGACAGGAGAGCAAAAAATGAACACTCGGCCCACTCAGTTCCCCCTGGTTGCAAGACTGTCCGCCCATTCCTTCCCGGAAACAATCTCAGCCTTCCGCGCAAACACTTTCTCCATCAGCACTCGGTGAACCTCCTCATCACGATCCATACAGCAATCCTCCAGAATAGTGACACGGTAATCCATATCCATGGCCTGGCGCACAGTCGACAGCACCGCACCACTCGTAATCAGCCCAGCGACAACAATGGTTTCCGCCTTGGCACAGCGCAGCAGCATATCAAGCTCCGTAGCGAAGAATGCAGAGACCCGACGCTTGGTCAGGGTTACCTCCCGATTGGTTGGTGCAACAAGTGGGTGGACCTGTACCGAGGAATCGCCTTCGAGGTATTCGCCGCGTGCAACGACAGCGGGCACGGATGAGTTGTTTGGGTTGTTTTCTGGGTAGCCTTGTCGGAATCCAGTCACGACATGGATTACTTGGATGTTTGCTTTGCGGGCACTTGCGACTGTTGATGCCACTCGTTCCAGGTAGGGTGTTGTGTTCTCGAGGCGGTCGATTACCCCGTTTTGAACGTCGAGGATCAGGAGGACGGTCGCCATTTTGGAAATTATTGCTTGGACAGAAATGAAAGGAGTTGGTTGATTGAAGTTGTTTGAAAATCGCTCGATGGGGAATGTGGTGAAGTTTATCTAGCAAAGTCGTCGCGCTTCCGGCATTTGGATCCCGGTACCGGGATGTGATACCAAGTGACTGTCTTCACCTTTTATTTTTTTCGACTTCAGATGCTTCACCAGAATGCCCCAAGAAACTCGGCCAGTAGTTGCAGATCCTCGGTCTCGAAACAACAGTCAACTTGGGAGTCTTATATTGGAAAGAGCACAGCTTACATAACCAGCTACATGAGCCCTGGAGCCTGCGAATCTCGAGAGTCGGATCTTCTTTCAGATGAGATACTCTCACATATCCTCACATTGATATTTCTATGCTCGATTCCTAGAGGCCATATGGCCGCATCTCGCAACCTAACAATGGCGAAGTCGGTTTCAATCACTCACGGTGGCGACAGTGAGTGTACTCACCACCACAAGGAACAGACTAACATGAACATAGACATGCTGAGCTCGGTGGCAGCGTTGAACGGCCGCGTCTTTAGCACTGACCCCGTCATCTCCTACATGCTCTTAGACCTTCCTCGAAAAGACAGACTGTCCTATCTACCCACTTACTGGGAAACGCTGATCAAATCGGCATTGCTCAATGACGCAATCATCACCGAAGCCAATGGCTGGAAAGCGGCGTCAGTCTTACTTCCCCCAGGACGATACGTCGACAATGCCTGGACTCTGGTGTGCGCAGGGTTCCTAGGTGTCCTGTGGCGGATTGGATTTCCTGGTTTCAAGGTATGGAGCTCTCTTGTCTTTGGTCTGCATATGTAACCGTTATTCAGCGCCTTTGGTCTGAATTCTCCGGGATGACCGATAATGCAAAAAGAATTGGTCTCCGCGGACAGAAGCGGTACTACTATATGTTTAGCATCGGGACCGAGGTTGAGCACCGAGGCAAAGGTGAGAAGATCCACTGATTGGACCTCAATTGTGCCTACATGCTCGCTGACATGCTCGCAGGTCTTGCAAAGGCCATTTTACGAGATCATCAACAAACAGCTCAGGCTGCTAATCTGCCGATTTGGCTAGAGGCCACAACACCTGCCTCACGCGCCTTGTACCTCTCCATGGACTTTGAGGAAGTTCAGGAAATCGTCCTCGGAAAATGCAAGGTTACTGCTGATGCTACTGTACAGCCCGGTGGGTCTGGTATTCCCCTGTGGGCAATGGTCTGGTGGCCAAGGTCAATTGCTGCCCCCCCTTCTTGAGATCCCTAGACTTGTCCTGTTTTCTTTCCATTATCCATAAACCAGCTTTTAGTATAGTCGGACCGGAGGATATACTTGTTCTTGTTCCAAAGAAATGGCAGTATTGTCTTTCTGCCTCGAGAGCTATAAGACTCAGAGATTTGATAGGGCTGATATGACTGATCCTTCGATTCGACTGATTTCTCTTTTCCAACCTTGAAGCTTGCTAACCGGAAACCGACACCAACCATTTATCAGAGCGACGTCCATATAGATCAATCTACGGGTTTTTAATTAATCAGAAAATGAGCATTGGATATATGGGATAATTACTTGATGATGAAATTTTATCGCGCCATACAATGGTCCCTTCCCCGGGCCGGAGCCTGTATCATTGGATTTCTCTGGATGAGCGATCACTCGTTATCTCATCTGAGCCTGGTACTTCTTGTGTTCGGTGGTGCATGGCTCTGGCTTCCTCGTGCTTGCCCTGTCTTTCGAGGACAGAAGCAAGGTCGCTGATGCTCCTGAGTGTATCTCGATGTCTTGATCCCAACACTTTCTCTTGACTTTGTAATGCTCGGTGTAAGATGGCTTCGGCCTCTTCGTATTTGCCTTGTTTGAAATGTGCTAAACCCAGATTATACAAACTGGTAAGTGTATCTGGATGTTTTGATCCCAAGACTTTCTCTCGGCTTTGTAACGCGCGGTGGTGGATGGCTTCGGCCTCTTCGTATCTTTCTTGGTCAGCAAGGACTAGACCAAGATTGCTGACACCGGCAAGTGTGTTTGGATGTTCCGGTCCCAGGACTTTCTCTTGACTTTGTAATGTGCGGTGCAAGATGGCTTCGGCCTCTTCGTATCTACCCTGGTTGGCAAGGACTAGACCAAGATTGCTGACACCGGAAATTGTGTTTGGATGTTCCGGCCCTAAAACCTTCTCTAAAAATTCAATGTCTCGCCGGTGCATGGATTCAGCCTCGTCATATTTACCCTGATCCGAAAGAACCAAACCAAGGTTGTTGACACTGGCGAGTGTGTCTGGATGTTCCAAACCTAGCACTTTCTCTCGAACTTTCAACATCTGTCGACATATGGTTTCGGCCTCTTCATATCTATCCTGGTAGGCAAGGACGAGACCAAGGTTGCTGATAGTGGCAAGTGTGTTTGGGTGTTCCGGCCCTAAAACCTTCTCTGACCATTCAATATCCCGCCGGTACATGAATTCGGCCTCGTCATATTTGCCCTGGGCTGAAAGAGCCAAACCAAGGTAGTTGATACTGGCGAGTGTGTCTGGATGTTCTGACCCTAGCACTTCTTCTCGATCTGTCAACGTCTGTCGACATATGGCTTCGGCCTCTTCGTATTTACCCTGTCCGACGAAGGTTGGCACAAGCTTGTGGTTGCTCATGAGCGTTTCTGGATGTTTCGATCCTAGCAGATTTGCTCGATACTCGAGGACTATCTGGTACATCCCCTCTGCTTCGCGATATCGCCCGTCATATTCCAGACATTTCCCACATTTTTCCGCAAGATCAATCGTTTCCATATTGTGCCTATCATACCCTTCCACAGCATGTTGTGCATGGGCTATGTATGGCCGCCAATGCATCTGGTTCGTCTGGTCGATGTCTGACAGTAGGTCACCTAACCGCACTGCCGCTTGTTTGTGAAATGCTGGCAACTCTCCATTGATCTTGAGCCAGCCTCGCGTCGCCAGATGCACCAGGCGATGGATATCAAAACTTAATCCATCTTTATGTGCAGTGATGAATGAAAAAGCGTCAAGAATACGGATCGCATTTTTCTGCTCATTCGACGATGACGATTCGGAAGTCTGTAGTAGGGTCCGGGGAATGTCCTTGGGGCTCACACACCCCATGATTCCAAGATATTCGATTGCAAGAGGGCTGTGGCGACGGATCTGCTTAAATGAGATGAGCCATGTCTTCGCGACTGCATTCTCTGTGTCTGAATATCTGCCGTAGGCTCCAAAATCTTCACTCAAGCGCTCAATCACTTCATCATTCTGTTTTGAAAAGAGTTCTTGATATTCCGCGAGTGCGCCTTCGGTCTGATGGGTCGCGTTGATATATGCTGCCGCCTGGGTGATTGCCAGTGGGAGATAGGTGAGCTTTTGCAGCAAGCCTGGTAACACATGTTCTTCGTTCCCGATAGGGCGAACCAAATATTTCCGCATCATCTCCACGGCCCCGGACTCATCCATTTGTCGGACAGTCACTACATTCTCCTGGGCGACTCTTGTGGCCACCTTGCGGTCACGGGTGGTCCATATGATTGATCCAAGCCTGCTTTGCGGCATGTAATCAATCATCCGTTTGGCCCCTACCTCGGATGTGATTGGCGATGTCCACAGATCTATGTTGTCGGCATTATCCAATACCAGCAGCCATGGTCCAACAGTTTCATCACTGAGATATGTTTGAACCAATTCCAATATATCAACACCACTCTTGTCGTAGCCAGGAAGCTGAAAATTCCGAGCCAACTTGTGGTATGCTGTTTGTAGGTTGGTTAAGTTGTTGACTGGAATCCAACAGACTGTGCACTGTTTTCTCATGCGATGCGCTAGCTCAAGCACTAGTTGGGTCTTGCCCACACCACCGAGGCCATCAATTGCAATTTTCCTCGTGACATCGGAATTTCCTTTCACTTTCTGCATCAGGTCATTCAGCAGATCCTCCCGTCCAGTGAATTTGACGTTTCGTTCGAATGGCACTTGCCACCGGGCCTTGCCCTGCCCTTGAGTATTATTAGCATTGGATCTGAAGATCAGATATTGAGAAAAACACCATACATTGCTCCAAAATAACCAGTCTCTTTTGGTGGTCCTGCATGGGATTAGTCCCAATCCTTCCTTCTGACGACGGACTTTAGGAAGACTAACCTCAATCTCTGCCATAAAATCAATGTTGGTTGCACCTGTCTCCATTATTATTCAACTCAAACCTATGAAAAGTCTTCCAAATACACACTTTGCTTTAACTTCAAATTCTCAACGCAATCCCGCACCCGAAATGCCACTGCCTGGTGATCAAGGTATCCCTCTGTCGCTGACTCGATCACGCCCTGCTCCTGATATTCCGCCAGCCCGACACCCTGTAACCCCTGGTCCACATTGAATCGGAAATACCGCTTGCTGTCGTAATGTTGCCGCCATTTAGCGATGAATCGCTTCTCTGTCTGCTCCGTCTGGGTGGCAAGCTCCGGTAAAGTCTTGGAAACAAACTTCAACAGATTGTCTTCCATTGCCTTCTTACCGGGATTGCCGGTACCGATCGAGATAAAGCATTTCACTAGCGGCTTGAGGTCGCCTGTGTTTTCACACCATATATCAGACGCTTCGCCTTCAACTTCATCCACCGGGTTGTTGGCCCCCAGTCCGCCATCCGCGAATCGACGCGCTCCAATGGTGACCGGCTCGAAGAAGGTAGTGGCGGCCGATGTTGCTCGGGCAGCCTGGCAGATGGTAGCCGGAATCCCGAGGTATTTGCCGTAGCTGCGAAGGCGTACAATATCTTTGGTCTCCTGCGTGATACTGCAGACGAATCTGAGACTGTTAGCAAGATACGGACTAATCGGCTCACTAAATCTTACACCCGGCAACTCCGATGAACTCCATCGTTGAATAAATCAGTCGTGTTGGTTCCGCAGCTGTTTATGACTTCGTTGATTGCACCCTCGAGCTTTCTGGCATCGTATTGGGGCTTGATCTTCCCAAAGAGTTTGGATAGGTTCCTTGTCGAGGGCTTGCCAAATATCTCTTTCATCAACTTGATATAAGCCGCGATGCACTCATCGACATCCATTTCCAATCGACCCAACATGATCGCAATCAATCTACAGTTGTCAGCCACCCAACTCCGATATGCAGTCTGATCTTACTCACCCGCCTGTACTGGTGCCTCCGATAAGGTCAAATACCTCGCAGGGCTTTCTTGCTGGTGAGCCCTTGGGTCGCGTCTGATTCAGTCGGTCCATCAATCCTTTGAGGATGTACAGGGTCGACAATCCGCGCACGCCCCCGCCATCGAGGGACAGTAAGCAGAGCCCGGTGCTGTCCACCGGGTCTGGCTCCCCGCCTTGAACGGTCGCTTCGTGCTGCATCGCCGAGTGTTGAGATGGAAGTTCGTCCCAACCCTCGTTTGCTGTTTGTAGATAAACCCTCCTCCCTAGGCTTTCTCTCTTCTTCCTCTCTCTCTCTCCCTGAGCCGTCAATACGATCGGTTCTGTCCGCTTCTTCTTCTCCGCCGCCTGTAGGCTTGTCACCGAGTCGTTTCTTCAGTCTGGTGATATTGCGCTCAAGAATCGCTCATGTGCCGATGGGAAAGAATGAAGAAAGGTGTCTGTTGCCTGCGAAACGCTGGCCTGGGCGCAGCCCAGCTGAAGGCGCTTAAATAGGGAAAGCCCTACTGCGCCTCATTCTCACTGGGCACAGTGCGTTGCCGCCGATGACCAACGTACGTCAGACGCCTCTCATCTTTTAGCGCCATCTTTACCCTCTTGAGTATTGCAGTTGGCCTGCGTTTGCAGGTGTGGTGCCCAAGGGGTGGAAACTGTTTCGGGTGGCCGAAGATGACTGAGGCTGTGTTGGTAGCTTGGCAAAAAAACAATGATACCTGACATACCATTGAACCAACCATAGTAACCAATGGGCCTTGAGTTTTGAAGTCACGAAGTTCCAAATCGTGTCTAGAAATAAGCTCATCACCGAGGTTCTGCCAAAGTCACCATTTCTGGCGATCTGAATAGCTTCACTGCCACCAGTTGTAATACCAGGTATTGGAGCAAGACATTCGTGGATCCAGATCCACCTTGTATCGTAAAACTCTTTGGATTGGCCGTTTTTGAGTCTGAGCCACGTGCCAAGAGTGTATTTATGTAGGTTGTCCAATGATGGGGCCCATAGAAGTGGATATGTGACAAGATCCACTTGTAATAAATATAAAAAGCCTGGTTGGCCGAGTGGTTTAAGGCACTGTGGGGCGTACCAACCCGGGAGTGTGTCACCGCATAAGCGTGTGCTCCGAAGGTGTTGGCGCGTCCTCCAGAGACCCCTGGTTCGAATCCAGGATCGGGCGATCCTTTTTTTCATCTTTTTTTTTTCAAAAAAATTCTTCCTTTAAAGAAATAATATTTGGCAGAGTATTGTATTGATACTTCAGGGATCTCTGCTTTCTGCCCACCAGAAGCCAGGCAACGTAAGAATCGGCCATTGGGGCATCATCCGACCAGACTACTCTTCACTGCAAAAACCTTTCAAGAAACCTTGAAAAGGTGCATTCTAGGCAGGGTGCATGAAGGAAGAGATCTAACACGGGGGCAAGATGGGGGCTTGGAGGTCCCTCCGTATAGTCTAGAACATCCCAAGCCTGCTTCCCATTCCGTTTGCCCGACGGGATGGTTCTATCCGAAAGAGCCCCAAAACGCGTGATTCTCGGATCAGGTTCTGTTTCCTAAAGGAGAAGGTCATGTGCCCGGCACATGCACTCTCCTTCTCCGAGCCATGGAACTATACCTCAACTACCGTGGCCCTTGCCATAGTTTGCCATAGTTAGTCATTCGGTCCTGTTTCGCCTCAATGCTCTTCCTCTTCTCTCCTTGGCCTTTGCATTGTTCGACACAAAATGCCGAGCATCATGAAACAATCAAGTCATTTACCACCTGAGTTATGGAACCAAATATGTCAAAACTTGACGATAAAGGACGTTTGTGCACTGCGATTAAGCTGTCGTGCCTGGATGCTTCGGACCTACGGCTATTTCGCCGACCAGGTTTTCCATGACTTTTACCTTGCACTCACCAGCGATGGCTTACGTGCATTGGTGTACGTGGCTGGTCACGAAGTTTTTAGCAAACATGTCAAGGTAGGTGATTTTGTGGAAAATGTGCCCAGCATGCAATACTTCGAGCATGAGCTGATTCTTGAGGCTAGAGACTTTGGGTTATGCCCAGCCTCTTTGGCGGAGACTATACATGGAAACTTGATGATATGAAGCGACAAGTTGAATTGCAGCAGAGGGAAGGTCAATGTTGTCGACCTCATACATTTCGTTTTACGCTCCGGTCTCCTTGCCATGAAAGGGACGGGCCACAAAGCTCAATCGATCATCGTCTTGCTTCGCGGTCAAAGTTGTCGATAGAAGATCGCTATATGGTTTACAAGGATGCAGTAGTCGACCACTTCCAGGTCCTGCTGTCATCTTCGGACACTCCATCCACCGGACAGTCACGTTTCAGAGATACGTTGGACAGTTGCCTGCCTTCTTTATCGAATCTCCGTGCTGTCGGACTGAGAAATTCTGCCGGTCACTCAAATGACAGGACAAGCAGGAGATACCCGATGGTTGTACGAGGGACAGGTAGCTTGCGAAACCAACTTGGTTTCGATCCGGTCCAACCAAACGTTTCACCAAATGCTTTGCCATACTGTGCTCGCAGCAGCTCCTGCCGAGGGAGTTTGTTTCAGTCTCATGTTTTCTCTACGCTGCTGGCAGCCCTGGGCACGACCCATACCCATGTTGCAGGAATCGAGACTTCTGGTGGGATCATGGTGGATGACGGGCTGTCACTTACGCCGTTAGAAGAAGAGCTCTTGACACCAATCCTTACACATCTGCAGACGCTGTCTGTTCGCATCTCGTCCGCTCATACTCAGGACAATGAGCGGCAGCTTTTACGTGAAGATGAAGAGAAATCGACCCTTCTTCTCCGGGATTCAGGGATCTGGGAAGAAATGAAAAATCGCCTCGAGACAGACAACAATCGACTACTGCCACTCCTTGCTCAGGCAACTCCCGGCATAAAGAATCTGAATCTCACCATGCGTGCCCCCGGTCTAACTTTACCCAAGCTTCAACATGATTCCAAAAACTTTGATCTGCCAGACGCACACTTCGACTGGATTTCTGAAAACTTCAAGTTCTGCCGCCTCACAAAATTGTCGCTGGGCGACATCATAACCACTGTACCATTGCTCAAACATTTTCTGCAGACGAGCCTACACACCTTGAGGTATCTGAACTTTGACCTCCTTGCCTTGACAAGTGAAACAGAAACCTCGATTCCTCGAGACGGGGAGCTTAAAGACGAGGGCCAGCGGGTCTGGCGAGAGGTATTTGAGTATCTACGGGATCACTCTAAGATACAACACCTCAGCATCAACTTTTTGGGTTACCAAAACAAAAGGATACTTTTTAGAGACCCTATCAACGATGTACCATCAAAGCATCCAAGATATTCAACCAGCATGTGTTACGACAAATCGCATGACAAAAGCTCTTTGGGGGAGTGGATCGACCAACTCGAGTTTCGGACAGAGCATTAGGTAGCTCCCCGATACATTTGACGACATCTGATACCCGAAACCGTGGAACCACTCGAACGAATCTCATGTTCAACTGTATATAGACAATGGCATGCACAATCCTAGCTGCAGGGATTCTGCAACTTGCTCAAATCCTTGGGGATAACACCCGCCTTGACAGCATCTGTAACAAGTTAGCCAATGTATCAACAAATCAGACACCTTCCAAAGCCACTCACCTTGATAAGACCATCTATAATCATCCAACTGAGCCTTCCAAGTCCAAAAGACCCATCCCTGCTGTTTCTCATAGGAATGAACCTGCGCCGCAAACCACTTGGCATAAAACTCGGTGTTGGAACTAGGATCCCAATCCGAAGATCCCTCCACATCATCAGGGACAGCAAGACTCCATTCCCCAACAATATTCGGCGAGTTGCTGTCACGCTTGTCTCCACATGAAGTGCTGATATAGCTATCATGCGAAGCATCAACACTAGTATCCCACTTCAAGTAACGATGATCATCATATGCCATATAAGTCAAGTCATCAAGGAACTCATTTGGATCACCCGAGCCCCAAGATTGATCCATCGTCTGAATATGAAGATAGTCATTCTTGTTGATATTGAGCTTCTTCTCCGTGGCCCGGATACGCTTCACAACGTCAGTATCTTCACCCCATCCTTAGAAACAACTTCAAGTCAAACTCACCTGCACAGCCTGCGGATAATACTTCTCACGCATAGAAGAAGCCATCCCATCCTCCTGAACAGGCTCATTAACAACCTCCACCATCCCCACATTCCGCATCTCATCAACCGAATAAACAAGCTCAACCATCCACTCCAACCACCGCAACGCCCTCTCATAATTCTCCTCAGTATAAAAACCAGGCTTCTCAGCATTCTGCCCCGTAAAAGCATTACCCGGAGTCTGCGCACCAGGCGCACCATGCAAATCCATAATAATATACAAACCCGCATCACTAGCCCACCCACAAATCCTCTTCAAATACTCCAAGCCACCACGCGGAAAGTGTTCAGAGTCATCAACCAACTCCTCATACATCCAATATCCAACCGGGATGCGAATCGTGTTAAGTCCATAACTGACCATCTCGGCAATATCGTCTTCCGTCGTCCATGAATCCCAATGTTTGGCAAAAGCCGTATCTGCGGCGTCTTGGCCGAGGGAGGAGACGCAGTCAAATTCGGAAGCTTGGTTTTTACAGCCCATGGTCGACCAGGCTGTTTGGGCAATCCATGGCTCGAAGATGAATTGTGTGCCTAGGTTCACGCCGCGGATTTTGCTGGAGGTTTCGAAGAGGTTGGTTCCGGTGGTGGAGTTGATGGATTTGTTTTCTTCGGGGAGCCAGGCGGTTGCTAGGCTGGTTAGAGTGGTTAGAGTGGCGAGTTTGGTGATTATGCCCATCTTTGTGAGAATTTGGGGATTGGGGTGGATGGTCAATGAGAGGTTTAGACGGATTTCATCGGATATAAATACATCCTTCGCTGTATTCTTATTAGACACAGGGGCATCCATGGATCAGCCCACAAGTGACCCGGCTCGGCTCAGGATTCGAGGCATATTTCCAGTGTGATTGTCCGAATCTCGCCTCGAAGTAGATATTGGGGTGACGAATTGCCTAATCGGGGAACAGGACTGCGTTATATCGAAGCCAATTTAGCTTAAACGGGCATTAAACTCAGAGTCAGACTCTTGCTCTCTCCTGCTTTCATTACTCAACGGAAACTTAAGTAATGCTACATCAATTTGACCACCTGGGCAAACTTCCGATGGGCGTTGGTGTTTCGAATTTACAACATCAAGCAGGGATTCATGAAGCACATGTTCGCACTGAGGTCTCCATATGTAGAAAATCGTCTTCTGGATATGTGATCGTCCAGGACTTTGATCAATTTGGCAATTGCAGTATGTTTCTGATCTAGTGCCAAGGTGGGGGCTGGAGATCGACAGGGGGCTAAGGATAGACTTCTGAAGGAATATCGAGTTGATCTTTGCAATGCTCTTGTAATTCCAAGGTTGTGTACCTGTACACGGTTACGAAGTACAGGGTAAGGAGTAGCAGAAAGGTGCTCTGAAGATTTAAACTCATGGCCTGGGTCATGACTACTATAGTTCGAGATGGATGGAGCATAAGTAGACAATGTCTATTATCATTAAAGCACATTAAATATCATAATTGCGTCCGTGGCAATATAGGAAAATCATAAAAAATAACCCCTCACAGCGCCTTGAGCAATTCCTGAACCAAAGGCAAGAAGCCAGTGACATCGTCAATCAGGAGTGTTGTCTCATTGACGAACTTGGGAGTGAGAAGGTCGCTAGCATTATCCAAGAGGGAGCCAATCTCGTCGATGGTCTTGGGCTTGAGCAGCTTCTTAACTGAGGGCATAATGTCCGGCAGGTAACCAACGATGTCCTTGAGTGAACTGACCAACTTGGGGCTTAGGAGGTCGTCCGCGGTGTCGACAAGGCCAGAGGTCTCGTCGACGAAGTGGGGAGTGAGCAAGTTGGTAGCATTTGTCACGATGTAACCCAAGTCGGTGATGATGGTGGTGTTCAGCAGAGACCTTTCTAGGGTGGGGATCAAGGGGATGACGTCGCCCAAGAGGTCCTTCAGTCCGTGGACGATGGTAGGGCTGAGGAGGTCGTCGGCGCTGTCGATCAGACCGGTGGTCTCGTTCACGAACTTGGGGGTCAGGAGGTTGTTGGCATTGGTCAAGAGAGATCCAACGGCGTCGATGGTGTTCTTGGTCAAGAGGTGCTTGATCTCGGGGAGCAGAGGAGTAACGGCGCTGAGGATGGACTTCAAGCCAGAGGTGAGGTCCGGAGTCAACAGGCTGTCGGCCTCGCCAACCAAGCTCATGGTCTCGTTGACGAACTTGGGTGTCAGCAAGTGCTCGGCGTTGGTCAGAAGGTTCTCGATCGAAGTGATCATGCCCTTGCTCAATAGCGACTTGATCTCCGGAAGCAGAGGAATGACCTCGTTCAGAATCGACTTGAGGCCCTTGGTGAGTTCCGGAGTAAGAAGGCTGTCGGCCTCGCTGATGAGGCTGGTAGTCTCTTTGACGAAGTCGTCGGTAAGCAACTTGTTGGCGGCGTTCAGAACGTGCTCGATCTCGGTAATAAGAGATGGCTTGAGCAGTCCCTTGAGCTCGGGCAAGAGAGGAGTGATCTGGTCGAGCAGACCCTTGATACCCTTGATGGTTCCCGGAGTCAGAAGGTCGCTGGCCTCCTCCACCAAGTTGGAGGTCGCGTTCACGAAGCTGCCAGTGAGAAGATCGTTGGCATTGCCCAGAAGCGTCTCGATCTCGTGGACATTGCCATCGGTGAGCAGCTTGCCGGCCTTGTCGATGAGAGGACCGGCCTGGCTGATAAGGGGACCCGCCTGCTTGACAAGCTTGGCAGTAGTATCGATGAAGCTGGGGGTAAGCAACTTGGTAGCGGCCGACAGCAGGTTCTCGATCTCCTTGACGTTGGCCGCAGTGAGCAACTTGCTGGCCTTGTCGATGAGAGGACCGGCCTGGTTGATGAGAGGACCGGCTTGCTTGATAAGCTTGCTGGTGGTGTCGATAAAGCTTGGCGTAAGCAGCTTGTTGGCGGCCGACAGCAGGTTTTCGATCTCCTTGACATTTTCCTCGGTGAGAAGCCCACTGGCCTTGTCGATGAGAGGGCCAGCCTGCTTGATAAGCTTGCCAGTAGTATCGATGAAGCTTGGGGTGAGCAGCTTGTTGGCGTTGGACAGCAGGGACTCGATCTCCTTGACATTGCCGTCGGTAAGCAGACCGCTGGCCTTGGTGATAAGAGGACCGGCCTGCTTGATGAGCTTGCCGGTGGTGTCGATGAAGCTGGGGGTGAGCAACTTGTTGGCATTGGACAACAACGACTCGATCTCGTGGACATTGCCCTCGGTGAGAAGGCCACTGGCCTGATCGATAAGAGGGCTGGCCTTGGAGATGAGGTTGTTGGTCTCCTTGACAAATCCGGGGGTGAGCAGCTTGTTGGCGTTGTTGATCAAGCTGATGATAGCCTTGGTGTCCTCGGGAGTCAACAGCAGGGCAGCATTGTCAATCAAGTTGTCAACCTTCTTGACGAAGTCAGATGACAGGAGATCATTGGCATTGTTGATCAGAGACATGATCTCTTGGGTGTTCTTCTTGGTCAAAAGGTCGTTGGCGTTATCAATCAAATCGCCGACCTTGTTGGAGAAGTCTGCGGTCAGAAGGTTGTTGGCATTTGCCACCAAGCTCCGAATGTCGTGGTCGACAGGAGGAGCCAAACTGGTGGACAGGTACTCGAAAGTATCAGTGACTGTCTTCAGGAAACCGGGGTTGAGAAGACCCTCGAGTCCACCAATAAGATCACCCAGGCCACCATTGCCGTTACCTCCAAGCAGGCCGCTGAGGGTCTTTTCCAAGCCAGACAGGAGGTTATTCGTCTTGTCCGACGAGGCAGAGCTAGAAGAACTAGAAGAGCCGGAGCTGGAGTCGGAGTCGGAGTCAGAGTCCGATGAGCTGCCAGACTTGGTGCCAGAGGTACCGGACGAAGAAGAAGCAGAGGTAGTCTGGCTCGGGCCAGTCTCAGACTCCGATTTGGAAGAACCACCGCCGAGGGCCGTTTCAACTCCACCCACCAGGTTTCCAACGAGGCCACCGTTGGCCGTCGTGGTTGGAGCGGTGTTGCCAGCAGAGGCAGTATCTTCGTCATCGGAACCAGCAGCAGAGTTGGCTGCATGGTTGACGGCAGTCGCGGTATTCGCCGCCACAGTAGCCGCTGCAGTTGTAGGATCCGCTTGAGGAGCAGGGTCCTCCGCAGGAGTGTTGGCGGCATGGACATTGGCATTGCCCTGGTTTGTATCAGCCTGCTGCTGGGTGGTTGCGGCGGCTGTGGTAGGCTCTGCTGCTTGCTCGGGGCCATGCGCAGCAGGCGCGACGGTACCGACGGAGGCTGATTGGGCTGCTGGGCTGGCTCCTGTCACGTTCACCGTGAGCAGGAGTGCCGTAGCAAAAGTCGACATAAAACGCATGATGGTAGTTGGGCCGAGCTGGCGGTTCTTTCTCTACAGTATATCTTGACCGACCAACCGAAGAGGCGTCAATTCCCCAAACCTGGCGTTCAAAGGTTTGTTGCGGAGCAGGAAGAGCCTTTGGAAGATCCGGGAAAAGGCCCTTCCCCAGAGCGCGCCATCAGGCCTTTATTTACAAAAGTGGCGGCGCCGATCATGGAGTCCCAGACACGGTTCTCTGGCATCCCCGCTAACCGCAATTGTGAGTCTAATGACACTAGGACCGAAAAATCAGTGCAGCCCCATCTTGCCCGAGGAGATGGGGATCGACACCGAGGCAGAGAATAGAGTCGCAGTGCCATGTGACGAGCAGTTCTCATCACAACTCCACTTGGAACCAAGTCTAGTCCGAGTAGCTCTTCATCCGTGCCTGGGGGACTATAGGTACCAGGTAGGGATCGGCGCTATTACCTGCAGGGCAAATAGTCCAAAGCTTTTGTCAGTCCCGAGGCATCAGGCACATGCGCCTGCCAGTTTGTAAACGAGCCTGGGCATTCCCCATTTCGCAGAGTGTCATGGCGTGAACCTGCGTATATTGGCGTATAGGAGCCACATTATGCGGGAATTGGGGCTAAGACGAGCGGGAGCGGGGGTAGGCCTATTTCCCCACATCAGCAATTGAGTGGCTTGGATTGGCTTCAGGCGAAGTCGTGATGGAGTTGAGCTGGAGTGCCAAGAAGGGCCACAGGGCCCAAGAGTAGATCCCCGGCCAATGATGCACAGGATGGATTTCCCGAAACGGCCAGCAGAAGAGAAAAACAGGAAACCAAAAACAAGAATGAGGGGAGGTTCGGGGTCGTGATCCCAAAGCGGTAAGGCTCCCCTCCGATCGTTACTCTTTTCTGCCCCGTCGGTTCTCCAATTTTTGTCTCCTTTTCTTGACCTTATTTCTCAATTCTTTACTTCAATATTATATTAAGGACCATTGGATTTTTGGGAATAGTTTCACCAGTCGTATCTCGTAAGGCACACAGGTACACAGGTACACAGGTACTCAGTTCCTCAGTTACATCGTACCTGTCCGTATAACTAATAACTAGAGTACGAGGAAGGCTCACAGAGTCGGCCGAATGCTACGTAGGGTGGGATCAACCAATGGCTTAACCTCGACTGGAAAGCTTAAGCGTCTCGGTGGGTTCCTTTTTCCGATTTTTTTGCTTTTTTTGCTTTCTGATTTTTCTGATTTTTCTTTGTTATGTCGTCTTCGATCTCGATCTTCAATTCGATTTTGAATTGCAAATTTATGTGAAGACCTCTTTTAGGGCTATCGAATACCAGAGAATTTCTCCCTGGTAAAATCCTTCCATTCTGTTCGCATTGCTCTTGAACGAGTCACTCGACTCAGGAGTTCAGCACGATTGACAAGCCTCGTGATTGGCCATGTTTCCCCCCGGAGCTAAGCAGATCTTGCCCAGATGTTTCCTTCAGCCCGAGGGTCCAGACACGAACCATAGTGGCCCATACGAGTAATACGGTGTACGACATTTGCTCTTCTTTGCACTTTTGGACCCTGGAGCAAATATTCAATCTCTTCTCAGGTTTTAGTTAATCGTATTTCGTGTTGGCCCTATAACAGCGGGTCAGGAGAGATTTCAGATATTTCGTGATTCACCTCTGGGCATCCTTATAATTTACTGTTACAAGTAGAAGTCCCAACTTTGACAGATCTGCCCAGTGGGACGGGAAACTGCCTGCATCCTCGGTCTGACTCGCAGACCAGATCTCATCTCCAGAAAGCAATATAGCCCGACGATCGTATTTAGCGAGGCCAATTGACGAGGTGGTATTTTCGGGTAAATGACCTCATCGATATTGTGCCGTTGATAAACCTCCGACCCCCGGAAAGAGGCGCACTGCCATGTTTTTGCGGGGGAGATGATGACATTCGCTTATGCCGTTTAAGTTAAGTTAATTAAACGTCCCTGGCCGATCTGAGGTTCAACCGAGAATCACAAGCTGGCTCGGTACCTTTCTCTGCGCTATGGCCCACGGGTTATATTAAATGTGTCCGCGAGGTACGCGGAGTCTAAGTAAGAGCCGTTGTCTCGCTTCTTGTTTCCTTTTCATCTGCTTTTTTGGGGGAGGGATTTAGCGGAGCCATGTATCTCATGCAGTCTCTATGAGTGCAACGTAAAAAGCAGAACAGAAGGAATCTTTCAATGGTAGCAAAATTGGGTCTGTCGAAGCAGGTGATCACTGACATGACCCACAAATTATCTGTCTCCTTATTCCTATTGCATCTGCTGGAAAATTGAATGCTGGAATATCCTCCGTTCAATTCTTCAGTGTTCATTCCCCAAGGTAATTGGGGTCCAGACAATTGGTCAATTTTGTGTGGCCTGATCACGAATCTGGCCCCATACTGAGGCTTTTTGCTTAGCGGATATGCCGGGTCTCAAGTCAATCTCAAGCCAATCTCACATCTCCGCATGGATGTGCTCGTAGTCTATGTACTCCGTGCTCTGTATCCATGGATCTGACTTAATGCTCTTCTACAATGACTATCGATTCATAAATGATATTATTCAACTGGGGATCTCGCAGGTGTTCGTGGTACATCTACAATCAAGTGTAGACTTCCACGGTTGTCATGCTGGCCGGCCGCTCACCTACCATGGCGCAGGCTCAAAGGGGAATTCCTAATGAAACCTCACGACTCACTGGTTATGGTTCCCCCGTTTACAGCCAATCCAAGGTTCCAATACTGGAAACAAAAGCAGTATAAAATTCAATGTTCATATGGAGAGACTCGAAAAGTTAGATTCCCGGTACCTTCAATGCCGGGTGCTGGGCCCAGGGGGAATAGTTTGTTTGCTTGACCATGGTTCCAAGGCTCAGGGGTCTTTTCTTTTCTTTTTGCATCTCTTTTCATGTGCCTTACGCAGTACTCCTTTCCACCATCCTGTCTGTTTCCGTCTGTCAAACTCGCTGCTGGGTGACAGGCTCTCTTCCGTCCAATCTAACCATGGCTATCGCCTGGACCCTGCATTTCTATACCGAGTGCGGTATACTAGGTAGTTTTCGAGGCTACTCTCTACCATAACAATATCACCCCGTAACAGAATAACAGTTTCATTGGTGCAAAACCTCTCTCCTGACTAAAAAGATCATGCCATATCCAACATCCCCCTTTACCGACTAATCTCTCAGCAGCCGTGAAATCCCTAACCCAAAACCCCAGTCAAGCCAAGCCGGGAACATCCTGTCTTCACCAACACACCCAAGCTTACCCCTACATATATCACCTGCGCCGTCCAGTCTGATACGAATAGCCACGTCTAAGCCCCCAGCCCTGGACCCCGTGGACGTCAGCCCATCTCGTACACCGCTAGACGACTTTCGGCGTATGGGCCCATGGATAGTGGAAGGATCTAGTCGTGTCAAAATGAAGCCCAACTTGGAAATAACTTGAGAAATGAGATGCGCACGTATCCGTTCAGCGATGACCCATGCTCTGCCATGCAGAAGACTCGTGTCTACTTACTCTGTATGATCTCGGGATTTGACTTGAGACTTAAGAAATATATATGGAGTCCATGCATTAATTACTCTTGCAGACACTTGAGCACTTAGTAGATATTGGCTCAAGTGGCCGGTGGGCAATCCACCCATGGATACTTAGTACTAATATACTTCGCACGATACTTATGAAGGGGCTACCATATACTTAAGTACTCCGGAGTACAGGTCAGATTTGATGCATCTACTCTAGCCCTTCATCATTCCCCGCGCTAAGCTGGGAGGCTTGAAACCGTTGGAAGAAAAAGTGGATCTCGAATAAGCACAGTCGATCAGGCGATGTTTGTGTGTGCCCAGAACATGGAAAGGTATAGGGCATTTCTGGACTCAACGACTTTCAATCAATCGAAATAATTACTTGAGCATATCAGGGACTGCAGCAACCTAGATCGGAAAACCCCCTTTGAGGACGAAACCCGAACCCGAAATCGATATCAGAAAAGCCCACCGGCTCGGATATATATTCCCCAGGGTGCTGAAGTCGGGCACGTGTCTACTTAAGCAGGGATGTCTCCATTAAGATGAGGTTCTCAGACGCGTTTCACTAACTTCTAAAGTTCTATTAGATTTGGCGAAAATCCATTCTAGTGCGAGTGTTAATATTGGCAGGGCTGGGAGTCGGGGAAATCTCGGTCGGCCGAACCGCATCCGCATCCGACAGCCCTGGAAACAAAGGACTTGCAGGCCGAGCCTTTGAATCGGGTATGTCGGACCTGTGTCATTTTTGGTACTTAGAGCCCCTGAGATCTGGTGCCGAATTATTTCTCTTTTTCTACAGTTGACTACTAACTACGACTTGGGTGAAAAAAAAGGAGAGAGGCGAAGAAGAGAAGATAGAACTTCTCGTGATTCATGTTTGTGAGAGTCTGCGCCGGAGTATGGTATGTAGATGGCGCAAAATTGTTAACCTTACAGGAAAAGATCGGGTGGTTTATATACCCTCCAGGGCTGATATCCAATACTCCCCCAAACGCCTGTGCAGAGGGAAACGAAAAAGAAAAAGAGAAAAAAAAAAAAAAGATCCGGAATGACAAGCGGAGCTACGCTTTAGGTTGACCCCCGCTCATACTGGGGAATAACATCACGTCTGAAACGCGGCCCAAAATGTTCTGCATGCTGACTCCCTCCATGGGCTGGGGTACAGAGGTAGGGGCCAGGAAAGTCGGCACGTTAGGACTGGACTCGAGGGATGGAGGAGAGGGCAGTTCGAGAGGCGAGTAAGTCTCGCCAGAATTTGAAGTTGATGGCGCACCCTTGCGGGCACTGAAGGCCTCGCGGATTTCACGCAGAGCCCAGAGAGAGGATGAGACGTGCTTGGCGGAGTCGGTGCGATTGTTTTGGTCCTTGTCGCCGTCTTCATAAACATGGTCTGCGAGCACTGCCTCGAGTCTGTCGATTAGCTGCCATGTCTGTGAGCCGTCATCGTTGGCGACGAGCAGGAATGCGGATGCAATGGTTCGCTGCAGACTGATCCAGGATCGAGAGCAGTGCGAGTTGATCTCGTGCAGCTCGACAAAGGCATCGATTGTGTTCATCAAGCTGCTGATGCAATCTTCGCGGATTATTGCGCGTCGGTGGTCGTCGAGATGGGCGTGTGGGTCGAGGGAAACTCGACACAAGACGGAAAGAAGGTATGAGGAGTGGAGGCGCAACTCTGTGCGCTCGATATGGTCCGCGAGAGTGTGGCAGCTCTCGCGGTACCGGAGGTGAGGTGTTGCTTCGACGAGCATGCGCTGGATATGTTGTTTGTACTCTCTGATTTCATGGACCCGTGAATGTGTGGATCCAGGACACATGCGTGAACGCAGCAATTCCAATGCCGAGGAAACGATTCGGCAGAGAGTTTCGAAATATGACCGATGCCCCGGCATCGATTTAGGATCGAATGGGATTTCAGGCTGGCTAACCATTGTGATGGATGGTCGGTCATAGGCCAGCGAAAAATGACTGTTCTGAAAGGCCATTGCCCACCTGTAAAAAGAATGTTAGTGAGGATGTCAAAATGACCAGGAAGCAGTTTCATACCAGACACGCCTTCGCACTTCTTGCTCTGCAAGTGAGAACCCCGTCGTCTCAACGTGAAGTCCGAGGACTAGACACATTCGTTCCGTCATCCCTTGTCACTGGTTAGCTGGACTCTGTCAGAAGAACTCATGGCACATACCAAGTAAAGTATAGGATGCACCCGCATTCATGTTGTATGAAAGTACATTACTAATAATGAGCAGGATCTGAATTACTTCTACACTGGGTTGCGATACATAATTCAACATCCGGAGACATTGATACGCACAAGAAACTGGAGAAGAGTCAGCACAACCCTGGCAATGTTGGAGTGTGACGCACCGTATACCCATGAAGTCAGCTCACGCTCGTTTTCCGGCTTGTCAGAAAGCTGACTCCCCGATGCAATGACCGCAAAGAGCAAACTGAGAAAAGCCAAGTCCGTCCCAAATGGTTTGACTAACCCATTGGCATCAGGTCTATAGACACCACCGGCTCGTCTTCGATTCTCGAGCAGTTGTCGTGTGTTTCGTTTTAACCGAGGCACATCCGACAGAACAGGATACAACACCGCTCCTATGTCTTGATAAAACGCCAAAAGCCTGAAGCTGCGGTTAGCAAGCACCACCGACTGCGCGAATCTGACTTACTCCAAACATTGGTCGTCTTCTGGAAGAACCGCGCACACACCGGCTATGTTGAATGTGTACGGGTCTGACGACCAAAGATCCACGAAGGGATATGCAGCCGACTCATTACCCAATGCAAGTTCTGCAAGGAGGTCCTCCTGAGGCAGTGCCTGCGCTGTATCCTCTGACCTCTTCGATTTATCCAGAATATCCACCAAAGCCGACCTCGAGCCCAGATGGACCGCGCCCGTCTTCAATACATTCGAGCCGTACACACCCTCCGACCGCGTTGAATGTTTTCGTTCGATAGGCTCCGGCTCTGGAGGCTTGCGCGCCGAATGTGACTGGAAGAGCGAGTGCAAACTTCCAATGGTTTGTTCCATAGCCACCATCTTGACGTTTATCTCATCCCATTCAGCCTGGGAGAGATCGATGACGTCCGAGAGGTCCAGATCGGCGCTCGTGCTCGAGGGATGATCGGTCGGATACGAACCATCGCGGGTGGGAGCCGAGTGGGCATAGTGCGGGATTGTGGGGGAGATGAAGGTCGATTGTAGAGGAGTGGACGAGGCCGTGACAGCGGCAGGATTAGGAACCTTTGAAGAGGACGGACGGCCGTAAGAACAGGTGAAGTTGCGCTTGGTGCAGTTTCCACACGGGACGTTGCGATCGCAGCGGACTTTGCTCGCTCGACACGGTAGACAGGTCTTGCATTCGCGCGGTCGGCGACGGATTGGATAAGTTGGCATAGTGATCTGAAATGTGTTTTTTTCTTTTATCGGGGCCCCGCGATCGACAATGGAAAGATAGGACCCGATCGGATAATAAAGAGCGGCATAGGGCGTAGACGAGTTTGAAAATCGATAGCTCTGGAGGCTAAGAGCGAATCGGTACAAAAGACCCCGGAGGCTATTAGGTGAGATGCCCGGGAGTCTCCATTTGACGAGTCTAAAAAAGGTGAGGGGGTTAAAAGAGAGAGAGAACTTAGGAATGTTGAGAGGTTTCCCGGGATGATTTCATAACCAGAAATTCCCCAGATTTGGCGTCTTAGCGACTGATCGTTTATGCAGTTTTTCGCAATTTGGAGAACTCTGCAGATTATTTTTTTTAATTGAACAGTCAGGGGTTAAATTATGCTTGAATGGCCATATTACTCGTATATATGAAACATGTGAATCCTGGGGAAGCTAACTTCCTGTTTTAGCCTATAACCAGTCGATCTTTAGATCTCTCATGTTACTCGGGTGTTAGTACATATACTCCGTACTAGAATATCCAACTTCATATACTCAATGTCCAGCATAAAAGCCATAGCAAGTCATCATTTCTATAGGTATCACGGATCATAAAGAAAAAAGTAACATTTCAAGCCTTCGACTTCTTCTCAGAGACCTGTGGCACCACCCACCAGTCATGCCAACGAGCCTTGGTGCCGACCTCAGGCACAGTCACTTCCAGGTTGAGAGGCTTGCCATCCGGAGAGGCTGCCAAGGCCTTCTTGACCGTCTCAATAGTAAGACTAGTTCCAATGCACGCACGCATAGTGTCCTTAGCGTCACGGTTCCAGTCCTCCTTGATAGCCTTGGGAGATGTCGACTTGGACCCAGACGGATCTTCAATGAAAGCGCCATTGGCAAGATTGGCTTCCCAGGCCTTTCGGGCCTCGGCGACTGCCTTGGACGCACGCTCTAAGATGGTGGCGTCGGAGTCTCCTTCAAGTGCAGCCTCGCGTTGGTATTCATCGTATGGTACCAGTTCGGGTAACGTGATAGGGATAAACGGCTTCATACGTATTTCATACCGTAGTCTGTCAGTAGAATAGGCCTGGGCGGAAGAGGCAGTGGGAAGAATCTTATGGCGAGCCAACACCACGTACAATGCATGGAGAGCAATTGCAAATGCATCGACGGCAATGATGTGCGTTGTGAGCCTCTCCAAGGCGTGGAACGACCGGTGGAACGCGGATGCCTTCTGGGCGGAGTTTCCAGGCCGAGAGCCCGCAGCCATCAGATCTCGCTTACGCGCCGCCACAGTAAATGTGCGAATGCGGTCGATGTGACCAAGGTGCGTGGAGCAGATATGAGACAGATACCAATACATGCCCGGCAATTCTTCTGGGGAATAAATCGACAGCTCAAAGCCCATTTGGAGGATGAGTCGGAATTGGACAAGCTTTTGGTGATAGGCCCAACTGCTAAGAGGGAAGGACCAGGTGGGTTCACCACCTGGGAATTGTAATGGTGGCTCTGCGCTCAACACGCGGAGCTCGAGATCCAATTCCTCGGCCTATGGAGAGTTAGAATTAAGTCCTTGGGCGCAGAGCCGCCCCCGAAAGGTCGGAACCGGGAAAGGTAAGAAAAGCTCACCTCCATCTGCAAATTATCCCAGTCGACGATGGTGTGACAGAGTGTTCGACGAAGGCGACAGCGATTGAGACAGGCGCATCGCACCGTATCGACAAATGGCTACCAAGCTTAGCGAGGAGCGAAAATCAACAAAATAAGGTACGGACGAACCTGTGAGAATCTCTTCAAGAAGCCATCCATCTTTTGGGCAATCTGGAAGCGAGGGTCGGATGGAACCTCCACTTCATCGATGTTTGCCTCAAGCAGTAAACTAGCAGGGAGGACCAATTCTGCCAACTCGCCGTACAGGAAATCTTTGACGGGCACAGTCCCAAGGATGTTGAAATTGCTGACAATCAATGCTTGAAGGAGGCACCTGATGTAAATTGACGGTTGCGGTTTTCGGGAAAGTAGAGTCCACACAGCGGTCTGCCATGCCAATTAGTACAAGACATCATTTATCTTGATATGAACACACCTTAAAGTTACTTGGACCAGTATAGTCAAGCATCTGCTGCATGTCTATGGCGTCTTTGCAAAGTCGTTCAAGATGTGCCAGCGCATCTTCCGAGCTGAGATTGACCATTGGGCGAGGGGGAACTGTGCTAGCCAGCTTGCGCTGGATTTTCAAGCTGAAAGCTTCTGGCATTGGCTTTCCCAGTGGGACTGACTCCTTTAGAGGTACGAGTTCAGATAGACAAGACTCGAAATTCACCGTAGATCTGGTTTCAAGAACCTCGAGGTCTTGGTCTAATGCAGACAGGAATTGATGGCGGAATGCAAGTCTGTAGCGAATGGCATCCTTAATTTTCTGGTCGATATCAGTCTGTTCGGCAAGCCAAGCAGTCGCCTGGTCCAGCAGACGATGAAAGTGGGACATATCAAATGCAGAGAGAAGATTCCGGTTGTACAAATGGCTGACAAAGTCTTCTTCCTGTTTGACAAGTTAGATGGGAGATCTGGCGGTAGTTGGATTGAGGTGACTGACCTCGTAGTAGTATTCAGTAGCCACTCGGGCGTGGACAATGTCACATGCCTTGACCAATGCAAGACAATAGGCTCGTAGGACGAGGCCGACCAAAGGCGACTCGCTTGGTACCCGGTCGAATCGAGCATCTTCTATAGTCTTCGGCACTGGCCACAGTAGTCTGTCGAGATAGATTGAGGTGAAAAGCGTTTGCGAGAGAGGATGACCCTTGTGCCATGCCACCTGCGATACCATTAGCAACCCAGATTACACACTGCAGACATGTATTCTCCAACCTCATGACATAGCAATTGGTCCATCAAGCCCACAATCTGCTCCGGCGCCAATGGCTGCCGCACATCATAGTTGTCCTCGAGCGCCTCCTCCAAATTTTCCCCAGGAGCTATGTATCCACTGTCCATCTTCGAGTCCATAATCTGTATCGTATCGGTTGTCGTTAGCCGCATGTTTCGTTGCACGTCTCACGGCCAGAAAGCTGACGCACCTCCAATGCGCCCACGGCTTCGAATAGCGTGAACGTCTCATCTTTTACGAGCTGTCCGGTATTCAATTCTGCAATTCTGAGTATCAGCTTCCTGGCCAAATTCCGCGAGCGACACACTTACTCGAGGCGGCTTCTGTAAATTCGGCCGTGATGTCGCGCGGCACTGCGGGCTGCCCAATCCGCGGACGGGGAACGCGAACCTCATTATTCGGCAGCATAACAAAGAACCCAAGATCGTACAGACCTTCGCGGGTTTGCTTTACAGTGGAAGCAAATTATCAAGCTCCGCGGGCTTGGGTTGTAGATCTCGGCGAGTCGAGGGGAGAAGGGCGGGGGGAAGGAGGGCGGAGGAAAAAGCGATTCGGGCAGTCTGCTCGGACCCAGAGGTGACGTGCAACATCTGACCGGCGTTCGGGCAGTATGTGAATTCTTACGACGGAGGACTAATTAACATGCTATGCGACGGATGAAAACAATGAGTGCGATTCTAAAGCTCTGCCCAACCAGACAGGCTGGTATTGCTACACATGTACATTTCAATTGCTCCCCGGGCCTGGAAATCGCTCAAGCCCGTCACACGCGGATGCTGCATTTCTCCAAATTCGATTATCTCAAAGGTAATGGGCGAAAGTAGCTTATTTCTCAGCGGTCTGGGCAACGGCCTCGTTGTTGGCCTGGGCGAGCGAGCGGACCTCACCCTGCTTGCCGTTCTGTTCAAAACATCCACCCGTTAGCCAAAAGTCCACACATCACGGGAGCCGAGTTGTTCACTAACCTCCCACTTGGCGAAACGGAGATCCATCTGGCCGCGGCGCTCAGAGGCGAGACGGGGACCGTCCTTGAGGGAGCGGCGCACGGTGCGAGCGGCGATGGCCAGGTAGCGGTTGTAGCTGGAGGGCGCAGTTAGCATTGGACTCAAAGTCGGGACGAAGGTTCGTACGTCAAACCGGCGGCTTTCCAGGCGGCAGTCATTTTGAAGGGCGGGTGGGGGATAGGATTTGATTGAAGGGGGTGAAAACGATACGGGTTTCGACATTCGATCCGGAGATTCGGGAGTTCGATGTTCGCACTCACGTGACTTTCCATCAACGCCCGGGCTGGAACAGGGTTGACCCGAAATGCTTAGTCATTGTCATATATCGCCCGGCCCTTCCAACCTAGAAGGTTGAAGGCTTGAAGCTTCGAGTTTGTTTCGTATTTTAGCTTCTTAAAAGTCACTTCGATTCTTCGGATTAGAGCACATCGGTTGCTTAACAGAGTTACGAAAATTCTGATCATTTGACTTGCCAATTGAACTTGTCCTCGTGAGTCCTGCAGTTTACGCGAGCAAAAATTCGGCTGTTAGAAGTCACACCTCCAACCTGGCTTTACGGGAGCTTTGATACTTTGTGAAAATTTGCAAATGAATACGCCGCTCCAGAATCATCGGATCACGTCGGAAAAATGCCTGTGGCTCTCATAAATAGGTCCCGAGAAACGAAGATCTTCGTAGCAAAGTTCCTCTGCAAACACCCTTCTATACGCTGCTACGCTTGAAGCATCGAGATAAACTCCAAGCGTTGTACTTGCTCATCGCAACAACAAAAAGCATAGCTCAGAGTTAGGGCTAAAGCTCCGGATCTCTGCACCCAGAGATATGCAATGCGGATACGGATCTAGAGCTTGAAAACTTGACAAAATGATGGGCTCGGAATCCCAGAACGAATATGGTAAGTTGGTAGTGATATCTATATCCGGAGGATAGTGTGCCTCCATTTATCCAGTTAACTGGAAGTGTCTACGAGGAGTGAGATAAAAATGGGTCGAGATAGGCGTAGGCAACGCGTATCGGCGTAGGCATTAGAGCACCCAGGATGTGTCAAGTGGTATATATAGTTAGGGCTAGTATCTGGTCAGGAGGCAGAAACTGCTCCCATGAGCCCTGGAGGACAATCTTGATCCTTGAACTTCAAACCCACCTAGAGACATACACACACTACTTTGTATATTGTCAATGTCAAGGTCTATGGCGAAGTCGGGTTGACTTGAAAGTCGTCCTTCGAAATCGGGCAACCGAAGCGAGTTCAAGCCCACGGGCTTGTTGGGCTCGACACTGCTGGCCGATGAGAAGATAACATGGCCAAGCTGGAACTTTAGAAGGTCATAGTGGAACCTCTTTTGAAAACCACGACGGTTGAGGTCTCCCAGATCAATTCACCGTGTGAAGACACGCGATCCAGGGCCATCATAAAGTTTGTCTCTTCTTCAGGGGTGTTTTGAAGCATTACTGCCGCGACATAAATGTCTTTACATGGGCCGCGTCTAATTCTTTTCTCAGGCTACTTGACACAAACCAGTGTGTTTTTTATGCTCAAGCCAATGGCCAGACGATTACAGGGATCTTTTTGCAGGTATATACCCGTAATTCCATTGGGTGGAGTGGCAACTTCAAAGGAAGCATACTGTCGAAGTATACTGCGGAGTTGTAACTGGATCTGCGAGGTACCCGTTGAGCATGGACAAGCCACCAAACCTTACACCCCTGTTTATGTATTGACGACTCGGTGTTGTAGATAATAGTTCTAAAAGACGAGGTAGCCTCAATCCAGAAAAAACGCAGTGTTTCAGATCAATTGTATCCGCCGTTCCTTTGACCGGCCGTGGCAAGGTTCATGGTTTCGTATGCAAAGGGCAATGTGAGCCTATCCCAAACCGACGGAATGCTTTATCGTGATGCACACAGAGAAGTAGGTCACCAATATAAATCGTAGCTATGAGAGCAATTCACAGACCATCCTTTCGTCCAGTGGGTAAGGATGAGCCGGGGCTTCAACGATGCTTGTCGTATTTCTGTGCTTGAGTGAGAATAACGGAGGCGATGTATCAAACAAAGTTCCTCTTCCTCCGCCTGACGGCTCATGTCGATCTCGGGGATATCGAAAAACGTGCCCTGTGCTTCCATGTGAGTCTCGTCATTTAGCGTTTCTAGAAGCTCTGCAGGTGGGTGCAACCCACCCAATCATGGCTCGTGCGGCTGACGGAGAAAGGTTTCTCCGGAGTATAAAACCCTACCTGAACTACAACAGCCGCAAAAACGACGTATGATGATCAGATGAAGAGAGACGCAACGTTCCTCACGTTTGCTGGAGACTCGGTGGTGTTGTTTGAAGACTAGCCATGGTGGCTATATCGTGAGACCCGCTTTTTTCCCATGTGTGGGTGTCGACAAACGAGGCGTTCGTTTGACGATGTAATCGCAAAATCCTGGATTATTCAGCGATTCCCAGCTTAGTCGTAGTCGTCGGAAGTTTGCTTCACTCGATTGTCGTGGTTTGTGAAGAACTTAGGACTGCTAAGGCCTCCTCCCCGTCGAATCTCACGATCCTGGTCAATGCCTCTTTTGTAGACAATATAGAGGCGTATTCAACACCTGTAGACGTTAAGATAACTTATTGCAATTGAATCAAAGTGAATCGAAGCTATTCGAGTGCGTGATCTGTCCATTGTAGCCCTCAACCGGGCTGGTCAAGTTGGTTCGACGCGTCGACGCGCTTAAAGGCGCGCTTCTTTTCCCCCACAACTTTCCTTTCTTCCTTCTCTCTCCACCTCACTCGATCTTTACTCGAGCTCTTTATCATCCCCAAAGCATCGCTTCACAGCTCATTCCGCTTTGATATCGTGATCAGATCTCATTCAATCATCGCCAAGACTGTATCCCGCCCAGGTAAGTGACATTTTGGCTTCCGGGAGGACCCACATACTCCACCATGCATGGTCCCCACTTTTATCACATTCCCTTGCTGCCCGCACCTATCAGGTGCTTCACTGGCATCATGCTTGGGGGTAGACCGGTCCATGATGGTCCCATCGGGCCTGCTTGAGGGCGCTGGGGTACCTCACCGTCGCTACCTTTGGAAGCTGATGTGTGTCATTTCACCGCATGTACATCTTCACAGGCCTCTTGACCCATATGAAGCATGCCTCTTTGGAGCTGCTGACTGGGACAATGGCCCTCATTCCCCTGCAACTTGTTGGGCCGGGGTCTTGTATCCTGGATTTTGACCAACCAACCCAAGCCAGAACACAACATCACCATCCCAAGATCCTGGTTGTGTTCTGAACATGGTGGCTGTATGGGACCGGCACATTTCTTCGGTCGCATTGACCGGTCGGTCTCAACGGCCTTGTTCTCCCATATCGATCCCTTTACCCTTTGACCAATGTATCCCCAAATCTGCCATGCACCATGCACCATGCCTGTACAAAGCATTATGCTCCCATGCATCTATCCCTACTTCGCAAACACCAATGCAAAGCAGCTAACCGACAATTCGATTGAACAGGTTCTACCCGGCTCGGTCACAGTCATGGCTCCTCCGAAGAAGAAAGCTGCCACCGGCAAAAAGCGCAAGGCTGGAGAAGAACTCAACGTGGACGATGACATCGAAGATCTTCGTCGCCAACTCGATGCTGCCAACCGCGAGAAGGAACAGCTCAAAGCCGAAAAGGCCCGTCAGGAAACTGGAAACAACCAGGGCACGGGCACGGCCGATGCTAAGCCTGCCGGTCGCAAATGCAGCCGCAAGGATCGGAAGCTCGTCCGCTGGGATGGTATGTACCCGTTGATTGTTTTTTTTTTTTTTTTTATTCATACAATTTGCCCGGTGGTTATTTGTTGTCTTGGTCTTGGATCTGATAGATGGTGGATTATGCATGGACGGGTGCCCTCATTGCATTGCATTTGTATCATTGAATTACCACTGAACGGTGCTGATGTTGGAATTCACAGCTGAAATCGATCTCGACCTCTTGCTGGCAGTTCAGTCTTGCTGCAGCCGAGCTGGTGTCAGGATTCCCTGGGGAGATGTCGCTCGAACTATGGGAGAAAAGTTCACCGAGGGAGCTATCACCCAGCATCTCGCCAAGCTCCGTGTGAAGCGTGAGAATATCAAGAAGCAGCGCAACAATGGCCAGGGCGACGGATCTGAAGATTCCGACGAGGCTCAGGCACAGCCCAACAAGTCTAAGCGTGGTGGCAAACGGTCAATCGCTGGCACTAAGGGTTCAAAGAAGTCGCAGTCGGCAGCTGCAAAGCCTGGCCCCTCTTTCAAGAAGCGAAACCCTCCCCGTACAGCTACCCGTCATGTGATCATCGACACCGACGACGAACTTGAAGATGATGGAGAAGATGACTATGAAGACGAGGAAGGTGAATATGGAGATTCCGACTTCCCGCAGACTCTGGAGACTATGGCGGCTCGTGAGCAGATTCATAATCGGATGCGTGAGAGACAATCCGCAATCCGTGAGAAGGGCAAAGGAAATGCCAGTGCACAGCGGCTGGCGCAGCAGCACGACGAGAACTCAGAGACCGTGAACCAGGGTTACGGAGTTCGTGATGCTTCGAATGACTTTGACATCACTATGGCTGAGCGCAATGAAAGCGGATCCAGCGTTGGACATGACCAAAGTCAGAGTCAAAGCACTCACACATCTACCAGTGGAGCCGGAACTAAAACCGGAAAGAGCAAACTGGTCATTCTAAAACTGCAGCCTCACCTTCTGCAACGGTTTAACGAGGAACCTTCCGCCGGTTCCTACGTGCAAGAACCCTCTTTCCTCCCTCCCGCCACCCCTCCTCAAGCGCCTTGCGAGGTGCGCAACCAAAACCCACCCCGTCGGTCTCAATTCCTCACCGACTACAACTACGACGCGCCAGACGTCGTTTACACAGACCCGCTGAGCGGGTATAACTATCCCGGCTGGGACGACCTCCCCGGCCAGTACAACCCCCAGGTGGCGCCGCATGCCCCTGGGGGAAACCCCTTCTACTTCGGCCCGGCGTCACCAAGCCCGGGCGCGCTGAACCTCGCCGCCACCCAGGCCATGGCGGCTGGCTGGTCCCCATCGCCCGCCATCGGGCAGTACATTGCGCCGATCGACTTCGATCCGGCGGAATACCACCGGGAGGAGACCCCTCCCACTCTGCGCGCCTTCATGGACGCAGAGGGGGCAGGCGGCCCTGCCTACGTGGATCCCCGGATGGCGGGAATCGATGTCCCGGCGGCCGACATGGGACTGCCTCGGGGGATGGAGGTGGAAGTGGA